AAAGCTGCTAAGAAGCGCTGCATAAACCACGTGATCCCCGCACGCCGGCGAGTCAGTTACACTGGAAACGTAGGAAGTTTGATTGACAACCTAACAGCCAATAGAAAATGAGGTAGCCTGGTTATCTATTGGCTGATGTTTATCTGGCCTCACTATGTCCACAGTTGATAGATTTTCACTCTTTTTTTTTTTTTTTGGTCATCATAATTACAAGGCTGCTGCATCTCTGTAATTGTGTTTTAAAGTTTCACTGACAATTTGAAACTAAAAAAAAAAAAATCCTCCGTACAACCTTGAAATGATCCTGTACCTGATTTTTCCTCGTGTGTCTGAGTAAAATTTGATTTGCCCCAGTTCAGATATACTCCACAATCTGAAATATTTCACCCCGAAATTTGAACCCTCCAGTTTTTGCCGGGCAGGTTCTTCTCACTGACCCTCTCAAGTCGTATTTGGAGACTCTGTTTTGTCGTTCTGCCGCCGTTTTTCCGCTCCGTTGGTTCACGCCCGCTGTGACGTCCGCACTTCCTTCTCCAGTTTGATGTTCTTCGTGGGTGATACTCATAGGCTTAAGCAGCATCGCATTGTCGTTCTGGTCCAAATGTCCAAATTTAGTCCTGGTTTGGTTTTATCCATGGAAGGGACCCACAGCCTGGTTTAGTCCTGGTTTAGTCCTGGTTTAGTCATGACATTTACAGCCATGTCAATTTTTTTCGTGTTTTTAAGACGGTAAAAATCAGGTACAGCTCCTTTAAATGCACAGTGAGCTTTCAGCCTGAACCCTGAACCCTGACCTCTGACCTCTGACCTCTGACCTCTGCTCTCTGCTCCTCAGCTCAGTGAGTCTGTGGAGGTCCTGGTGGAGAACATCAACGACAACCCCCCAAACTTCGACCGAACTCACTACGTCCTGGAGGTGAACGAGGTCAGAGCACGATTTAATTTCACCTCTGAGATTTGAAGCAGAGACGCACCAATACAACCTTCTGATGTCGACACCAAATGAATTAAAATGAATTAATCATTGCATTTATATAGCGCCTTTCAAGATCCCCAAAGCTCTTTACAGTTCATTATTCATTCACTCAACACTGGTGGTAAACTGCTACTGTAGCCACAGCTGCCTTGGGGCAGACTGACAGAAGCGAGGCTGCCAATCTGCGCCATCGGCCCCTCCGACCACCATCACTCACACACACCACTGTGGCTCATAGAATTCCCAATGTCTCCCATTCAAACACCAACCAGACCCGACCCTGCTGAGCTTCTGAGATCTGACAGGATCAGGCTTTGACCGGCCGGTGTGGCCAAATTAACCATATTTTTTTCTTGTGAATCAATAAAGTTTGTCAAAGCCAAAGATACTTCACTCTGAGATCAGTGATCAAAAGATAAAAAAAAAAAAGTTCCACAGTGCAGTGACGTTAGATTTGTTTGTTTGCAGTTGTCTCCGGTGAACTCCAGCGTGGGTCTGATCGAAGCCACAGACGTCGACTCTGAGCCGCTGTACTATCGCCTGGAGCCGGCCTCAGTAAAGACACACTCTGGAACATTCACCTTCTACACTCTGATGATGCCATAACTCATAATCACTCAGGAGTCGAGCGCAGGGGCCTGTTGATGTTTCACTGTTGTGTCGCGCTGGACGTGTATCATTATGGTGGAATTTTCAGCAGTTACCATGGCGACACACACGCACGCAATCATCATTCGTTCATAAATTTTTCAATATAAAACCAAAAATAAGAAAATGAATAAATAACTATTTTCTTCATAATTTGTCTCCAAAACCAAAATGAATAAACAGATAACGATTCGTTTTTTTTCAGTTTTGTGTTTAAATGAAAAATGGAAAAAACGAATAACGGCTGTTTCCCGTTTAAGTGACTTAAACTGCGATGCTGAACTGAACTAGGACTAAACCAGAACTAAACCAGGACTGAACCAGGACTGAACCAGGACTGAACCAGGACTGAACTAGGACTGAGTGTTGGGCGGGCCCGGAGGTGCGCCCGCTTAGAATGTCAGGTAATCAGGACTGAGACCAGGACTAAACCAGGACTAAACCAGGACTGAGACCGGGACTGAGACCGAGCTCAGGACTGAAACCAGGACCAAGACCAGGACTGAGACCGGGATTAAGACCAGGACCAAACTGGGAACAGACAGGGATTTAAGACTGGGACTGAGACCGGGACTGAGACTGGTTTAGTCCTGGTTCAGTCCCGGTTCGGTTTAGTCCTGGTTAGGCCTGGTTCAATCCTGGATCATTCCTGGTTCAGTTCGGCATCTCAGTTTAAGTCACGTAAACGGTCGTTATCAGTTTTTTCCATTTTTCATTTAAACACAAAATCGAAAACTGAAAAAATGAATCATTATCTGTTTTTTCATTTTGGTTTTGGAGACAAATAACGAAGAAAATAGTTGTTTTGTTTTTTTTTTTCATTTCCTTATTTTTGGTTTTATTTTGAAAAACGAATGAACAAACGATACACGGACTGCAAACGTTGTTAAAACGTTTTTAAAAGTTTGTAATGTTGCTTGAATGAAGAAAATGACACTTATTCCAATTACAGGCAGTTTTAATGTTATATAAAAACAACGGGCACAGGCAGAGACGAGAAAAGTTCTGCAGTGCGGCTTTAATCGCGGCTTCTGTCTGTTTGTGGCAGGATAAGTATTTCCGTCTGGAAAACGCGACCAGCCCGAAGATCGTGGTGAAAAGCATCATCGACTACGACACGATTCAGAAGATCTCACTGGTCCTACACGTGCAGGTACGGGAGGGCATCTGACACAAAACAATACAGGAGTCTGACACACTGGGAGGGCATCTGATACATGGGGATAAAGTAGTCTGGGAGGGCATCTGGCATCTCGTCTGCGTCGCTTTCCCTGCTGTCTCTGTGTCGGTTCGATGCGTAACTGCGCCATAAATTGTGGCTGTCCTGATTCATGAGCCGGTTTCACTTCGTAGAAACCTCGCAGCGTTAGGATTCGTTCACTCGATGGTAAGTAGGTGCTTTTTTTTTTTATTTAACCAATCGCTGCTATTTGGTCGCTACGAGGTTAACTGGTGTATTAAAGGTTGTATGGAGGATTTTTTTTAGTTTCAAATTGTGAGTGAAAGTTTAAAATACCATTACAGAGACGCAGCAGCCTTGTAATTATGATGACCAAAAAAAAAAGAAAGAAAATCTATCAACTGTGGACGTGTTGAGGCCAGATAAACATCAGCCAATAGAAAACGAGGCTCCCTCATTTTCTATTGGCTGTTAGGTTGTCAATCTAACTCCCTAGTATAACTGACTCGTCGGAGCGCGGGGATTACGTGGTTTACGCAGCGGTTCTTAGAGGCTTTTTCGAACTGTCGCTTCCTCGCATTTCGCACAAAGTTTGTCGCGACGGCGGACGAGAATCCACGACCGGTTCGCCGCAAAAGAAAGTCCGTTTTTGAGGTCGCTGAAAGAAGAAGAGAAGAGGAAAAGGAGCGAAGACAAACTGAGGTGATTCTTGGAGATCTCGTCCAGCGATGAATTACTTCTAGACAGGAAACTTCAACAGTAATTCTGAACGCGCACAAGGACTGTCGCTGTATTTCTCTTCCCTTAAAAAAATCCTCTATACAACCATCAAGGTAGACTTTAAAAAAAAAAATTGCAGTAAAAGGTTAATTTTTAATTAATGCTTAGGTAATTTGGGCCAATTCACCTGGAAACCAAGAAAAGCAAGAAAAATATGTCTGAGGGCCACATTTGGCCCACGGACCATAGTTTGGACATGCCTGGTCTAGTGTATTCCGATTCCTGACGTAGTCGCTGGAGAGAAATGGAATTGGGCTTTAGTAACTTCCAATTTAACTTAAAATTTAAAACTAAATGTGGGTTTTTTCTCTGCGTAAAAAAGTTTAACCGCAAATAAATTTCCTTATAAAATTCCTTTCTTGTCTCTCGTGAAGGTTAACACGGTATCTCAAGGAATCAATAACTTTCTTAATTACGCTTTATGTGATTAAAGCCTAAAACATACTATTGGTTTTGTTTTCAATCTCAATTAACATACTTCTGGCTTATTTTCTACGTGAAGCCTTTTAACACGGATTCGAGCTTTTGCTTTTTTCTTTTCCATGAAGCATAACATGCGATAATTAGTTTTCCATTACTTTTTAAATTGATCACACAAAAGTCCCGAAAGTAAACACAATTTCTAGTTTTTACATTTAGCCAATCTGACAGGAATTCTGAAACAACAAAGGTCGCTGTCATACCTTCTTTTGGGAACGCGTTCTTCGTGTCTTTACTTCCAGGATTTCGTGGGAGGCATCGTTTGCAGACATTACTCTGTCAAATCATCCGTCGGGGTCACCATTTTGTGGGTTTTTTCGGAAGGTTCAATGCGTGTCCTAAAAAGAAGCACAGGAGATGGAGAATCCGAGAGAACAGGCCACTTTATTTCGTCATTTTCCATTGAGAGAGATTCAAGTTGATTATCAAGTACAACTGTCACCCCGGAACGACGCCTCTCCCAACTCAAAATCGGGGGTAGCTTTATACTACATCTTGACAAAACATTAACTTGTTGATTTAGCATAAACAGCAAGAAAATGAACAATACTGCTGACCCAGTGCACCTTATCATGGGTGGGAACATGCCACGGGGACCACATGTCAGTTTTTCTGCTTCGTGGCATCTCAAAGTCCAGAAAAACATGTTCTTTATGACACTCCAAGTACAGAAAAAACATGTTATATAGACCTATAGATAATCATACGTGTTTTCCACCCTGTTGTCATTCCAAAGTCCATAATATTAGGTGAATTAGCATGACCAACACATAATATTTCCCACATAAATCTCTGATCTTTTTAATGGAAAATAGTCCTTAAAAAGTCTAACAGAACAGTGACGCCCTTAAGTAGGAGTCTGGGAGGGCATCTGACCTTTTTGTTTCTTTTCTCAGGACACGTTTAACGGCTCGGCGTCGAACAAACCGTTCTTCACGTCGGTGGCCACTCTGACGCTGAACATCCGGGACGTGGACAACAGGCCTCCCTGGTTCCAGCCGTGCGTCCGGACCTCGCTGGGCCTCAGCAAACTGTGCGTGAGCGGAGGCTACAGGGGCCGCGTCAACCTCACCGAGAAGGAGGTACTAAAGCTCCACCACGGAACATTCCACAGAGTCTGACAGAGTGACAGTGATATTTTATTCTTCACATCGTAAAGTGAAAAGTCATGAGTTGTATCTGTTTTCATGTGGCGCTGTCTGGATCTTCAGGAGGGGCCTCTGGTTCTGGAGCCTGGTCCGGTGTTCGCCAAAGACGGAGACCGAAACCGCAGCGAGCAAATCAGCTACAAGATCCTCAAAGGTACGATTAAAGATCAGGTGTTTGACTTCTGTTGGGAGATGAACTGTAACGCGTCACATATTTACCTTTTTATTGTTTTGAAAATGTTATATTCACTGAAACATCGTGTTAACAGAAGTTTTGAATCTGTGTATCATTCGTTCATTCGTTTTTCAATAGAAAAAACTATAATAAGAAAACGAAAAAACAACTATTTTCTTCATTATTTGTCTCCAAAACCAAAATGAAAAGACAGACCACGATTAGTTTTATCAGTTTTCGATTTTGTGTTTAAATGAAAAATGGAAAAAACGGATAACGACCGTTTTCTGTTTACGTGACTTAAACTGCGATGCCGGACTGAAGCAGGACTAAACCAGGACTAAACCAGGACTAAACAGGTCTCAGTCCTGATCTTGTCCTGGTCTGGTCTCGGTCTCAGTCCAGGTTTGGTCCCGGTCTCGGTCCCGGTTTAGTCCCAGTTTAGTCCTGGTCTCAGTCCTGATCACCCAACAGTCTACGCGGGCCCGTCCCGACACTCCTGGTTCAGTTCCTGGTTCAGTTCGGTTCAGTCCTGGTTCAGTCCTGGTTCAGTCCTGGTTCAATCCTGGTTTAGTCCTGGTTCAGTCCTGGTGGTTCAGTCCTGGTTCAGTCCTGGTTCAGTCCTGGTTCAGTCCTGGTTTCAGTCCTGGTTCAGTCAGTCCTGGTTCAGTCCTGGTTTCAGTCCGGTTCAGTCCTGGTTCAGTCCTGGTTCACAGTCCTGGTTCAGTCCTGGTTCAGTCCTGGTTCAGTCCTGGTTCAGTCCTGGTTCAGTCCTGGTTTAGTCCTGGTTCAGTCCTGGTTCAGTCCTGGTTCAGTCCTGGTTCAGTCCTGGTTTAGTCCTGGTTCAGTCCTGGTTCAGTCCTGGTTCAGTCCTGGTTCAGTCCGGCATCACAGTTTAAGTCACGGAAACGGGAAATCTGTATCTGTTTTTTTCATTTTGGTTTTGGAGACAAATAATGAAAAAAAAAAAGTAGTTTTATTGTTTTCTTATTTTTGGTTTCATATTGACAAACAAATGAAGGAATGAGACACAGATTCCCTGTCCTAGTTTTAACCGATCTGATCCGTGCCAATAATATCTGCTTAAATCTGCTTAAAAACGACTAAAACACAAAGAAAATATGAATATACTGACTCACATGAATGAACTCTGCATAACGATTTTATTATTACCAACCACCAAAAACCAGTGTGTCCCAGTTTTTTATTTTAAAATCTGGTCACCCTAAATTTATACAGAGTTTTTCATGGTTTGTTGAACTTTCGCTATAGATCCATGTTCAGTCCAGTAGAGCAGATCATTGAGCGTTTTTGTCTGCACAGCTTCACTTTAATGTTCATCTGTTTCCCAGGAAACGAGGGGAACCTGTTCCAGATGGACGAGGACACGGGAAACATCACCATGACCAAAGCCGCAGACGTCCTGGGCCCCATCACCCTCACCGTCATCGTGAGTCCAAGTCTCTGCAGCTCTGAAAAAACATTCATGTTCGATCAAACTGTGAAGTCAGCAACGTTTCAGAGCATTTAGACGTCTGCCTCACAAACTGTGTTCAGGCCGGTCAGAACGGTGCTGGTGCTGGTTCCACTGGGAACCAAAGTTGTCACCAGTGAACGACCTGCGTTCAAACCATTTATGAACCCATGACGCGTCATCAACAGAGGGTGTGGATTTACCACCAAATAAAAACAAGGCAACGAAAACAGACGTCACAGGGAGGAAAATAACAATCATGGATCTGTTCATCGACACCAGCGAGTGTTTGTACTTATACAAGTCATTATTTATGTGCCAAACTGTGACACAACATCGATCTGCTGTGACGGAGGCAACAGCGACGCTCAATCCAAAAATATAACCTTATCAGGCCAACACAGACACATGCAAGACAAACGGGATCTAATACTTTTTGTTTCATATGTGATAGTTTCAAATGCTCTTTGTTTATTGTTATTATTGTTTATTTTACCGCGTGTGACCTGGATGAACGTGCTGACGTCTTCTGTGTCGTCACGGTTCACTTAGAAAAACCCAGTCTTATTTGGTTCCCGTTTTCGGTTGCCAAACGCTCTGATTTATAGTGTGTGCAGACGTGAGTTAGTTTAAGATTAGGTGCAGGAACTGGAACCGGCACAGTTCTGTGTCGGTCTGAAAACACCTACAGTGTCCAGTCCGTGTGGAGGTTCAGTGTCTCTGACACGGCCCTGCTCCTGTGCTCTTCACACACTTCAGACTAAAACAAAACGACTTGAGTAACAGCGTCAGACAGAGCAGTGCCTACAGTTAGCGGCTCCAGGTGTGAGTGTGCGTTGTTGTGGTTTCAGGCGTCGCAGGTGCAGAACAGAGACCAGTTCGCGGTGGCTCAGGTCGTGTTCGAGGTGATGAAGAAGAGCCGGAGTCCTCCTCGTTTTGAGAAGGAAAGATTTGAAGGATTCATCTACAGCAACTCTGTCCCCGAGAGTCTGGTCCTGAGGGACCGGAGCACCAACCGGCCCTTCAGGGTCAGGGCCCGCGACGAGGACTTCGCCACGGTAACGGGGGCAAGACCGATGTTAGACCGGGTTTAGACTGGGTTTAAACCGGGTTTGGATTGGGTTTTTATTACTATAGTCTTGATACAGTCCTAGTTTAGATTTGGTTTAGATCTGGTTCAGTCCTGGTTCAGTCCTAATTTAGACTTTGCTTAGTCTTGGTTTAGTCCTGGTTTAGTCCTTTTTTAGTCCTGGTTCAGTGCTGGTTCAGTCCTGGTTTAGTCCTGGTTTAGACCTGGTTCAGTCCTGGTTTAGACCTGGTTCAGTGCTGGTTCAGTGCTGGTTTAGTCCTGGTTTAGACCTGGTTCAGTCCTGGTTTAGTCCTGGTTTTGTTCTGTTCCAGGGCGTAAATCCTGATGTGAAGTACGAGGTTCAGTACAGCAGTTACGTGAACGTGACGTCAGACGGGTTTGTGATTCTGAAGCGAGTCGTCAAAACCGAGTCCTTCGCTCTGCAGGTCAGAAATCAATAAATAAACAAAAGATAATAAAAACATTTCTTCCGACTCAGATGTTTTTTTTGTTTTTTTTTCCTGGTCGTAGCTGCGGGCCGTGGACTCGAGCACCGGCGAGTTTGGGACGGCGGCGCTCTCGGTCCAGGTGATCCCGGCCGTGGCGATCCCGTCCCCGGCCAGCGGGGGGTATCGTCCCGGAGACATGGCTCTGCTCGGGCTGGTGATGGCCGCGCTCCTCGTGCTCTGCCTCATCATCATCGGGTTCCTCCTCTCCAGAGTCCTGAAGGGAGACGGAAAGATCTGCCAGGTCTGGACCCTGGACCGGGACTAGGACCCGGACTAGGACCGGGTTTGGGCTGGGTTCACACCAAGGATAAATCATGTTTAGAAAATGTTTAGATTGGATTTAGACTGGATTTAGATCAGGTTTAGAATGGCTTTAGCCCAGGTTTAGACCATTTTTAGACCAGGTTTAGACCAGGTTTAGACCAGATTTAGACCAGGTTTATTGTGCATTTAGACCAGGTTTAGACCACATTTAGACCAGGTTTGCGCTGGATTTAGATTGGGTTTAGACCAGGTTTACACTAGGTTTAGTCCAGGTTAAGACTTGGTTTAGACCATATTTCGACCAGGTTTATACTGGATTTAGAATGAGTTTAGATCAGGTTTACAGCAGGATTAGAACAGGTTTAGACTGGATTTACACTGGATATAGACCAGGTTTACACTGGATTTAGACCAGTTTTAGACCAAGTTTAGACCAGGTTTAAACCAGGCTTAGACCAGCTTTAGACCAGGTTTAGACCAGCTTTAGACCAGGTTTACACTGGATTTAGATCAGGTTTAGAATGGCTTTAGCCCAGGTTTAGACCATTTTTAGACCAGGTTTAGACCAGATTTAGACCAGGTTTATAGTGCATTTAGACCAGGTTTAGACCACATTTAGACCAGGTTTGCGCTGGATTAAGATTGGGTTTAGACCAGGTTTACACTAGGTTTAGTCCAGGTTAAGACTTGGTTTAGACCATATTTCAACCAGGTTTAGACCAGCTTTAGACCAGGTTTACACTGGATTTAGACCAGGATTAGACTGGGTTTAGATCAGGATTTGACCAAATTTAGACCAAGTTTAGGCCAGATTTAGACAAAGTTTAGACAAGGTTTACACTGGATATAGACCAGGATTAGACTGGATTTAGATTGGATTTAGACCAGGTTTAGACCAGGTTTAGACCAGCTTTAGACCAGGCTTAGACCAGGCTTAGACCAGCTTTAGACCAGGTTTACACTGGATTTAGACCAGGATTAGACAAGGTTTAGACCAGGTTTAGACCATCTTTAGACCAGGTTTACACTGGATTTAGACCAGGATTAGACTGGATTTAGATTGGATTTAGACCAGGTTTAGACCAGGTTTAGACCATCTTTAGACCAGGCTTAGACCAGGCTTAGACCAGGCTTAGACCAGGTTTAGACCAGGCTTAGACCAGCCTTGGACCAGCCTTAGACCAGGTTTAGACCAGGTTTAGACCAGGTTTAGACCAGGCTTAGACCAGGTTTAGACCAGGTTTAGACCAGGCTTAGACCAGTTTTAGACCAGGTTTACACTGGGTTTAGACCAGGATTAGATTGGGTTTAGACCAGGTTTAGACCAAGTTTAGACCAGGTTTAGACTAGGTTTACACTGGATTTAGACCAGGTTTAGACCAGGTTTAGACCAGGTTTAGACCATCTTTAGACCAGATTTAGACCAGGTTTAGACTAGGTTTACACTGGATTTAGACCAGGTTTAGACCAGGTTTAGACTGGATTTAGACCTGAATTAGACCTTGTTTAGTCTCCATTCTAAGTGTATGTTGTGTCTGTTGGTCCCTGTGCAGTGCTTGGGCCCCTGCTTCTCGGGCCCCCAGTCTCACTCACACAGAGACTCTCTGCAGTTCACCAACGACGGCTTCCAGACGGAGGCGGACTCCAGGGGGCGATGGGGAGCCATGTTCCCCAGAGGCCGAGTGCTTCCTCTGGGCAAACGCAGCTCCAAAACCTGCTCCTCCTGCGGAACCTTCTCCAACCACATCCACCGCACGAGCCCCATGAGCCGCCGCAGCCCCGAACTCAGGTCACCACGCAAACACACGACCGGAAAACACCGAACTCAGGTCACCACGCAAACACACGACCGGAAAACACCGAACTCAGGTCACCACACGCAAAAACACGACCGTAAAACACCGAACTCAGGTCACCACGCGAACACACGACCGGAAAACACCGAACTCAGGTCACCACGCAAACACACGACCGGAAAACACCGAACTCAGGTCACCACACGCAAAAACACGACCGGAAAACACCGAACTCAGGTCACCACGCAAACACACGACCGGAAAACACCGAACTCAGGTCACCACGCAAACACACGACCGGAAAACACCGAACTCAGGTCACCACGCAAACACACGACCGGAAAACACCGAACTCAGGTCACCACGCAAACACACGACCGGAAAACACCGAACTCAGGTCACCACACGCAAACACACGACCGTAAAACACCGAACTCAGGTCACCACGCAAACACACGACCGGAAAACACCGAACTCAGGTCACCACGCAAACACACGACCGGAAAACACCGAACTCAGGTCACCACACGCACAAACACGACCGTAAAACACCGAACTCAGGTCACCACGCAAACACACGACCGGAAAACACCGAACTCAGGTCACCACGCAAACACACGACCGGAAAACACCGAACTCAGGTCACCACGCAAACACACGACCGGAAAACACCGAACTCAGGTCACCACGCAAACACACGACCGGAAAACACCGAACTCAGGTCACACGCAAAACACACGACCGGAAAACACCGAACTCAGGTCACCACCACGCAAAAACACGACCGTAAAACACCGAACTCAGGTCACCACGCAAACACACGACCGTAAAACACCGAACTCAGGTCACCACGCAAACACACGACCGGAAAACACCGAACTCAGGTCACCACGCAAAACACACGACCGAAAACACCCAACTCAGGTCACACACGCAAAAACACACGACCGGAAAACACCGAACTCAGGTCACCACGCAAACACACACGACCGGAAAACACCGAACTCAGGTCACCACACGCAAACACACGACCGGAAAACACCCGAACTCAGGTCACACACGCAACAACACGAAAACACCGGAAAACACCGAACTCAGGTCACCACGCAAAACACACGACCGGAAAACACCGAACTCAGGTCACCACGCAAACACACGACGGAAAACACCGAACTCAGGTCACCACGCAAACACACGACCGTAAAACACCGAACTCAGGTCACCACACGCACAAACACGACCGTAAAACACCAAACTCAGGTCACCACGCAAACACACAACCGTAAAACACCGAACTCAGGTCACCACGCAAACACACGACCGTAAAACACCAAACTCAGGTCACCACACGCACAAACACGACCGTAAAACACCGAACTCAGGTCACCATGCAAACACACGACTGGAAAACACCGAACTCAGGTCACCACGCACAAATACAACCGTAAAACACCGAACTCAGGTCACCACGCAAACACACGACCGGAAAACACCAAACTCAGGTCACCACGCAAACACACGACCGGAAAACACCGAACTCAGGTCACCACACGCAAACACACGACCGTAAAACACCAAACTCAGGTCACCACGCACAAACACAACCATAAAACACCGAACTCAGGTCACCACACGCAAACACACGACCGTAAAACACCGAACTCAGGTCACCACGCAAACACACGACCGGAAAACACCGAACTCAGGTCACCACGCAAACACACGACCGGAAAACACCGAACTCAGGTCACCACACTAACACACGACCGGAAAACACCGAACTCAGGTCACCACACGCAAAAACACGACTGTAAAACACCGAACTCAGGTCACCACGCAAATACACGACCGTAAAACACCAAACTCAGGTCACCACGCAAACACACGACCGGAAAACACCAAACTCAGGTCACCACACAAACACACGACCGGAAAACACCAAACTCAGGTCACCACACGCACAAACACGGCCGTAAAACACCGAACTCAGGTCACCACGCGAACACACGACCGTAAAACACCGAACTCAGGTCACCACGCAAACACACGACCGTAAAACACCTAACTCAGGTCACCACGCAAACACACGACCATAAAACACCGAACTCAGGTCACCACGCAAACACACGACCGTAAAACACCAAACTCAGGTCACCACACGCAAAAACACGACCGTAAAACACCGAACTCAGGTCACCACGCAAACACACGACCGGAAAACACCGAACTCAGGTCACCACACGCAAAAACACGACCGGAAAACACCGAACTCAGGTCACCACGCAAAACACACGACCGGAAAACACCAAACTCAGGTCACCACGCAAACAACACGACCGGAAAACACCGAACTCAGGTCACCACGCAAACACACGACCGGAAAACACCAAACTCAGGTCACCACACGCAAAAACACGACCGTAAAACACCAAACTCAGGTCACCACGAGAACACACGACCGTAAAACACCAAACTCAGGTCACCACGCAAATACACGACCGTAAAACACCGAACTCAGGTCACCACTCAAACACACGACCGTAAAACACCTAACTCAGGTCACCACGCAAACACACGACCGTAAAACACCGAACTCAGGTCACCACGCAAACACACGACCGGAAAACACCGAACTCAGGTCACCACGCAAACACACGACCGTAAAACACCGAACTCAGGTCACCACACACAAAAACACGACCGGAAAACACCGAACTCAGGTCACCACGCAAACACACGACCGGAAAACACCGAACTCAGGTCACCACGCAAACACACGACCGGAAAACACCGAACTCAGGTCAACACGCAAACACACGACCGGAAAACACCGAACTCAGGTCACCACGCAAACACACGACCGGAAAACACCGAACTCAGGTCACCACGCAAACACACGACCGGAAAACACCGAACTCAGGTCACCACACACAAAAACACGACCGTAAAACACCGAACTCAGGTCACCACGCAAACACACGACCGGAAAACACCGAACTCAGGTCACCACGCAAACACACACGACCGGAAAACACCGAACTCAGGTCACCACGCAAACACACGACCGGAAAACACCGAACTCAGGTCACCACGCAAACACACGACAGGAAAACACCGAACTCAGGTCACCACGCAAACACACGACCGGAAAACACCAAACTCAGGTCACCACGCAAACACACGACCGTAAAACACCAAACTCAGGTCACCACACGCACAAACACGACCGTAAAACACCGAACTCAGGTCACCATGCAAACACACGACTGGAAAACACCGAACTCAGGTCACCACGCACAAATACAACCGTAAAACACCGAACTCAGGTCACCACGCAAACACACGACCGAAAACACCAAACTCAGGTCACCACGCAAACACACGACCGGAAAACACCGAACTCAGGTCACCACACGCAAACACACGACCGTAAAACACCAAACTCAGGTCACCACGCACAAACACGACCGTAAAACACCAAACTCAGGTCACCACACGCAAACACACGACCGTAAAACACCGAACTCAGGTCACCACACGCACAAACACGACCGGAAAACACCGAACTCAGGTCACCACGCAAACACACGACCGGAAAACACCGAACTCAGGTCACCACACTAACACACGACCGGAAAACACCGAACTCAGGTCACCACACGCAAAAACACGACTGTAAAACACCGAACTCAGGTCACCACGCAAATACACGACCGTAAAACACCGAACTCAGGTCACCACGCAAACACACGACCGGAAAACACCAAACTCAGGTCACCACGCAAACACACGACCGGAAAACACCGAACTCAGGTCACCACACGCACAAACACAACCGTAAACCACCGAACTCAGGTCACCACGCAAAACACACGACCGGAAAAACACCGAACTCAGGTCACCACGCAAACACACGACCGGAAAACACCGAACTCAGGTCACCACGCAAACACACGACCGGAAAACACCAAACTCAGGTCACCACACGCAAGCACACGACCGTAAAACACCAAATTCAGGTCACCACGCAAACACAACCGTAAAACACCAAACTCAGGTCACCACACGCAAACACGACCGTAAAACACTAAACTCAGGTCACCACATGCAAAAACACAAGCGTAAAACTTTTGACATCTGCTTCAGCCGACGTGCGACTCCGAACTTTTCTAACTACACGTCAGAAAAACGCAGACAGCAGGGAAAGCGACGCAGACAATAAGGGCTGTGATTGGTCGTTTCTACATCTGCTCTACGTACATTTCCATGGACCTCGATGCAGGTCCATAAATCAAAAACGAGCGACAAGGCGACAGCGGTAGAGTCGATGCCAAACTATAATTTGCCCTTAAGGAAAGACACTTTTTGCTCAAATACATGAAAAAAAAAATCAGGTACAGCTCCTTTAAAGGTTGTATAGAGGATTTTCCAAGGAAGGAGAAATCCAGCGACTGTTTGTCCTTTTTCAAATGTTGCGCCTGCGTGAAACCACCTCCCCTCCCCTACAGCTCCTACGTAGAAACACCTCCTCCCTCCTCCTCCTTACGCCACAAACAGGTTTGTTTACAGCCGGTGCTGCACATGACTTGTAAACAACTAACTACAGTGTTGGTTAGACAAGACGGAGAAGTGAGGAGCGGGGGGAGCGGGTGTGCGGACATTTCGTGCGCGGACGAGAAGTGAGAAGCAGGGAGAAGAGAGCGGAGCAGGAGAGAGAGGAGAGGGAGAGGAGAGGGGAGCGGTGCGTGGAGATTCCGTGAGGAGCAGGGAGAAGAGCGGAACGGGCAGAGAGAGGGGCGCAGAGATTCCGTGCGAATGAAGCTACTACTACAACACGCAGCAGCAAGCGGACTCTTTCTTTGCCTTGAAAATTACGTTTTCAGACATAGGATATCGCATTCGTGTCCTGAAAAACGTTTGTCTCGCTCTTGGAAATAAAGTACGTTTTCATAATAAGCAGAAGTTTCCTGTCCAGGAGTAATTTGTGGACCAGTGGTTCAGTCTTTAGACCCTGCGTCTGCTTCAGTCGCGCCATCGCTGGAATGAATCTTCAAGAATCACCTTAGTTTGGCTTCGCTGCTTTTCCCCTTGTCTTCTTCTTTCAGCGACCTCAAAAACGGACTTTGTTTTGGGGCGAACTGCTCGTAGATTCTTGTCGCCATTGCAACAAACTTTGTGCGAACTGCGAGGAAGATATAGGTCAAAAAAGCCGCTAAGAACTGTTGCGTTGGTGGAGTAAACAGCGTCTGTGCGTCTGTGGACTGTGTGACAGTCGTACATAAACCACGTACCGGCGGCGCAGGCAAGTCAGTTACACTAGAAACGTAGGGAGTTTGATTGACAGCCTGTCAGCTCACAGATAACGAGGCAGTGTCGTTATCTATTGGCAAATGTTTAGCCCCACCACGTCCAGAGTTGATGAATTTTTATTCTCTTTTTTTTGGTCATCATAATTACAAGGCTACTGCATCTATAATCTATCATTGACAACTTGAAACAAAAAAAAAACAAAAAAAAATCCTCCATACAACCTTTAAGTCTTCTTGAGTTGTTGACATTGTTGAACTTTGAACTGAATCCTACTTTTTAAACTAAAATCTTGAGTATAATCACAATATTTCTTTTCCTTGTGGCGTTTTTAGGAACGGCTCTGAGTCTGTCCTGACGCGTCCCAAGAGGAAGGAGGGACAGAAGTCGGTTTGGTTCAAAGAGAGCGAGAACTCCTCAGAGATCGAAGTGGAGATCATCCCCGACACCGCCATCCTGGACGACGGCGAGGAGACGCAGGAGGAGGAGGAGCCCAAACAGGAAGAGGAGGCGGTGCGCGACCCCAAAGCCCCGATGAGAGACGAGAGCCCGGACACAGAGACAAACCCCGAGAACACAGACAAGAAGGCGGAGGAGTAGAGCTGCTGCCCAAGAGACTTTTACTTCACAAATAACCTTAAAGCTAAATTAACTTTTTGATATTCTGTCCGAGTTGGTGGTTCAATGCCAGACACGTTCCCCTTATCCACAAAGTGCTCCTCCGGGTTTTTAAAGTGCCTACAACAGACTGGTTACTTCACTGACCAGGCTCAAAGTCTTAAAGAGGGGGTATCATCCAGAAAAAAAACTGCCTGAAGAGGTCTAAAGGTCAGTTCAATTCGGAGCGTCAACGGGTCCAGTTTACACGTAAAGTCTACGGGAACGTGCATCTGAGGAGTCCTTCGGGGGGTTTTTTTCCGCTTCAACCAGGGGCGTAGTCAGTGAGGTTCGCGGGAGTTCGCCGTCCACCCTCTTCTCCCGACGTGAGATATAAAAAATAACAAATACAAAAAAAATTTACAACTTAAATGTTAAACCGGAGCAACTGGCAACGATGAAAACAAACTGCATAGGCTCATGAGGGAACCAGGACTAAAACAGGTCTAAACCAGAACTAAACCAGGTCTAAATCAGAACTAAACCAGAACTAAAGTACAAGATTAGTAATGGTAGTAATGGTTTAATCCTGGTGTAGTCCTGGTTCAGTCCTGGGTTAGTCCTGGTTTAGTCCTGGTTTAGACCGGCTTAGACCTGATTCAGTCTTGGTTCAGTCCTGGTTCAGTCCTGGTTCAGACCTGGTTCAGTCCTGGTTCGGTCCTGGTTTAGTCTTGGTTTCGTCCTGGTCTAGACTTGGCTTAGACCTGGTTCAGTCCTAGTTTAATGCTGGTTTAGTCCTGTTTTAGTCCTGGTTCAGTCCTGGTTTCAGTCCTGGTTCAGTCTTGGTTTCGTCCTGGTTTAGTCCTGGTTCAGTCTGATTCAGTCCTGGTTTAGTCCTGGTTCAGTCATGAATCCCGTACCCCCACTTAAAAAAAATCCCCACTGCACCACTGGCATCAACTAATCAAGGACGACTCTCCCGAGATCCGAGAACCAGGGCCAGGAGCCACGAACATGAGTGGAATATAAATATAAACATGCTGCAACTGCCGAGCCGGTCGCCAGGACTAAACCAGGACTAAACCAGGACTAAACCAGGACTAAACCAGGACTAAACCAGTGTCATTAGCAGAGTATAAATATATTCACGCCACAACCGTCGAGCCAATCTCCCTCCGCTGATGTGTTTTATGTAATAGAAACACTAAAGTCTCTCTCAGCCTGGTCCATCGTTCCTGGAAAAGTCCGTCACATGTTTCCACGGCAACGGACGCCCTGCCTGGTCAATGCGTCAAGTATTTTTCTCCCGTTCGTCCACGGCGTCCAAGAAGCTCGTCGGGGGCGTCTAAACTCAAATGAAAAGGCTCCGACTAGAGGCGTCCGGCGCGTTTTTTTGACGCTCCGATCTGAACGAACCTTTAGACCCAAGTCTGTACGAGGCTCCGCCCACAAGCCTGCGTCATGTCCCCCATTCGCTCACACGACAAATCTATATAAATACACAAAAACATGACTCAAAACTGAACACGGCAACTCGACAAACCTGACGTGATGTGCGGTAGTTTCATATTGTGTTGTGATAGCGCTCTGAAGGGGGAGCGACTTAGCACGGAGAGCGAAGTCAGGGGAGACTCGGAGCACGTTCTGTGTCGGCGGTTAATTCCCCGTAGAAGTCAGATACCCCCTCTTTAATGTGACTGAAAGCGTTTCAGATCACGCGACGACCTCAAACAACTCGACGTTTGACGATTAAAGAACAAAGAATGTTACGAACAGTTTTACGCTTTTAACACACGTCCCTCGATCTTCACCGCTTCATCCTCGCCGCGCTGCTAATCATCCACTTTAAAGACGATGAACTAAATCCACTCTCTTCCACGACTTAACTGTGTAGATTGTGTTTTAACAGCTTTATCTTCTGTCATTCAGCATTTTTGGCAACTTTTCTACTCAAAAACAGTCAAAAAGAGTTTGGAAAATGCAGAATTTTCCAGTAGCTGGTGACATCACACACGACTGCCCTGATTACAGCCGGGTGTACCTCCAGACCCCTCCTCCTCCTCTCACTCTCCCGTTTAAGGCCAGTTCATACTTCAGAAGATCATTGAACTTTGTTGTTGTTCTTGAGGTGATAAGAACAAGAAAAAAGTTTGTTTAGGCTCTGACATTTCATACTTCAAAAGATGTTCTGCTGAGGAAGTGTCCCGCCCCCTCGCTCTGCCCCGCCCCCTCGCTCTGCCCCGCCCCTCGTTCTGTCCCGCCCCCTGCTCCCCGCCCCCTCGTTCTGTCCCGCCTCCGCCCTCGTTCTGCCCGCCCCCTCGCTCTGCCCCGCCCCCTCTCGCCCCTCTGCCCGCCCCCTCTGCCCCGCCCCTCGCTCTGCCCCACCCCCTCGCTCTTATTAGCTCAGTATTAAAGGGAGAATTCGGAATTTTGGACATAGGACCTCATTTCCCAGTGAGCCGGAGTGTTGGTAGTCAGGCTGGCGCCACCTAGTGCCTCCACTCAGTTTCATTTCTCTCCAGAGACTTGGTCAGGAATCAGAATAGACTAGACCAGGAGTGTCCAAACTTTTTTCATCAAGAGCCACAAATCTAAACACAGATGAAGCAGAGGGCGATCGACGGCCATAGACTGGAGCTCAATACAGTGAATAATTGAAATACATATGTAACACATTAGAATGAGACATCAGTCCTTTATTTATGCTAAGAACCTCAAAACCACACACTAAATATTAATTGTTTATCGAGGTAGATTTTCAAAAAACTTGTAATAAAAAGTTAATTTTTAATTGATGCAAGGTCATTTGGGCCAACTCTCCTGGAAGCCTGAGGGCCAAGAAAAATTTGTCTGAGAGCCGCATTGGGCTCACGGGCCATAGTTTGGACATGCCTGCACTAGACGGTTTACAAGAACCATGGAAGTGTGAGTTCAGGCACCAGCCAATCAGAGAAGAGACAGACAGTCTGTGTTGTCAACGATTCCCGAGATCGAGGATTTAAAGCCGGAACAAAGAGAATGTTTGGTGAATTTTATCAAGGGGAAAGACGTTATTGTTCTTCTTCCTACAGGATTTGGGAAAAGTTTAATGTAACAGTTAGCCTCGTTATGGCGCATTACAAACATCATGACTAAATAGCAGCGATTGGTTAAATAAACTGTCGGGCGAACGAATCCTGATGCTGCGAGGTCACACGGATACGATGACGTGAAACGAAGTGAAACCAGCTGATGAATCAGGAATTCCATTTTTCTTTAAAACACAAAATCGAAAACTGAAAAAATGAATCGTTATCTGTTTTTTTTTCATTTTGGTTTTGGGACAGAAATGGAGAAAATAGTTGTTTTTTTCCTTTTCTTATTATCACTCCACCTCCTCGTGTTGTCAAAAAAGAGTTCTTTTTACTGATGGTTTGCTCAATCTTTATTGTGGCCTGTACAATTTCGAGACCCACAGGATGCCCCTGATGCCAACATCACCAACGCCACCGTCGAACTAAAATAATTAACATAAATTACAATCAGAAAAGGTATAATATAAAGACATAAAATAAAAACATGAACAATTACAAAAAACATACCTCGCTGGCTGACCCATATTTTGGAGGTAGAATGACCTTTAACATAACTCTATTCACTTTATTTTAACTTTAATTGACTTCTTTGCTGACACGCCACACTACTGTTTCTTGACCAGGCGTGCGTCTCTATCAAGGGGTCCAGCGGAACCGAACAAAACAATAACAGTTCCTACCTGCTGACTACCAAAATAAAAGCACGAAATCTTCTCTTATGTGCATATTACATATTATTCAAGAATCAAATAAAAAGCAAATCAAAACTATGGCAGTAAAACTTATTTTTGGTTTTATTTTGAAGAACAAATGATACACAGATTCGCAACACCACTTTTGCGTCTTCTGTTCATAAACGTAGACGAGTCGAGAACAAGTTGCAAGATCCGCCCAACAGGAGCTCGTCGAAAAAAATAACGTCATTTTGTTCAAGTTCCTATGAAGTATGAATCGGCCTTTAGTCCTCCAGACCACACCCAGTTTTCCAGCTCTGTTTGAAATCTGTTTGTGGGGGCGGAGTTTAGGTGTTTAGTTTCACTTTAATAACATTTCTTTTTGCAGCTGAAAAACCTCAGAATCCATAAACCAGCGACTCTCGGAAAATACAAAGGACTCGACAGATTTCAGCTTCGTGCCTTTCAGATTTAACTGTTTTTATGGACTCGGTTAACGTGCCTTTAACATTTGCACTACAGCTATTTATTTATTTATTTAAAATGTCTCCTTTAATATCGAAGCTCTGAATGTGTAAAATGTGTTACCTGGACAAAAAACAAACATACCTGGAGTTGTTTTGTCTGGAAGCCCATTTCCACCAGTAAATCAAAAATGTATAATTATGGGTTTTAAACTCGTAATTGTGAATTTTATACTCTTAATTATGACTTTCTGTGAGGCTTTTATTTTTTATTTACTGGTGGAAAGGGGCTTCCAGAGGTTTTGTGCGTCTCCGTGTTTATTTTTTTATTTTTTATTTTTTATTTTTTTATCAACTTCCACATTTGCAGCTACTGTTTTAGCCTGATTTAAACCACCTCAATCCTCACTCGTAGGTAAATTAAAGACGCACTGTGTAACTTTTCGGTGGAGGGTCTGCCATCTGCTTGTCTCCATGGAGATGTCTTTTTTTTTTGCGAAGAATGTCCCACATTTTGACATTAAACTTACTTAGCTGGAGACAAGCAGGTGACGTTTTCAAGTTTTTATTTTGTTCAGGACTTAAAAACATTTCACCTGTAATTGAAAATATGCAAGGCTCATCTCTTTAATGCCAGTGTGGAACATTACAGGCCAAGCAATAACATCTCCATGGAGACGAGGAAAACATTCCTGGACTTGTTTTGTGCTCCTCTGTGTTTTTAAAGCGCGTTCATCTCCACCAGACTCTTCTCATTTACTAATAAACTTCAACGTTAGCAGCTACTGTTTTAGCCTGAATTAAACCACCTCAGTCCTCAATTCTAGGTAAATTAAAGACGCATTATGTAACTTTTCGGTGGAGGGTCTGCCATCTGCTTGTCTCCATGGAATGTCCCACAGTCTGGCATTAAACGCACTTGGCTAGAGACAAGCAGGTGAGGTTTTTATTTTGTTCAGGATTTTTTTTAAATCACCTGTAATTGAAAATATGTAAGGCCGATGTCTTTAATGCCAGTGTGGAACATTACAGACCAAGCAGTAACATCTCCATGGAGACTAGGAAAACATACCTGGAGTTGTTTTGTGCTCCTCCGTGTTTTTAAATTACCGTATTTTTTGGACTATTAGACGCACTTAAAATCCTTTAATGTTCTCAAAAATCGACAGTGCGCCTTATGTATTCATCTTGGTTGTGCTTCCTGACCTCAAACTGATTTTATGTGGTACACGGCGCTCAAAAATCTGTCAAAATGTTTTAGTACGACTTTGGTAAACTATGAAACCGCACCGCTTTATGGATTGTCAGAGCATTACGGCGACCGCAGGATAACTTGTGGAGTAAAATAATCAAAACATCCTCTGTCACAGAGCGCATCCTCATATTCCAGTCGTGTCCTTTAGGCACTGAAACAAATCACTGTATCAGAAATGATTTACGTCCAGACACGTCGTTTCTGTATCCGCAAGTCTTCCTTATCTACACAGCTTTTTTTTTTTTTTTTTCCCATTAAAGTTTATTGGAAACAAAGGAACAAAATATATGGTACATTGACACAGCATTTCAACTATAGTCCCCTTTCTCCTTTTCTAAAAGTAAACAGAGTCACTGTACTTATATTATAGAAATAATCAAGCTTGAGCAAGAAGAAAAAAGCTTGGTAATATTCAAACTAATAATAACAGAACAAGAAAGAAAAAACAAAAAAAGTAATAATAATAAAACAAAATAATATATATATGCATATATACATACACAGAAACGAAACTTAAAACCACATGACTCATTTGCATAAACTAGAAGCAGCTTGCTGTTGTGCGCTGATGTGGTTCAGCTTCTGTTGGACTTAAAAAGGACACAGTGACTCAGTGGAGTATGAGTGTTCTCTCTGTGACAGAGGGGTGTTCTGCTGATGGTGAGTCTGTTCTGTGTTTCTGTCGTGTTGGAGATGGTTCATGTGAAACTTCTCAGAGATTATACGTCTGCAGTTCGTACACACAGACCTGTAGAACTATACTTCCTCCTCCTTGAATGCGAAATCACCTGAAATGCTAGTAACTTGCAGCAGCCGATTTCGAGCCGAGGAAAATGGCCATGTACTAGCAAGTAGTTGTAGCTTCGCTGTATTACGTTTGTCTCTGGTTTGTTTAAACTGTTTTCCGCAATATCGTCACATGACCGATGTCACAAACCCAGCGAATCAGAAAGGAGCGAGTCACAGTGACGTGGTCCAATAAGGACGCGACTCGAGCTCCTACGTCAGAGTATCAGTGTTTTCAGGAGTCCACACAGTCAAGGATCAGATCTGTACGAACATGAATTCGTGGGAGCTGGAGGCACCGTTCGTTCCGTCTCTGGAGCCGTTTTCCATCGGTTTGGTGTGAACGAACACTGCACCCACAACGAAAACAAATCGAATATGAACTAGTGTGGACGGGGGCGTGAGGGATCAATCTCAAGTGTCGTCCATTTGTTTCTCTTAATGCGCTTTATAATCCAGTGCAACTTAAAGGTTGTATAGAGGATTTTTTAAGGGAAGAGAAATACAGCGACAGTCCTTTTTCAAATGTTTGTGCATGAGTGACACCACCTTCCTCCTCCACAGCTCCTTCAGTAGAAACATCTCCTCCTCCCACGTTTTTTTTACAGCCAGTGCACATTCAGAATTACCGTTGAAGTGACCTGTATAGAAATAATTTAGCGACCGACACGTCAGTTTTTAGACCCTTTGTCTGCTTCATTTGCGCAATCGCTGGACGAGATCTCCAAGAATCACCTTAGTTTGGCTTCATTTCATTTCCCCTTCTCTTCTTCTCTCAGCGACATCAAAAACTGATTTTCTCTTGCGGCGAACTGGTCGTGGATTCTCGTCCACCATCTCAACAAACTTTGTGAGAACTGTGAGGAACCTACAGTTTAAAAAAGCCTTTAAGAACCGCTGCATAAACCGCCGATGAGTCAGTTACACTAGACACGTAGGGAGTTTGTTTGACAACCTAACAGCCAATAGAAAATGAGGCAGCCTCGTTATCTATTGGCTGATGTTTGTCTGGCCTCAACACGTCCACAGTTGATCGATTTTTATTCTTTTTTTTTTTTTGGTCATAATTACAAGGCTGCTGCATCTCTGTAATGGTATTTTAAACTTTCATTGACAATTTGAAACAAAAAAAAAATCGTCCATACAACCTTTAAGTATGAAAACAGACGAGAGAATTCAACATTATTAATATTGCGCCTTATAATCCAAAAAATACGGTACATCCACTTCCACCATATTCTTCTCATTCGATAATAAACTTTGACATTTGCAGCTACTGTTTTAGCCCGATTTAAACCGCCTCACTCCTCACTTTGCCAGCCGCTTGAGAGTTTGCGCCCTCTGCTGGTGTACACAAATGTAGGTCAAACAATTAAAGATGCACGGTGTAACTTTTCGGTGGAGGGTTTGCATTTCCTTGTCTTCATCAAGATTTTTAATTTTTTTTGCGAAGAATGTTCCACAAAACAGTCAGTATTTTTGGTTGTTGTTGTTGTTTGCTTTGTCTCTTGTCTGCAAAGAAAACAAAAATCTGAATATTAAAAAAAAAAAAAAAAAGGAATGTTCCACAGTCTGGCATTAAACGTACTTACATGTTTTCCAAGGTTTTTATTTCATGCAGCATTAAAAAGACAGACCTCTTTAATGCCAGTGTGGAACATTACGGACAAAGCAATAACATCTCACAGGTATTTTAGGTAGTTTTACGTTTTCCATTTAATAAAAAACTCAGTGATGTTGTATTTATTGTAATTTAAATTATTAATTATTTTGTGAAACTTTCTTTTGGCGTTGGGTTCCTGCCTCTAACACAGACCCTGAGCCTCTCCCTGCACATGTCTTATTTATATTCCTGTATTTTTGTATTTGAAGTGTTTTAAAAATGTTTATTTATTGAGAGATTTGATTTTCTTTGGGTCAGACTAACCCGGACTCTAAGGGACTTTTTGTTTGGTTTGAAAAGTGCACTTAATATTTGTATGTTTTTGAAAGAATCAGGGAAAATAAAGATATGAAACAAGACGTGTGTTTGTCGTCAGTTTTTGATTTCAATAAAGAACAAACTCAATACTCAATACAAATTCAATTACCACGATGATAATAATAAAAAATTCTTTCTTCACACAATAGAATGTGATTTTCCACATTAAATTGATTTTTTGTATTTATATCGCGCCTTTCCAGATCCCCACAGCTTTACAGTTCATTATTCAGTCACTTCACACTCAGTGGTGTAAACTACTATTGTAGCCACAGCTGCCCTGGGGCAGACTGACGGAAGCGAGGCTGCCAATCTGCACCATCGGCCCCTCCGACCACCAACACACACACACACACACACACACCACTTTCATACCAGGCAATGTGGGTGAAGTGTCTTGCCTATGGACACATTGACAGTTTTTTGCCACTGCTGTGGCTCCTGGAATTCCTAATGGTCTCCATCCAAGTCCTACCCAGGCCCAACCTGCTGAGCTTCTGAGATCTGACGGTGGTTGTACTTTCTTTTCTATTCCCATGTGACTTTAAATAGAACAGAATAGAACAGGAAGCTTTTATTGTCATTTACACAGTATAATGAGATGCAGAGCTGCTCCTTCAAAGTGCAAAAAAAACATCCAGTTTTCAGTGTAAAGTTGAGTTCAGTTTGGTGACAGTTTTGGGAAAGAAGTTGTCCCTGAGTCTGAGTCTGTTTGTTCTGGACCTGAATCTCCTGCCAGAAGGAAACAGGTTGAAGAGGTGGAAGTCGGGGTGTATTGTCCTTTATGATGTTCCTCGCTCTGCTGAGACAGCGTCAGTCGTATATCGTGGTTAAGAAAGGCAGAGGGCAGCCAATAATGTCCTGTACAGTGTTGGTGACTCTGCAGATGCTTCCTGTCGGCCTCTGTGCAGCGAGAGTCACACTGACACAGCAGAGGTCAGCAGCTCTCAATGGTGGAACGACAGAAGGTCACCAGCAGCTTGTGTTTAGTCGCTCCTTCCTGAGCACCTCAGGAAGTGTAGCCGCTGCTGGGCCTTTTTGACCAGTGCTGAGGTGTTGACTGACCAGGAGAGATCCACAGAGATGTGAACCTTGAGGAATTTGAAGGACTCAACTCGCTCCACACTCTGGTCGTTGATGTTACAGAGGGACAGGGATGAGTTCCTTAGTCTTGGTGATGTTCAGAGTTGCGTTATTAGTTGCACATCATGAGTTTCAGGAGCTCATCTCTGTAGGCGCTTTATTCCCGTCTGTTATCAGCTCCACCACCGTCGTGTCATCAGTGAATGTGACAGTGTTGTTCTCTGGGCTGGTGGGACTGCAGTCGTGTGTGTGGAGAAGTGGGCTCCACCTACTGGTAAGTTATTTGCCATGTAATGATTTATACCAAAAACAGTGATTGATCTGGTTGGTCATATTAGACTGCTATTATTTTGAAAAAAAAATCAAAAAAAAAAAAATCACAAAAGCAGAGAAATATTTTTAAAAAGAGTTTATTGAGGCTGATCACTTTTAAACCATCCGTAGTTACAGTAAGAAGACACGTCATTCTACAGAAACCAACACTACACCGCAAAAAAACTAAACACAACACCAAAAGGAGTCAAAATCACCAGCCATACACATGTTAATCCAATTTTTTTGAGTTTTGACAAGTTAAGAATATATTTTGTAGGTTATGTAAGCATAAGCAGTCGTAGAAGTGGTGTAATTTTTTTTGTTACTCATCGAAACAAAGCTTGAAAATAAGAAAATCCAGTGAAACCAGCTGGAAACACGTGTTATTGGATTGTCATTTTAACTCGTGTTGTGTTTTTTTTTTTTGCAGTATATGAATGTTAAAATGAAAACAGGTCCCCGATTTAAAACGATCACAAAGGCAGTACTCGTCATCTCACAACATCGTATCATCGTCATCATCTCAAACTTCAAAATATTCCGCCAAAATCTGACCCAAAAATTAACTAACTAAAAAGCGTCAAAATTTCTACAACATCTCTCTACATTCGAACCTTTACACATCAGAAAAATAAAATTACAAACTGTCAGGATTGTGGCGTCAGTGCAAAGATGGAGCCTCCAGAAACGCAGCTTTTTTACAGTGTTTCAAAAGCGGACGCTGGTCAGTTTTATTATTATGAAGAACAGAATATCAAGAATTGTTATTTTTAAACGCATTTTTTAAGTGAAATCCAATTAAACATTTTTAACGGAAGCTGAAAAAGTAAATAAAAATGGAAATGTTGGCTGTTTTTTTTAATATATAGACTGAATGGTGCGAAAATCCAAAACAAAATTATGAAAAAAATCTAAAAGTTGACTCGTTTTTATTTAAATTCATTTACTTTTTTGTGTTACAACAGATAGAAAATAAAAAGTATGGAAAAAGTAATTTAAAGTGGTTTATTTTGTCCTTTATTGGCTGATCTTCCTGGTGCCAAGACATAAAAACAATCCCTTAGTAAAAATTAAAAACACTGCAATTCTTCTTTTTTTTTTTTTTGTGGAATTCAGAATTTTGTGATTTGTCTGAAATTAAATTAAGAATGAAGCGTAATTTCAAAGTGTTGTGATCTACACCGACAGCAGCAGCAGCACAAAATGGTAAAATATATTGTTTCGATCACATTATTTTCGGCTTTTTTTGTGTTCTAAATGTTTTAAATGCAGTTTTTTTTTGGAGTGGAAAGGATTAGACCCCCATTAGACACTGCATCCTCGGCTCTGGTCCAGTCCAAGTCCAAGTCCAAGTCCAAGTCCTGGTCCAAAGTCCAGACACTTTATCGTACTGATTGAGTTTCTTTCGTCACATTTCAAACTGGTTCATATTTTGTCTCTGAAGTTAAATTATCTGTAAGATTCGTAAATATTTGTGCAATCACTTTTTTAATCCGCCCGCTGCTTCGATTCTCAGACGGAAACAAGAAAATTCACTGAAACCAGCTGAAAAAGTCTTAAAATGTCAAAAAGTCCCGTCCACCTGGGTCTAGTCCCACTGGTCAAAAGTAGCCCCCTGGTCTAGTCTAGTCCCTGGTCTAGTTTCTGGTCTAGTGCAGCCTAGTCCCAGGGTCTGGTCTAGTCTAGTCCACGATTTAGTCCAGTCCTAGTCCCAGGGTCTGGTCTAGTCTAGTCCATAGTCTAGTCTAGTCCCTGGTCTATAGTCTAGTCCTACCTGGGTTTGGACCAGTCTAGTCTAGTCTAGTCCCACCTGGATCTAGGTCCAGTCTACTCTAGTCCCTCCTTGTTCAGGGTTAATTCTCGTCCCTAGTCTAGTCTAGTCCAGTCCTCAGGGTCCAGTCTAGTCCCACCTGTGTCTGGTCTAGTCTAGTCTAGTCTAGTCTAGTCTAGTCCCACCTGTATCTGGTATAGTCTAGTCCCACCTTGGTCTGGTCTAGTCTAGTCTAGTCTAGTCTAGTCCCACCTGTATCTGGTCTAGTCTAGTCTAGTTTTGTCTAGTCCCACCTTGGTCTGGTCTAGTCTAGTCTTGTCTAGTCCCACCTGTGTCTAGTCTAGTCTAGTCTAGTCTAGTCTAGTCCCACCTGTGTCTAGTCTAGTCTAGTCTAGTCTAGTCTAGTCCCACCTGTGTCTAGTCTAGTCTAGTCTAGTCCCACCTGTGTCTTAGTCTAGTCTAGTCTAGTCCCACCTGGTCTGGTCTAGTCTAGTCTAGTCTAGTCCCACCTTGGTCTGGTCTAGTCTAGTCCCACCTTGGTCTGGTCTGGTCTGGTCTGGTCTAGTCTAGTCCCACCGTCTTGGTCTGGTCTAGTCTAGTCCCACCTTGGTCTGGTCTGGTCTGGTCTGGTCTAGTCCAGTCCCACCTTGGTCTGGTCTAGTCTCGTCCCCCGGGTCCTGTATATTTATTCGTGTTTATTTTGCGGGAGCGAAGCCGACCCGGTTGTTGTCGCGGTCGAACACGGTGTAGTACTGCCCGATGAACACGTCCCCCAGGATCCACAGGGGCCCGGCCGGAGGAGGGATGTCCAGAGCCATGAACCCGCTCAGGCAGATGGTTTTACCGGCCTGGGACTCCTGAACACAGAAGGAGACAGAGACAGAGAGACAGAGATCAGCACAGGGTCTGAGGTTATGTGCAGAGTTCACGTCTTTTCCCATGACCAAGTCTCATTTCTCTTTCCCTGCGAGGATCTAAACTCCTCACACAGACCGAGAATAAAGTTGAATTCTTTTCTCTGGCGTCTGCTCCCGGAGCCTCCCTCAGGTTTACTCCTTCCCTCTGTGGTTTTCTTTGGGACAACGCTTCATATGAAACGTTTGACTGACAGCTGAAAAATCAAGGGTCGAGGAGACGGATCAAGGAGAAGGAAGCGAGGAAAGAGAAATGAGACGTGGCCCTTTTTTTTTTTAAGGAGTTCAGTTATTTGACTTTTGTATTTATTATTTATGATTTTTAACTTCTTGTTGTGAAGCACTTTATTGCATCCTTCACGGACAAACTCGTCATGTTTACAGGAACAAAAAGTTCAAAAAGCAGGTAAAAATCCAAATGCTGTTGTTGTTTTTTTAATTTATAGACTTGTATAAATCTATCATTCAACATTTTCTAGTTTGGTGTGAAAATCCAATGCAAAATTGTGTATTCCCAACGGGTCTGGTCTAGTCTAGTCCCTGGTCCAGTCCCGTCCCAAGCCCGGGTCCGGTCCAGTCTAGTTCCTGGTCTAATCTAATCCCATCTAGGTTTGGTCTAGTCTAGTCCCACCTGAGTCCACTTTAGTCTAGTCTAGTCTAGTCCCATCTGGGTCTGGTCCAGTCTAGTCCTTGGTCTAGTCCCACTCTGCTCGCTTTTTTCAATTTTTTAAATCTGTGCTTCTTTGTTTTCCCAAGTGTCTAAAAAAGAGCTCTACAAGTTTTTAGTCTAGTCCCACCCGGGTCTGGTCCAGTGTAGTCCCTGATCTAGTCTAGTCCCACCCGGGTCTGGTCCAGTGTAGTCCCTGGTCTAGTCTAATCCCACCTGGGTCTGGTCTGGTCTAGTCTGTACCAACACAAAATGTTCAAACTGATGGACAAAAGTACATAAAAATCCAAAAGCTACTTGTGGTTTTTATTTAAATGAATTTACTTTTTTGTTTTAATGTATAAAATATTTGTATTGTTAATATGATGTGAAAAAGTCATTTAATGTGGTTTAGTTTAGTGTCTGGAAAAGTGAAACTGTATAAATCTATAATATAATAAAGAGCGAAAGACAAAATTGCTTCTTCAGTTCTGGTCTGGAGCTGGTGGACACTGCCTACATCTGCCTGAAGGGGGCGCCAAGTAATATTTAGGATCATCTTTACCGCAAAATAAACAAATAAAGCTGCAAAATATGACTGATTGTTCGTTTCCAAGGTCTAATACGAACAAACTGTAAACACGGCGCCCCCACATGGTCACGGACGTCCCTGCTGCTGCTGCTGTTGTGTTTACAAGGGGCTGAATCAGAGGGAATTCTGGGAAACGGCCTCAGACAGAGTCACAGAGCAGGTCTTTGTTCAACACTTTATGATGTAAGCGTTTGTATCCACAGCAAAGAAGCACGTTTCAGACCAACTATTCACTTTTTTCACGTTTTTCCCCACTGTGCTTCTTTGTTTTCCAAGTGTCCAAAAGAGCGTTCTACAAGTTTGAGGGATTATAATAGTTTAAATAGTGCTGTCATGCGATTAAAAAAATTGATAGATTAATTAATTATGATCTTAATTAATTAATCTAATTAATCTCATTTTAATCTCATCTAAAAATTGCTGAGAAAAGCTTCAATTTGAGGTATTTTCATTTAAATTCATTATTACATTATTGTGGCAGATCAAAAAGACTGATATAGATTTAAAAAAAGTGACTTTATAAAGTCATTTATTGTTGAACAAATCTCTCCAAATTGTCTGTTGAGCCCAAGTCTCCATGAATAAGAAACTGTTTGCTGTAAAGTAGCAAAGACGAGGAAATCTGAACATAATAACTTTTGTCGACTTAAAGACAATAAAAAGTCCAGTCTTTCCTTAACCATATTAAAAATATTATTGATAGAGAAATGTTTTATATATGAGATCACTGGTTTTAGTCCTGGTTTAGACCTGGTTTAGACCTGCTTTAGCTTTAGTCCTACTTTAGTCCTACTTTAGTCCTAGTTTAGTCCTGGAATGGATTAATCCTGGTTTTAGTCCTGGTTTAGTCCTGGTTTAGTCCTGGTTTAGTCCTGGTTTAGTCCTGGTTTTAGTCCTGGTTTAGTCTGGTTTAGTTCTGGTTTAGTCCTGTTTAGTCCTGTTTGAGTCCTGGTTTAGTCCTGGTTTAGTCCTGGTTTTAGTCTTGGTGTTAGTTCTGGTTTAGAGGTTCACAGGAGGAAGCTCGGTTTACGCCGCGTACGCGAGAAAACACGATCCACACGCGGCTCACGGGAGCAGGTCGGTGTCCACGCAGTAACTACGGAAGGAAACGTGGTCCGCGCGTGTTCTCAGGTTAATGACGATGATGAAGGTGTGTGTGTGTGTGTGTTTGTGTGTGTGTGTTGTGTTGTGTGTGTTTGTGTGTGTGTGTGTTTGTGTGTGTTTGTGTGTGTTTGTGTGTGTTTGTGTGTGTGTGTGTGTGTGTGTTGTGTGTTGTGTGTGTTTGTGTGTGTTTGTGTGTGTGTGTGTGTGTGTGTGTGTATAGGACAGTAGTGCAGACATCATGAGTCTATGCAGGTTGTTTTCACCAGTGACGTATATTTTATATTTGTTATTTTCTTTTATATTTCACGTCGGGAGAATAATTTCCAAGACACGAATGTGTTTTTACCTGTGCACTGCTGCTCTGTTCTACTGGCTCTTCCACCTCGTCCATTGTGCGACTGACGCCGTAAACGTCGCTCTTACTGCGCGTGTTTTGTGTGGGTTTCCGACAATGAGTGGAATTGCCGAAATTAAAAAAATGTATAAATGTGTTTTTTGTGTGTGTGTGTGTTGTTGTCCCAGCAACGCATAAAAACAGGTTTTATAATAAAGCAACTCACATACAGAAACAGTAAAGTTAGAGATTAAAAATGAGATTAACGCGATTAAAAAACATAACGCGCTAAATATGACTGTAATTAATTAATCGCAATTAACGCGTGATAATTTGACACCCCTAAGTTTAAATATGCAAAAGTGCAAGATTTTGATTTGAAATTTAATAAACTTGACCCAGTTATGTCCCAAAATACGAGGATGAAATCACAATATTTGCCAAACATTAGAGACTCACCTTGAGGATGTACTGTTCCCCGGTCAGAGTGTAGGTCTGACCCCCGATGTTGAAGGTGATGGGAGGAAGAGTGGGCACTTTATCACAGCTCACCATGTACTGAAACAAAAGAAAACAGGAAAACTATTATTAAAATACTGAAACTAAACAAGGAATCATCATTATTAAAAGGTGAAATGTGTGAATGTTTTGGTGGAAGATCCGTCAAATGTTTTTCTCCATGGAGATGTTATTGCTGTTGTTTTTCGTGGTGTTTTTGAGCTTTAAAACCACCTGTAGCTGAATAAATGTAAAGTAGACAGTGTTGGGGAGTAACAGATTACATGTACTGGAGTTAAGTAATCAGAGTACAAATGATGAGTAACTGTATTCAGTTACAGTTACTGTTTCAGTGAGTGGTAATTGGATTACAGTTACTTTATTGAAATAAATGGATTAAACAGAGGGATTTTCCTGTTTTACATCTTGGGCTAAACCAGGACTAAAACCAGGACTAAAACCAGGACTAAAACCAGGACTAAAACCAGGACTAAACTAGAACTAAAACCAGGTCTAAACTAAAACTAAACCAGGACTAAAACCAGGACTAAAACCAGGACTAAACCAGGTCTAAACTAGAACTAAAACCAGGTCTAAACTAGAACTAAAACCAGGTCTAAACCAGGACTAAAACCAGGATTAAACCAGAACTAAACTAGAACTAAACTAGAACTAAAACCAGGTCTAAACTAGAACTAAAACCAGGACTAAACCAGGACTAAAACCAGGACTAATCCAGGATTTATACCAGGACTAAAACAGGATTTAACAGGACTAAATCCTGCTGTGTGGACTGTGTCTCCTCCTCTTCTGTCAATAATATTTTTAATCTGGTTCAGTAAAGTCTGGACTTTTTATTTTCTTTTATCAGACAAAACTTCTTATGTGAAGATTTCCTCGTCTTTGTTTCTCTACAGTAAATCAAGTAATCCAAAGTATTCAGATTACGTTACTCACTTTAAGTAATTTAATGGATTACGTTACAAACTACATTTTGAGGTAAGTAATCTGTAATCTGTAGGGGATTACATTTTAAAAGTCACCTTCCCAACACTGTGTATATGTGTCACTCTACAAAAATCTCAAGTTCTTGTTGAGGTTTGTTGATTTCTTACTACAAATGTCAGTGAAACCCACATGCAGCCGCCTCTTGTGTGATCGAATCGGAGGCATTTTTTGTTGATTTTCTATATCAATATTTCCACAAGTTTCGGGTCAGCCATAGAACAATATCATAATATAATTTACATTATTTTATAACAAATAAACTGGTAGTAATCATGTAATTATATTTTTTTCAGAATTATGGATGACTGAGATGAACCACATTCCTGAAATGGATCCAAGACGGTGGTGGGCAATTCTTTTTTTCCATGGGGCGACATGAGAAACAGAAAATACTGTGGAGGCCAAAATATTTAACTCCATTCTGCATATTAATAATTGTATTTCTTTATAAAAAGCAGTAAATATTATAGTTTTATGAGCTGGTCAGACTGGGAAGAGTTTATGTTACGACTAAGCATAGAAAAAGTGAGACTTTTGTTCCTAATTTCCTTAATCATGTTTTATTACAGATAAAAATGTGCCTCTATTACAAGTTTTCCTTTTAGAAACTCACATGATGCATGAAATATGAAGAAAAAGTGCAAGACATTTGACAAGTTGATATAGATTATATCTCTGGTCAAAACTAAACACTAAAATGAACACACTAACTTAATTTGTATATCCGATAATTTTTGTAGTGTCCCTAGACCAAACATGTCAAACTCAGGCCCAGGGGCCAAATTTAGCCCACGATAGAATTATATTTGGCCCGCGAGATCATATCAAAATCTGTATTAGAGCTGCTCACTGGCTACAGATCGACTATAGAGATATTATTTTAAATGTTGTTATTATTTTATATTCTGTTTGTTCTGGATTCTGCAAAACTATTATTAAACATTTATTTTAATAAGAAAAGGTTTAACATTACATATCTCGAAAGAAGAGAAAACATGCAGATGTTGTGGAATTTTTTTCAATAAATATTTAGTTTGACCCACGACTTAGTCCCAGTTTTTAATTTTGGCCCAATGTGAATCTGAGTTTGATGACATTGTCTAAGGCAGAGGTGTCAAATACTCACTAGACAGTTCGGGAGTTTCATTTATCTTTTTTTTGTTTTTTTTTATGGTTTGTAGACTATTTCTGTAAAAGGTTTATATGAGATTCTTCATATGTATATTCCTCTGCTTCTGTCCCGGTGAGTTTGTTTCCCTCACCTCTCCCTGGATGAGGGGCAGGGCTCCGATGGCCTTGTGCAGAGCCCTGACTTCGGCGGCAGGTCCGGTGATCAGGGACGTGCCCGTGTCCACGATGGCCTCACAGCCTCCTTTACACAGACCCAGCTGAGCGCCCACCTTCAGCCTGAAAACACAAACACACAGCCGGGTCAGACGCAGCGCTCTCCTCCCTGTCGCCCTCCTCACTCCATCACAACAGTCGTTTTTAGGGACGGGAGACGCGATGAACACCAGGGGCCACAGTGGGGCAGCAGAGGCTCGAGTGCAGAGTGTCATGTCTTTGGGGAGACACTTTTGAATAGTAGAAGGACGATTGAGGTGGAGGAACTGGCACATCTGGGTGAAGTTCTCACATTAATGAAGAAAACAGACTATTAGAGATTATTACCGTAATCTCTGGACTATAAACCCCTACTTTTTTCCTCACAATTTGAACCCTGCGGCTTAAACAACAATGCAGCAAATATAAAGAAGGATTACCGTATTTTAAGGACTATTGAGCGCAGCTGAATATACGCCGCATCAACTAAATAAAAAATTGTACATATATAGGCCGCAACTGAATATAAACCGCAGGTGTCCACGTTTTCAAGAACGTTTTGAAGTTCAGCTCATCTACTTTTATCATCTCTAAAAGTTTTTGTCGTCTTTTTGCGTTGAGTTGCGCTGCAGCTGCCAAAATCTCACCAATCGACTCACTGACGTCGAGCTCACGTGCAGCAGCAGCAGCAGCAGCAGCAGCAGCAGCAGCAGCAGCAGCAGCAGCAGCAGCAGCAGCAGCTCTGCTTCCTTCTTCCACAGCCACATCAATCACCTTTAACTTAAAATCTGCATCATCCACATTTGTGTGTATGAAGCTCAAAATAATAGTTTGTGTTTTACAAACAGAATCTTCCTCGATGCATCACACTCGTCTCTCCCCGTGCTCTACTGCACATTAGGGATGGGCATGATTAATCGATTAATCGATAATTGATCATTAAGAATTTCATCGATTACGTTCATTTTAATCGACAAACCGAATGTAGGTTGCTGTGTGTGTCGTGACCAAACAGGTGTGTACATGTGTCTCTGCATCAGAAGGAGCGAGACACAAACAGTGGGTCAGTCTGTAACGAACCGAAGCACAAATGTGGATTTAACCATGATTTGTAGAAGAAAATTCCACACTTTCCGTTGCGTTGGGACAAGTGTGAGTCCATGTGCACAGTGGATAAAGCAGCACATATGTTTCTGTGTCCAGTGGGAAAAAGTTTTTCCAGGTGAGAGTCGCTCAATGTGGATGACGAGGCCCCGCCCCCCTCCCCCCGTACGCTGTCCTGGTTTTGACAAACACAAATCTGGTCACACTGACCTGTATTCACCTGAGTCATGTCTTTTAATCCAACACAAGTTGAACCACATCAGCGACACAAGAGCTGGAGTTTTATCTTCACTTAGTTTATGTAAATTAGTGATGTGGTTTTAAGTTTTGTTTCTGTGAGATTTGAACAAAACTGAATTAAACACATTATAATGTCAAACAGCTGATGTGGATCTAGAGTCGTTATGTTTATATGTCGTAAAGTTGAATTTATTTATGCAGATTAGTGCAGATAGTAATAATAATGATGATCATTTTAATATAAAAACGTTAATGATTAATCGATAATCGATCGTTAATTCTTCCGATGATCGATTAAGAAAATTTCCTCGAATGCCCGTCCCTACTGCACATGTCTTGAAAAACGTTCTTATGGACACCTGCATCTTATAGACAAGTGCGACCTAAAGTATATATATTTGTTATTTTTTTCTTTTAAAACTGAGTTGCTGTGGCTTATAATCAGGTGTGTTCAATAGTCCAGAAATGACACTACATAGAACATTCAGCTTCTTGCCTGAGAGAGAAACTATCACTAACTGTAATCCTCACCCGTCCACGTGCACCTGCCAGTACGCCTGTCTGGTGATGTTGACGTAGTGGAAGTCTCCAGTGAAGTATTTGGGGTCAGTTCCTCCGAGCAGCAGCTCTCCTCCGGGCTGAGTGTCCGGGTTTCTGAGGGAAAACACAAAACAGGACGCTTGACTCAAAACACAGAATAAAGGAGAACAAAATAATGGATTCATATTGTAAAGCGTCAACAGAAGCAATCGATACTCAACTGGAGGCGCCGCTCTGTCTGAAGCTGCTACTCGACTTTTATCTGAGTTTTATTTTAATATAATCTGACCAGAAAGAACCGAGTTATCTGAACTACAGCAGGTGATCTGATCAGTGCTGTTAAAATCCCTCGTAGAAAACATGACAGTCACAGATCTTGTCACACTTTTGTTCATGGTTTGGGTGTTTCCTGCGACTTATTCTCCGGTGTGACTTCTATATTAAAATGTTTTTGGTGAAGCGTGGAGAGGTTCTAGTCTTGTGTGTGAGTATCTGCTGCTCCTGTTCCTCCTGCGCCACTGTCACTTGGCTCTACTGCGCATGTCTCCTGCAGAAAGAGCCTCTGTTCTGTCTGTATCATGTCAGTCGATCGCACCGTTACTTCTGCACCACTGAACAATTTAACATTTAAACCAGGCGTCTCCAACCTTTTGTCCACCGCGAGCTCCTTTACAAAATAAAAATGCCAGAGAGCTGCCACAAGAAATGGAGTAAGAGCCACGACCTGAGATCAGAAAGGTGTTTTTATTGGTTTTATTGATTTAATTCATTTATTGGTTTATTTATTTCTATTCTACGATTTTGTTCTTATTTTATTTTACTGGACTTATTTTATTTTACTGGTTTTATTTTATTTTACTGGTTTTATTTTATTTATTTACTGGACTTTATTTATTTTACTGGACTTATTTACTGACTTATTTATTTTACTGGACTTATTTATTTACTGGACTTATTTACTTATTTTATTTTTGGACTTATTTACTGGTTTACTATTTTATTTTATTTTACTGGTTTTACTGGTTTTATTTTATTTTACTGGTTTTATTTTATTTTACTGGTTTTATTTTATTTTACTGGTTTTATTTTATTTTACTGGTTTATTTATTTTACTTTTATTTTATTTTACTGGTTTTATTTTATTTTACTGGTTTTATTATTTTAAGACTAGTATTACTTTAGTAGTTTATTTTATCATCTTATTGTTGTTATTATTTTGTATTTGTGCAGCACTTTGGAAACTGTTTGTTTGTGAAATGTGCAATAGAAATAAAGTGGATTGGACTGGAACATTTAGAGGCCTATAAAACCTACACTATTATCCCTTTATTAGTGCAGAAAGGAAAGTTTGGCACGAACATGATACATTTACAATTTTAAACACTTTCATTCTATTCATAACAAAACTTATAATTCAGAAATTCTTTGGCGAGCTACTTGGAAGGAGGTGGAGATCCCCGATTTAAACAAACTTATAAAAGACGACTGAGAAGATTGAACACAAACGCCCCCAAAATCCGTGTGTCATTCGTTTATTTGTTTTTCAATATAAAACCAAAAATAAGAAAACGAAAAAACAACTGCTTTCATCGTTATTTGTCTCCCAAACCAAAATTGAAAAAACTGATAACGATTCGTTTTTTCAGTTTTCGATTTTTGTGTTTAAATGAAAAATGAAACGTTTACGTGACTTCCGTGACTGCGATGCCGGACCTTTGTGCTGCATACGGACTGAACCAGGACTGATCCAGGACTGGGACCAGACTGGGACCAGACTGGGACCAGACTGGGACCAGAGCGGGATCATCAGAACGAATCATTATCTGTTTTTTCCTTTTTGATTTTGGAGACAAATAATGAAGAAAAAAAGTTGCTTTTTCATTTTATTATTTTTGTTTTTATTTTGAAAAACAAATGAACGAACGATACACTGATTCCCCAAAAACAAAATCAGATTCTGCAGATTACAAACTACAAGTCGTGAAATCTGCTGCTGAAAACGGAAATCGAGCAACAAAGAAAGTTTGGAGTGAGAGAGAAACTTGTGACACCGAGAGCAACTTTCCTGAAGTCACTGGACGGATGGACAAAGCCTGGACTTCAGTGACCCCAATAACCCCAATAATTCTAACTAATTGTCGCTCTGTTTACCTCCGGAGGTCGTGGAGTTGTTCAGAAGTGACACCGAGGATGAAGAATTGAATGGATTTAGTGATTTGGAGTGAGATGGAGAGTTTGTTAAACTTGTTCTGTTGTTTATGTTATAGTTTATCTGAAGAACTGTTCATCTGTGACGTTAACAGTCTGTTGTTCTTCTCTCTTCTATTGTTTTTATTACAACGTGACTTTACACAGGAAATGTCTGCTCCTGCTCTCAGATTTTTTAAAATACATTTCCCCCAAAAAGGGAAACTTATATGTTTTTTTTCTTCTTCATTCTGCATTTTTTTTGGCTGGTGCTATGCTCTGGAAAATACGGTAGTTTTTAAAATCCATTTTCTATTTCATATTTCAGAGGATCTTGTGCATTTTATCACCCTGGTAACTGCTGAACATTTCACCACAGAGATACACGTAGAACTACCCCAGCGTGATGTCACTGCAAAGTATCAATCTAATTCACTGAGGACAAACGAAGGTGATTTTGCTCTGGCGGCTCTGACCTGTTGAGGTAGAAGGAGAAGATGTTCTGGTCCAGTTTCTTCTGACTCATCATGTTGTCGAACACGGGAGTGACTCCGTCCACAGAGATCCGAGGATACGCCATCCCCAGGATCCCGTCGAACTTCGCCGCGATGAAGGTGATTCCCGGCTGTTTTATGGCCTCCCCGAAGAGCTGCTTCTCCACGGCCAGGCCCCCGATCTGAGGAGAGACAGACAGGAAGTGACATCACGACACCAGAGGGTCACTGGAGTTTAAACTGAGCTGAGGACGGGAATCTAATTACTGGACCTATTCACATGACAGGGGCACAGGCAGTGTTGGGAGTAACGCGTTATAAAAGTAACTAATTACTGTAACGTGTTGCTTTTTGTTTTAACGCAGTAATGTTACGGTTTTACAGGGGAAAAAGTGGTAATATTTTACTTTGTACAAATGTCAGTAATGCACAGTGTTGGGGAGTAACAGATTACATGTACCGGAGTTATGTAATCAGAGTACAAATGATGAGTAACTGTATTCAGTTACAGTTACTGTTTCAGTGAGTGGTAATTGGATTACAGTTACTTTGTTGAAATAAATGGATTAAACACAGAGGTGTTTTCCTGTTTTCACATTTTGGGCTAATATCCCTTTTTTTTTTTTTTTTTCCAGTAATTCCACTCATTGCCGGACACTAAACCAGGTCTAAACCAGGTCTAAACCAGGTCTAAACTAGGACTAAACCAGGTCTAAACCAGGTCTAAAACCAGGTCCTAAAACCAGGTAAAACCAGGTCTAAAAACCAGGACTAAAACCAGGTCTAAAACCAGGTCTAAAACCAGGTCTAAAACCAGGACTAAAACCAGGTCCAAAACCAGGTCTAAAACCAGGTCTAAAACCAGGTCTAAAACCAGGACTAAAACCAGGACTAAAACCAGGACTAAAACCAGGTCCAAAACCAGGTCCAAACCAGGTCTAAACCAGGACTAAATCATGTCTAAACCAGGTTTAACCAGGACTAAAACCAGGTCTAAACTATGTCTCAAACAGGATTGAACAGGACTAAATCCTGCCGTGTGGACGTGTCTCCTCGTCTTCTATCAGTACTATTTTTAATTTGGTTCAGTAAAGTCTGGGCTTTTAGCAAACAAAACATTTTATGTGAAGATTTTCGAGTCTTTGTTTCTCTACAGTAAATCAAGTAATCCAAAGTATTCAGATTACATTACTCACTTTAAGTAATTTAATGGATTATGTTACAAACTACATTTTGGGGGATGTAATCTGTAATCTGTAGGGGATTACATTTTAAAAGTCACCTTCCCAACACTGGTAATGCGTGTCACAATGCTTTTTTATATCAGCAGCGGTGAAACACCAGAGACACGCCCACGTAGACCGTGATCGTGATCAAAAGGACCGGCGCAGAACTCAGTGCTCCACAGAGCTAAACGCAGCTGACGCCTGATCGCGCTCGGGGGGGTTTCTCTCAGGGGCGGTCCTAGATTCCAAGTTCTAGTCCAAGATTAGTCCTGTTTGGTCCTGGTTTAGTCTTGGTTTAGAACTGGTTTAGTTTTGTTCAGTCCACGGAATGGACTGGAATCCCCATCACTAGTAGCTAGAATGTGATGCAAAAATATCATTAGTCCGACCTACTGTCTGTAAATATGACGTAAAGAGTCAGAATAACAATAAATGTTGCTTAAACCCAATTTAAAATCCACCAGAGTCAAACCTAAGTTTTTTAAACAATTCAAGATTTACAGTGAATTTTTACATCACTAAATATATCGGCAGCTCCGACTCACATTTTATCGGTTTCATATCGGCCACAACAAAACCCATATCGGTCGGGCCCTAATCTCTAGTGTGTATGTGTATGTAGGTTTATATGTGTGTGTGTTAAGGGTTGTAACGATATCCAAGTCTCACGATACGATATCGTCACGGTGTGAACCTCACGGTACGATAGTTATTGTGATATCGTGGGAAAGCTGACGATATGTTGGGGAGGCTCATGATTAGAGATGTAACAATATCCAAATCTCTTACGATATTTACACAATATTTTCACGATATACATCTCACGGTACAATATTTATTGACATTTTTTTGTGGAGGTTAACAAAACTGAATATGCTTCTTTTTCCTCTTAAAATGCCTCGACAAGACTTAATCCAAAGAACTAAGACTTAAAAATGTTAGAACTGTTATTTCTTCTTGTCGTCTGCACTGAAATGGAGCAAAGGATCATGGTCTATGTAGTTCCCTCTGTCTTTTTTTTTATCTATTGCCGCTCCAAAACTCTTCATTTAAGCAAAGACACTTGTAATTCAATATATTGTGATGGTCCACGATATTATTGTGACAACTTTGACGATACGATATCACAATATTTTGGTTATTGTTACATCTCTAGTGTGTGTACGTGTACGTGTGTGTGTGTGTGTGTGTGTGTGTGTGTGTGTGTGTGTGTGTGTACGTGTGTGTGTACGTGTGTGTGTACGTGTGTGTGTGTGTGTGTGTGTGTGTGTCAGCGTGACTCACGGTGCAGGTGTCTTGGCTCAGGTACCCGGACAGACTCCCGGAGCCGTACTGGATGGCGAAGGCCGTTCCGTTCTTCACGTAAGTGCTGGACTTGGCCCCGTTGTATTTGTGATGAATCCCTGAGCACAAGGAAACAAAAAGATTCTTATCGTCACGTTTAATTAACAAGTGATGCCAATAAAGTCCTTGAACTTGTGGTTTCACATTTATAATCTGACATCCATCCACAACGAGACTGATCCAAAATGACTTAAATATCCAACAGCAAAGAAAAGTGGAGGCTTTACCCTCAGAACACAAAGTCCATTTTCTGCATTTGACCCGTCCTTCAGTGTCTCTGGGTTACACCTGTCAGGACCAGTGGGACCAGCTCCAGATCTTGGTCTAGTTTTGGGGGTAGGGTTTTGGTTTGATGGAGAAAACATGTAAACTCCACACAGAAAGGCTCAAGAACTGAACCTGGATAGACTTTTTTCACAACGGCTGGAAATGTCCCGCTGTAGTTTTGCGGAACTTTCGGTTAATGGTTTTCCATCCATCCATCCATTTTCTTTCGCTTATCCGGGGCCGGGTCATGGGTACAGCGTCTAAACAGGGACTCCCAGACTTCCTTCACCCCAGACTCGTCCTCCAGCTTATTTCGAGCGTTTGTATCGGGATTCTGGTCCTTTTGGTCATTACCCAAAGCTCATGACCAGAGGTGAGGGGAGGAACGAAGACGGACCAGTAAATCTTCACCACAACGGTCCGGTTCAAGTATCTCGGGGTCTTGTTCACGAGTGAGGGGAGGACGGAAGGGTTAATGGTTTTCTGTGGCAAAATGTCTGTCGAAATGTGTCGCGTTTCTCTAGTCAGGCTGGTGCCACCTAGTGCCTCCGCTCAATTTTGTTTCTCTCCAGGGACTAGGTCAGGAATCGGAATAAACTAGACAGTTCGCAACGATTCCCGAGATCGAGAATTTAAAGCCGGAACAAAGAGAATGTTTGGTGAATTTTATCAAGGGGAAAGACGTTATTGTCCTTCTTCCTATGGGATTTGGAAAAAGCTTAATACACCAGTTAGCCCCGTTTACATACGTCACAACCAAACAGCAGCGATTGGTTAAATAAAAAAAATACCCGCCCACCCTCGAGCGAACAAATCCTAATGCTGTGAGGTCAGACGGTTTCTACGAAGTGAAACCGGCTGATGAATCAGACTAGCGTTTGTGCACCAGCTTAAAAAAAAAAGTCTGCCCCATCACCAAATCTCCACCAACAAACTCCGCAAAGATGAAACATTCTAACATGAAGAATTTATCTACAACTATCAAGAGAAGAAAGACGAAAACTTAAAGAAAAACAATGACGACGCATTAGTGACAAACTGAACAAAACTAATGTTATGGTCCTAGAGACGTTTCGCATTCGAACTGCACAAATCTAATATCGACGTCATGAAATCGATTTTTTAAATTGTAGAATGAGTCTGAGTGAACAAGTTCCTTCTGTTTTGTTCGTGACCATAACATTAGATTAGTTCAGTGAGTCACTAAAGCGTCTTCGTTGTTTCCTTTTCGTCTTTCTTCTCTTGATCGTTGTGGATAAATTGTTCATGTTAGAATGTTTATCTTTTGTGGAGTTTGTTGGTTGAAGATCTGGTGATGGGGCAGATTTATGAAGCTTGCTGGAGAATACGACACATTTACACAGATATTTTGACACACAAGTTCTGCAAACGTAGAGTACGGGACTTTTTCGGAGTGTTGTGTGTTGAGTGTTTTCATGTTTTTTTATTGTATTTTGTTGAATGTTATATTCTATTGTCTTTAATACAAAATAAAAAAATAAAAAAGTGATAAAAAAAAGATCCTGTGGGCAGCTGTGGCAAATTCATACAAAATAGATTTATTTCCTTCAGGGTCAATAAAGTATTTAATTTTTGGAAGCAGCAAAAATGAAACAAACATGACAATAAAGCAGCAGTTCATCCTCTTTGTAAATGTTTAAGAGTCTTGCCCAAGAACACAAGAACAGTATGAACAGTTTAAACTAAAGACCTGCTGCTCTGAGCTTCATGTGACTCAACACTTATTTCTAAATCTGAGTCACTTCCTCTTTTAACCGCGGGTTAAAAAGTTAAAACGCTGAGTGTCAGGAGAGACAGACGCTGCGCTGTGATTGGTCAATCGACGTGATCAAGATTAGGAAAAAGATAATTTTTTAAAGTTAGGAAACGGGTAAAGACTGTTGAAAATAACGATCTTAAGGCGCCTCTTGCTTTGCAGGAGACGACACTTTATGAATGTTTTATTAACGCATCTGTTATTAATGTTCATGTCTTAATTTAGAGACAAAATAGTGAAATAAAACTGCTCTGTTCATTTTACAAGCCTTGTCCAAAAGCCCAGTTAGTTTTGTTCAGTGAGTCACTAAAGCCTCGTTGTTTCCTTTAAGTTTTGGTCTTTCTTCTCTTGATCGTTGTGGATAAATTGTTCATGTTAGAATGTTTTTCCTTTGTGGAGTTTGTTGGTTGAAGATCTGGTGATGGGACAGATTTATGAAGCTGCTGGAGAAATGACACATTTACACACACATTTACACACACATTTACACACACATTTTGACACAGAAAAATATTAACCAAAAGTTGCGCAAACCTAGAGTGCAGGATTTTTTTTTTGGAGTGCCTGGATTTCTTTGTGTCTACATCAGGGGTGTCAAACATACGGCCCGGGGGCCAGATCCGGCCCTCCAAGACCTTTAATCTGGCCCTCGGCTGATTTTCTACTAAAATATTTTAATGATATTTTCTATTAAAATCTTGTTAATTTTCTGTGGTGTTTATCACAGCAGCGTCTCCAGCGTCTCTGTACGTGGCCCCTCCCACCAGAGCAGCACAAATGAAGACTTGTCTCTTTCCAAACGCTCTTAAAGGACGATCGTTTTGACTGTTGACCGTGACACCCTCATCAGAAAAATGTCCAACATGAGAAAAGTGGAGCCGAGTGCAGGATTTTACAACAAAAATTGACTTATTCCTGTTTAAAAACAAGTTCATGTTAAAACTTTGTGTTGAAATTGTATTTTTCTTAAAGTTTCAGGTTGTTAATAAAATTATAATATTCTGTAAAAGAAAGAGTTCATCAATTAAAAAAGATTTCTGTCATAGATTTGTGTTTCTCTGCACAAATATTTGAACTTATTGTTATTTTTGGGGTTTATATGTGGGTTTTTTTGTTTGTTTTTTTCTGGCCCCTTTGGGATCAAAGTAGGTTGGATACGGCCCCCGGACCAAATTGAGTTTGACACCTCTGGTCTAAAGTTTTGATGCTTTTCCCCCAACAGCGCCCTCTACCTGTTCTCACGGACTGGAACACTTCATCAAGCAGCCACGATTTTGTTTTGTCTGGATATTACTCGTTTGTTTTCATCTGTAACTTTAACGCGACGTAAAGAAGCAGCGGTGCGACTCACAGCAGGCGACGTCCAGGATGGAGCAGTGCACTGAAGGCACCCACAGGTTTGAGGAGCCGGTGTCGAAGACCACGGTGAAGCGCTGAGGGGGGGTGCCCAGGCTGATCTCCCCGTAGTACTGAGCCTGGAACATACAACACCAGATTATAAACACACACAGTAACACAGGCTCAAAAATCTGCACAGTCAGCAAATCCCGAAGCGTGCAGTTGTCGAGGTAAAGTCCTTCGTAGAGTTTTGACCCTGAGTCTGAGGTCTCCTGTTTAAAGCAGCTTGACCCATAAACTCCAGACTCAGAACATCTAAACTCCAAACAGATTACAGATAATCTCCAAATCAGATCAAGTTAAAACAAAAGTGTGAAGAGTTTCTGAAAGTGCACGAGCGCCAAACGATTTGCCTATGAACCATCACTAATTAATCGAAAAAACTAAAAAATTATATTTTCTCTGTATGTAACTTATGTGTCTTGTCTTATCTGCTCCCATGCATGTAGTTTAGATTTATTTATTTTATTAATTTAATTTATTTTTTATATGAACAGGTGTCGAAAACTAACACTTGGGCTAAAACTCTCAAAGCAACGAATCTGGTTTGTCTAATTGTGATTGTGATGTCCTTAATAAACATAAATGTAAAACAAAAATTAGGCCGAGTGACGCCATGTGGTGATACAAGAAGTGCTCCACTGTGTTTTTAAACATAAAGGGTTATTGAAGCGTGTGAGTGAAACAAAACACGAGTCCAGGTTTGTTTTTGAGGCGGTAACAGGATTATGACACGACTAAAACCTCACGAGAGTCAGTTTTGTGTAATATAGGACTTTTTAAATGAGGGAAACGGTGACGGTTAGGAAATATTTTTGCAGAAGTAACTTTAAAAACCTGTTTGCCTTTTCTCAACTCACACTGTAAAATAAAACATCTCATTTAGAGCTGCGTCATAACTTCACACTAACACAATAAAAGCCCACGTTTCAGTTTCAGCCAAAAAACAAAAGAATAACAGTCCAGAAGAGCGCCCCCTGGTGTCCGAGCCCGGCGCAGCTCTGCTCTTTCCCGTCAGTCATAATCTCTGTAACGGTAAATCCAGTTAAAGCAAAACATGTTTAAATCTGGATTAGCCGAGCGCTGATCTGTTCTGGGGCTTTTACTGTGAAAGGGCTTTGTTTACACGGAACGGGGTCAAAACGAAAAGAACGAGGACGAAAACAAAACCGTCTCAGCGCGACACGATACATTTTATAATTGATTTTAATACTAAGGAACAGACTCGATACTCAAGACTGATTCTGATACGTTTATGGACGACGTTTGGAAACACGCGAGGACAGTTTTCCGGTGTCGTTCCCGACGCTGGGCTGATGAAAACTGAAGGACGGTTGGAATTGTTGATGAGCCGAAAGTAACAGAACGATACAATAACATGGAGGTGGCCATTTTCTCACTTTTCCAAGATTTTCCTAGAACGACGGACGGGAGAAAAATACTTGACGCGTGTTCAGGGCGTCCGTTTTCCTGGAACAACGGACCAGACTGAGAGACTTTAGTGTTTTTATTACATTCAAGTGTCAGCGGAGGAGATTAAACAGTCCGACAGTCAGTGTTAAAGTCCTGGTGTTTAAAGTCCTGTAAAGTCCTGGTTTAAAGTCCTGTTAAAGTCCTGGTTTAAAGTCCTGGTTCTAAAGTCCTGGTTTAAAGTCCTGGTGTTAAAGTCCTGGTGTTAAAGTCCTGGTGTTAAATGTTAAAGTCCTGTTAAAGTCCTGGTGTTAAAGTCCTGGTGTTAAAGTCCTGGTGTTAAAGTCCTGGTGTTAAAGTCCTGGTGTTAAAGTCCTGGTGTTAAAGTCCTGGTGTTAAAGTCCTGGTGTTAAAGTCCTGGTTTTAAAGTCCTGGTTCTAAAGTCCTGGTTCTAAAGTCCTGGTTCTAAAGTCCTGGTTCTAAAGTCCTGGTTCTAAAGTCCTGGTTCTAAAGTCCTGGTTCTAAAGTCCTGGTTCTAAAGTCCTGGTTTTAAAGTCCTGGTTTTAAAGTCCTGGTGTTAAAAAAGTCCTTTAAAGTCTAAAGTCCTGGTTTTAAAGTCCTGGTTTTAAAGTCCTGGTTTTAAAGTCCTGGTTTTAAAGTCCTGGTTTTAAAGTCCTGGTTTTAAAGTCCTGGTTTTAAAGTCCTGGTTTTAAAAGTCTGGAGTTTAAAAGTCTGAGTCCTGGTCCAGTCCTGGTCTAGTCTTTTTTATTTAATAAATTTTATTTATTTATTTGAGATAGTGTAGAATTTTGCCATGAACCTTAACAGGAGAGATGTTTGTACCAGGTTGTAGCACCGGTGCTCATGTCCACCTGTCGTCTCTCGGCCCAGGGATCGAACCTGGAACCTTCTTGCTGTGAGGCATGAGAGCTAAACACTCAGCCACTGTGCCGCCTGGTGTAGTCCTGGTTTAGTCCTGGTTTTAGCCCTGGGTTTAGCCCTGGGTTTAGCCCTGGGTTTAGCCCTGGGTTTAGTCCTGGGTTTAGTCCTGGGTTTAGTCCTGGTTTTAGTCCTGGTTTTAGTCCTGGTTTAGTCCTGGTTTTAGTCCTGGGTTTTAGTCCTGGGTTTAGTCCTGGGTTTAGTCCTGGTTTTAGTCCTGGTTTTAGTCCTGGTTTAGTCCTGGTTTAGTCCTGGTTTAGTCCTGGTTTAATCCTGGTTTACTGGACTACTGAGCTGTTTGACCAATGGTCTGACCTTGATTTCTCACGGGGGGTAACAGGTGGAATGTTCCCGGGTCCAGTTTCTATTTTAATTTTATTTTTTTTTTTTTTTTTAGTCCTGATTGATTATTACTATTTGGTTTTCGATGCTTCTTTTTTTTGCGTTGTCATAACTTACAGAAAAAAAATGAAGTGAAATCAGTGTTATTCTGCAAAATTAAACGCTGATTCAGGAAAACTTCACATATTCACACATAATAATTTGCAGAGTCACATTTTAGTAGCGTTTAGTTCCTTTTTTCTTGTCGTTTTGGTCTCGTTTGTCCTCAGACACTTGTAAAAAAAGCTGAGTATGTGGACACTGATCACATGACTCGTCGTATCTGACCCGGACTCGCGCTTCGCTCTGAGGAACTGTCCATCTGTGACCAAAACGCAACTTTTAAACGATTATTAACCAACGTTTACATTAGAGAAGAGATTAGACAGCAAAAAAATCAACACGACAGCGGAAAATACGACAAGATTTAAGTATGAAGACTTTTTAGGCCTCACAAAAATGATGAATAATAAAAAAAAACATTACTCTTGTACAGCGCTTTTCATGACACAGATAAAAACAAACACAAACAGATATACTGATATATATATATATATACAGATCAAACAGAGACGCAGTTTTGAAAGGTCAAACTGGACGCACCTTCAACACACCTGAAGTACTCGTATGTGCAGTACTAGTACTTTCATCCAGACAGACAGTGAGTCTCTGGTGTAGTTGTAGTATTAATAGTAGTACTTGTAGTAATAGCAGTAGTTCTTAGTTGGTGAGCGTCTCTGGTGCAGTAGTAGCAGTAACAGTAGTAGTAAGTAGTAGTAGTAGTAGTAGTAGTAGTAGTAGTAGTAGTAGTTGGTGAGCGTCTCGGGCGTGGGGGCAGTAGTAGTAGTAGTAGTAGTAGTAGTAGTAGTAGTACTTACGTCGAGGTAGTTGGTGAGCGTCTCGGGCGTGGGGGCAGTAGTAGTAGTAGTAGTAGTAGTAGTAGTAGTAGTAGTAGTAGTAGTAGTTACGTCGAGGTAGTTGGTGAGCGTCTCGGGCGTGGGGGCAGTAGTAGTAGTAGTAGTAGTAGTAGTAGTAGTAGTACTTACGTCGAGGTAGTTGGTAGCGTCTCGGGCGTGGGTAGTAGTAGTAGTAGTAGTAGTAGTAGTAGTAGTAGTAGTAGTAGTACTTACGTCGAGGTAGTTGGTGAGCGTCTCGGGCGTGGGGGCAGTAGTAGTAGTAGTAGTAGTAGTAGTAGTATGGTGAGCGTCTCGGGCGTGGGGCAGTAGTAGTAGTAGTAGTAGTAGTAGTAGTAGTAGTAGTACTTACGTCGAGGTAGTTGGTGAGCGTCTCGGGCGTGGGGGCAGTAGTAGTAGTAGTAGTAGTAGTAGTAGTAGTACTTACGTCGAGGTAGTTGGTGAGCGTCTCGGGCGTGGGGCAGTAGTAGTAGTAGTAGTAGTAGTAGTAGTAGTAGTAGTAGTAGTAGTACTTACGTCGAGGTAGTTGGTGAGCGTCTCGGGCGTGGGGGCAGTAGTAGTAGTAGTAGTAGTAGTAGTAGTAGTAGTAGTACTTACGTCGAGGTAGTTGGTGAGCGTCTCGGGCGTGGGGGCAGTAGTAGTAGTAGTAGTAGTAGTAGTAGTAGTAGTAGTAGTAGTAGTAGTAGTACTTACGTCGAGGTAGTTGGTGAGCGTCTCGGGCGTCGGGGTAGTAGTAGTAGTAGTAGTAGTAGTAGTAGTAGTAGTAGTAGTACTTACGTCGAAGTAGTTGGTGAGCGTCTCGGGCGTGGGGGCAGTAGTAGTAGTAGTAGTAGTAGTAGTAGTAGTAGTAGTAGTACTTACGTCGAGGTAGTTGGTGAGCGTCTCGGGCGTGGGGGCAGTAAGTAGTAGTAGTAGTAGTAGTAGTAGTAGTAGTAGTAGTAGTAGTAGTAGTAGTACTTACGTCGAGGTAGTTGGTGAGCGTCTCGGGCGTGGGGGCAGTAGTAGTAGTAGTAGTAGTAGTAGTAGTACTTACGTCGAGGTAGTTGGTGAGCGTCTCGGGCGTGGGGGCAGTAGTAGTAGTAGTAGTAGTAGTAGTAGTAGTAGTAGTAGTAGTAGTACTTACGTCGAGGTAGTTGGTGAGCGTCTCGGGCGTGGGGGCAGTAGTAGTAGTAGTAGTAGTAGTAGTAGTAGTAGTAGTAGTAGTACTTACGTCGAGGTAGTTGGTGAGCGTCTCGGGCGTGGGGCAGTAGTAGTAGTAGTAGTAGTAGTAGTAGTAGTAGTAGTAGTAGTAGTAGTAGTAGTAGTACTTACGTCGAGGTAGTTGGTGAGCGTCTCGGGCGTGGGGGCAGTAGTAGTAGTAGTAGTAGTAGTAGTAGTAGTAGTAGTACTTACGTCGAGGTAGTTGGTGAGCGTCTCGGGCGTCGGGGCAGTAGTAGTAGTAGTAGTAGTAGTAGTAGTAGTAGTAGTAGTACTTACGTCGAGGTAGTTGGTGAGCGTCTCGGGCGTGGGGGCAGTAGTAGTAGTAGTAGTAGTAGTAGTAGTAGTAGTAGTAGTAGTAGTAGTAGTAGTAGTACTTACGTCGAGGTAGTTGGTGAGCGTCTCGGGCGTGGGGGCAGTAGTAGTAGTAGTAGTAGTAGTAGTAGTAGTACTTACGTCGAGGTAGTTGGTGAGCGTCTCGGGCGTGGGGGCAGTAGTAGTAGTAGTAGTAGTAGTAGTAGTAGTAGTACTTACGTCGAGGTAGTTGGTGAGCGTCTCGGGCGTGGGGGCAGTAGCAGTAGTAGTAGTAGTAGTAGTAGTAGTAGTACTTACGTCGAGGTAGTTGGTGAGCGTCTCGGGCGTGGGGGCGTTCGGGGGGAAGCCCAGGTTGTATTTCATGTTGTATTTGTCTCCCAGGATTTGTTCCAGGTTTTTCCCGGAGTCGGAGATGGAACGTCGGATCGTACGGAACTTCTTCAGAGGAATCCTGCAGGAAAACCAGAGTTAAACCCAATCCAAAAAAAAAAAAGTTAAAGTCCTGGTGGTGAAACTGAAAGTGAAACCGTGATCAGATAAATGAAGATCTGAGGAGAGTTTAATGTCGCCGCGGAAACGTCGTCCAAACACTTTGACCCGAGTGAAACGAGAAATGTCACAACTGAAGAACACGGCCAGAAAACAGTCGGAAAACAGTCGGAAAACAGTCGGAAAACACTCGGAAAACACTCGGAAAACACTCGGAAAACACTCGGAAAACAGTCAGGTCTGAGAAAAAGTCCAGGTTTAGACCAGGACTAAAGCAGGGATGAAACCAGGGACTAAAACCAGAACCAACCAAGGACTAAACCAAGGACTAAAGGACTAAACCAAGGACTAAACCAAGGACTAAACCGGGACTAAACCGGGGACTAAACCGGGGACTAAGCCAAAACTAAACTAGAACTAAAACCAGAACTAATCAAGGAGTAAACCGTGACTAAAACAGAAACTAACCAAGGGTTAAACCAGGGACTAATCAGGGACTAACCAAGGACTAAACCAGGACTAAACCAAGGACTAAACCAGGACTAAACCAAGGACTAAAAACCAGGACTAAACCAAGGACTAAACCAGGACTAAACCAAGGACTAAACCAAGACATAAAACCAGGGACTAAACTAAGACTAAACCAGGGACTAAACCAGGACTAACCAAGGCCTAAACCAGGGCTAAGACCAGGGTCTACAGCAGGGACTAGAACTAGGGACCAAACCAGGACTAAAACAGAACTAACCAAAGACTAAACCAGGACTAAAATGAGGATGGATCTTGAGTAAAGTAAAACTTCATTTGGTGATAATAATCAGAAAAATATATCCTTTGTTTGTTTGTTTGTTTGTTGTATGTATGTGTGTATGTGTATGTATGTATGTGTGTATGTATGTATATATATATTGTGATTGAGACTAAACTTGGTATTTCAGTTTTAATAAAAGGATTCAGTTCAAAGTTCAAATTTAAAACACGTCCAGAAGAATCAACAAAGAGACTGAAACCTGAACCGACAAACGACAAGAATCACATTTTTTGCGATTTCGATTCGACTGTGGTCAATCTCACGGATCTAAAGTTCAGAAACAGCTTCAAATGTTTCACCGGAAAAGGAAGTGAGCATCAAAATCTCACAGAATCTAAGTGAAAAAGTGAACTCTGCTCTTCTTCTCCGGACGCCCAAACCGTTTGGAAAGTCGTCTGTGGTCGGTTTCAAAACCACAGAGGTTTTTCAGCTTCACTGCGCTGAAAAACTCAAACCTGCACTTCACTGTAAAAATCATCTCAGACACAACAGCTTCAACCAGGACTCAGCCAGAATTAATCAACTAAATTAAAAACTAAACTAAAAACTAAACTAAACTAGGACAAACCCAATTACTAAAACCAGAATTAACCCAGGACTAAACCAGGACTAAACCAAGGACTAACCAAGAATTAAAACAAGGACTAAACCAGGACTGAACCAGGACTGAACCAGGACTAACCATGAACTAAACCAGGACTAAACCAAGGACTAAACCAAGGACTAAACCAAGGACTAAACAAGGACTAAACCAGGACTAAACCAGGACTAAACCAGGACTAAACCAGGACTAAACCAGGACTAAACCAGGACTAAACCAGGACTAACCATGAACTAAACCAGGACTAAACCAGGACTAAACCAGGACTAAACCAGGACTAAACCAGGACTAAACCAGGATTAAACCAGGACTAAACCAGGATTAAACCAGGTCTAAACCAGGATTAAACCAGGTCTAACCATGAACTAAACCAGGATTAAACCAGGATTAAACCAGGACTAAACCAGGACTAAACCAGGACTAAACCAGGACTAAACCAGGTCTAAACCAGGTCTAACCATGAACTAAACCAGGATTAAACCAGGTCTAACCATGAACTAAACCAGGACTAAACCAGGACTAAACCATGAACTAAACCAGGTCTAACCATGAACTAAACCAGGACTAAACCATGATGGTTCTTGATTTGGCACATGCAAATCTTCAGTCTGTTCGGTGTCATTCTCTAGTTCTTCAAGTTTAAAGCTGCACTGTGTAACTTTCCCGATGTGGGTCTGTCACCTGTCCGTCTCCATGGAAATGTTAATGCACTGCCTGGAATGTTCCACAGCGCGGCATTAAAGTTGTCTACAGAACTTTTCATTTCATTATGGCTTTTTAAAAAGTTTTGCTCAAATGTCCCTTGAAAAACAATGCATTCTAACTGTGAGCAGAGTCGCCTCTCCACAGATCTGACCTATAAACTGGCTTGACAGCTTTACCTACCGGTACTTGTTGGCAAAGAGATAAATGTCAGAAATCAGCTGGAAAGTCCCCCTGAATTTAAACCCTTTATTAAACTAAGTTAGTTAATTACAAAAATAAAATAAAAATTGGAGTGAGCACCACAACTATTTCAGGATTTTATCTTAAATATTTGAATAAAATACAAATGAGGGAGGAGGGGGACGATCCCACCGAGAGAATGGAACACTCGAGCCGGGACTTTCAAGCCAGGGGGACACTTGAGCCAATATTTCTGCTTTAGTTGAAACTTCATTTTTGAGTCCTTCGTCTTTTAGGCCTTCCCTGTTTTTACCATTTATTCATTCATTCATTTTAAAAATTATACATAACAAAAAATGTAAATGTCTAAATTGGAAAATCAAATCAGAAACTGTCTACTGCATCTTAGATTTAGACAAACTTTATTGATCCGTAAGAGAAATTATTTGGACACGGGAGCTCACACATCACAATAAAATATAATAACAAAGAGAAACAATATAATAACAAAGAGGAAAAATATGAATGTAATAATACATTTTAATTAAGTAGAAAAAAAGAGCAAGAGACACGAGTCAAATAAGACATAATTATATAAATGTGAGTGTACAATCTGTTCTGTCTGTTCCACTTCTCCGTGAGGACAAAATATGACGCGGTTTTTTTTTACAGATTCAGTTTTAAATCTTAAAAAAGTGTCGTTTAATAACCGTATGCTCTTTGCCCTAGTGTTTTGTGATTAGATCATTAGATCACGCGACGGTTTACAGTGCCATCACCGCAAGCGTCCTTTATTTCCGTAACCTTCGCCGTGCGTAATTTGGCCGCTCGAACCCGAAGGCACGCTCTTTACGCACGGAAGAAAATGTGTACGGCGTGTCCCGCGCTGCTCCGATCTGAACTCCGAAGTAAAAACAAAACAATTACACACGTAAGAAAGAACCAGAGCCAATTTCAGAGGCCACGGGAGAGATTTCTGAGGAGGTCACATGATTTCCGCGCGATAACAACAGCTGAACAACAAACGCTCGAGCATTACGCAGCAACTGTAAACGGTAAACGGTCATGTAAGGCGTAGATTTCACTAAAAGATCGGTAAATTTGCGCAGTGAAGCCTAATTAACCCGTGCAAATAAAATAGGAAAGTTGCATAAAGTAAACTAGTGTAATTGTAATTTAATTTTAAGTTTAACGGTAAAATGCTATGCCGCTAATGCAACTTTACGCACGGAACGTAAGCGAAAATACGTTGAGTTAAATGCGTAAATTGCGTAAAAAATATTAAAATTAGCGTGTGTGGAGAGTGTAGTTGTCGGTTTGTTTGTGCTCGGCTTAAGTTTTTCGTGTCCGGACGTGTCGTGTTTCTTACCGAACCAGGGCGTCCGCGCAGAGGAGCAGGGCCGCCAGAGCGCACACAAATCCCGCAGAGAGCCGCATGTTGCTCCGCTGAAAAGTTCCGAGGAGCTCCGCAGGTGAAGAAGGACAAAACAATAAAAGAGCAGAGAATGAGGCAGCACTTCACAGCAAAGCCTTTTCTAACCTCATCAGCTGACCGCGCGGGTCACATGAGCGCGCGCAACTTCCGGGAGCGGCGACGTCACTTCTTGTAGTTTTTGAAAGCGACGGGGGAAACTCATAAAATGGCGGACAACAAGGCAAGGCAAGGCAAGGCAAGTTTATTTGTACAGCACAATTCGTACACAAAGTAATTCAAAGTGCTTTACAGAATAAGAAATACATTAAAATCATAATAAAAACAAATCAAAACATAAATAATCATGAAGATTAAAATTAAAAAAGAGAGACATAAATTGGAGAGAAAGTGCGGAATGAAAACCTTTCAGTTATTTGCACAGTTAAACAGAAATGTTTAGAGTCTGGATTTAAACAGCGTCACAGAAGAGTCTGTCTCACATGTTCAGACTGTTCCAGGTTTTAGCTGCATGAACCTGAAACTCTGACTCCCCTTGTTTAGTCGTGACTCTGGCACCAGCAGGAGTTGGTCCCTGAGCTCCTCAGAGTGTGAGATGTTCATATGACACTAACATGTCACAGATGTAAGTACAACGAACTCAGTCGAAAATCATGGAGCTATGAAAAAAAATAAATAAATAATAATAATTAAATAATAATAATAATAATAATAATATCAAATGTGTCTTATTCAGAAACTAGAGGAACTATTGAAATAAGTAAAGTATCAGAATGTAGGAAAGAGTTACACTCCAACAGGGTCAAGTTAAACCTGTGAGATTCTTTCAAGTTGTTGACAAAAAATTTAAAAACTCATGTCGGTAACGGAGGGAATGAAATATGCAGCACTTTTTGGACAATAAATCCAAACAGTGATAACTCTTGGTTCTCACTTCCATATCCTTAACAAACTGGTTTGAATATTTGCTTCATATAGTTTTCTACCATATGGTACAAGATTAGGTTGAAAAACCTCTGACTTTTTGACTCATGAGATTTTTTATTAAGAAAGGTTCATGGTAACGGAGGGAAAAGTAACGGAGGGAAAATTGTACAAACAAGTAGAAGGTGCAGGATTTTGCATAATTTGTCGCTTTTTTCTTCCGAATATTTTAATATTACTTCAAAATGAAAGAAACTATTTCTATAAAATATGTCAGTCCTTCCAAGCAAATTTTTATCATTTTAAATACTTTTTTTTTTTTTAATCATGTCCCTTCATCAACAGTTCAAAGATGGAATAACACAAGATATGATGAAATACAAACATTTATTTACATGATTTTCAGGTCTTTGAAATTTGGGAAATAATTTTTGTTCCATGTTTCATTCATGGTCTGTTTTAAAACAGATGGAACTTTACAACCAAAAATGGAACAGAAAAAAGGTCAACAGTTTCATAAACTAGAGTACATATGTATCTGTTCAATACATTTTTATATCAGATGAATTAACTTGAATTTTTGGCCTTGTCGTTTACTTCTGCTTGACCGGGTCCTGTTGTAAAGTATTCGAGCGCGTGGCCCTGTGACCTTTGCTGTTTTAAATGTGACCACAGGGAAAAGTGGAAGTCGAGTCGTGAGTCACATGTTTGAGCTGCAGAGTCAGGAGAAGAAACTGTATAAAGACAATAAAAAGAATAAAAATGTATGTAAGTCTACAGTCAGACAGTGACTCAGCACAGACTGGAACAGCTGACTCATGTTTAGTCAAATGATTATTGTTAAAACTTAGAATTTAGACAAACTCATCACAATAAATATGATAAAGGACAAAAATACTGTGTTAGAGGTCAAACTAAATTCAAAATAAGCAGCAGAAATCGCCAAAGACTGATGTCAGATAAGGCAGAATTATATAAATGTACAAGTAAAAAAGATAAATATAGAAATACAGTCATCCTCACTATATCGCTGTTCACTTTTTGTGGTCTCACTATTTCGCGGATTTTTTTGTAGTGCAATTTTACATGTCTTTTTTTTTTTTTTTTACAGTCTATGAACGTGTATTATGTTCCTCTCGCTGTGTCCTGATTGGCTGAGGGACTCGTGTCTCCTGTACAGTACAGAATGTGTTCAGCCAAATTTATATAAATGTTGGATCTGTATCAGTGATTCTGAAGTGCTGTATGTTTGCGAGTTTTCTCTCCGACAAAACCCACAATGTTGATGAAACGTTCTGCACCGAGAAAGACTCCTGCGCTCACACCCAAAAGACAGAGGAAGATGTAACCACCGCACAAACAGTTGGACACACTGAAGGAAGGTAGAAGTTACACGCTGTAGCAGAGTCCTGTTTCAGTCCTGGAATCAGTCCTAGGTTAGTCCTGGGTTAGTCCTAGGTTAGTCCTGGGTTAGTCTTGGTTCAGTCCGTGGTGTAGGCAGCGCAAGCAGTTTGATATAACCTCAAGTTAACAGGCGAGTGCGGTCTTGTACTGCGCGGGTGCGAATCTCCAGACATGGACCTGTGCAGGACTCTGCGCTGTAGGGTTAAATGAATCTTCAGTTCATTTCATAAAAAAGGAGGAAAATAACAAAAGGACGACAGCAGCGATAAGTTTTAAGTCTGAGAAAAGTGTATAAAGTTTGTGCTGAGGGGTTTTACAGCCTTAAAACAGATATAATAATTGTAAAATATAAAGTTGATTCTTCGCGGATCATGAGTTATTTTTAGAACATAACTCCCACGATAAACGAGGGTCACTGTATAGTAATAAAAATATCTGTCAGAGGTCAAGAGGTCAAAGGAGAAGATGAAATAATTGTCACATTTTTGCTTTTTGTTTTATGAAATTTATCATGTGGAAAGATTTTGTGTGAATGAATGTGATTTGTGATTTGTACCCGAGACCACCAGACCCCCACCGGAAAATATTGATCATGACTGATTCAATTAAAATAGTGATTAGTTTATCTTTTAGACACAGGACCTGAGAAATGTTTGACTATTGATGCAAATCAGATCAAACACCTCAGCAGGAGATGTCACGCTCCCAGTTTGAAATGTAAACTACAAAGGTCAAAAGGTTTTAGAACATCGTAATAGATACAACCTGAATTTTGGACTTCTGGTCGTCGTGCAATTCAGACTGGGAAGGATTTTTCGAAAAAGTGAGCATCAAACCTTCATGTTTGTTGTCGTCTATTGACAAAGTCGATCTTTTCAAGTCTTTTGAACCATATCACTTTTGTTTCTGATTCTGATATTGTCATATTTTAGTGTTGGGATTCGGACATCGTAATTGTGTGGTTGTTGGATCCTAACAGCAGAAAACGGCTCGAGAAATGGGCTTTGGAAGTTTGTAAACTCCATGAATGCAAAAGTGAATCAGATGTGTGTGACTCAAACCTCCGTTCAAACTGTTTCTCTTCCCAACAGAATTGAAAAATAGTGAAAGGTGAAGGCGATGGGCAGGATTGATCCACAGGAAGAACCAAAAAGGAAACATTTGTCTGAATGAATGACTGAAGTCGAGTCCAGACGTCAAAAGAAATATTTATTGAAAATCCAAATGTACATCTTATGATACAGCCCCATTAAAACCACATTTAGTCCAACACAGTCCCACAGAGTCCAGACCGAGTCCACGACAAACCCACCACGATCCCCCGCTGTACACTTCAACTCTCACACCGAGAAACACCAGATCTAAACCAGGACTATAACAGGACTATAACAGGTCTAAACTAGATCTAAACCAGGACTATAACAGGTCTAAATCAAGTCTAAACCAGTTCTATAACAGGTCTAATATTGGATTAAACAAGGTCTAAACCAGATCTAAACCTGGTCTATAACAGGACTATTTCTGGTTTAATATGTGGCTAAACCAGTTCTCTAAACCACGTCTAAACCAGATCTAAACCAGATCTAAACCAGGTCTAAACCAGATCTAAACCAGGACTCTTTCAGGTTTAATCTAGGGCTAAATCAGGTCGAAACCAGATCTAAACCAGGTCTTTAACAGAACTTTTTCAGGTCTATTCCAGGTCTAAACCAGCTTTAAACCAGATCTAAATCAGGTCTTTAACAGGACGAATTTCAGATCTATTCCAGATGTGAAACCAGATCTAAACCAGGTCTGTAACAGGACTATTCCAGGCCTAATCTAGGACTAAACCAGGTCTAAAAGTGGACTACATTTTTCCCACTGCAATTCCAAAAACAAGAAATGATCCGAAGGAAGAAAAAAACAGAACTCACCACACAGTTTAACACAGTTTGAAAAACACTCGTATGAACTGTTTCATGTAGTTAAAGCTGCACTGTGTAACTTTTCGGTTGCTTGTTTCTATGGATACGTCACTGCTCTGCCTGGAATGTTCCACAGTGTGACATTAAACTGCTCTACTTTACTTTTATTCAGTCCCAGGTGGTTTTACAGCTCAAAAATACCAAGAAAAACAGACTCTCCACAGATCTGACCCGTAACTTGGTTTGGTTTAGGCCCCGTAAAGATAAAAAGGTTTAATGCCATAGTGCGGAATATTCCAGACGAAGCAATAACATCTCCGTGAAGAAAACGTTTGAAGAAAAGTTACACCGTGCACCTTTAACGCTCACAGGAGTCAATTTAAAGTGAACTAAAAACGGTAAAACTCAGGTACAGCGCTTTTAAAATGACCGTTCCGTTGGTCTGGACTTAGTCTGGACTTAGTCTGGACCTGGTCTGGACTTTGGTAAAACGTAAAAAAAAAAAAAAAACACAAATGAGAACGTGAGTGTTCTATCAGACTCCAATAAATAAATAAAGTGCGCTACCCGAAAACGTCAACAAAACAAACGGAAATGTCTCTAAAACTACAAACGTAACTGCAAACGTCCTCTGGGGACTATGTACAGAAGGCGCGGGGGGAGTGAAGGATCATGGGTAGTGTAGTTTCAAAGCTTTTCCCGGGTCCATTTTACACTTCAACACAAAACCACCGCAAAAATTTGGACCAGCTGGTTGAAATTTGTGCCAGTTTTTTTCTTGTTTCATGTGGATACTTTGCAGCTGGTGTCGTCGAGATTCTCTGGAGGTTTCTAACTCGAGGCACTGCTCTGTCTAAAGCTTTTTTACTTTTTGTTTATACTATAATCAGAGCGTTTTTATTATTATTTTTTAAACACAATTTGACCTGAAAAAACTGATTTAGCTGGAACTACAACAACATTTTTTTTCTTTTTTTTTTGGACAGTATTTCACCGTGGCGACTGCTGAACATTTCGCCATAGACAAACAAGTAGAAACCTACGGAAGATAATTTGTTCCATCAGATTTAGAATTTTAAATACTGCGTAATGACTCACTTGACTCACACTTTTTAATCTGAAAAAAGATGTTTGAATTATTTAGATTCTGAATTTTAGTTGCTCTAAATAAAAAATTCTCATATATTTTCAAGCCCTCAAATTCAACGGTCAAAATTCCGAATGTAAAATTTGTTAATTCTGACCAATCAGATCGTTTCACTGCACCGGTTACTAAATCTGATTGGATCACTTTGAATCGATTGCTTTGGCCTTTTCATCTTGCGAATCCTGTGAATTTTTTTCACTGCGAATTTTCCACTTTGAATTTTGACTGTTGAATTTAAGAGCTTGAAAATATTTGTGCTGAATATTTAAAAGGTGACATTTTTATTTTGAATTTTAAACACTTGTAAATGTAAACTTAAAATCTCAGCAACTGGAATTCAGTATAAAAATAATTCAAACATGTTTTTTTCAGAGTTAAAAAATTCAAAGTGAGAAATTCAACAACATTTAAAATTCAGAATCGAATGAATTAAATAATGATCTTCCATAGAAACCCCCCAGAGTGATGTCACTGCAAAGTATCAATTGCGTTTTTCCGATTTTAAGATTGGGACAGGAGACAGAAACCCCCCTTCCTCCCCTCCTCCTCCCCTTCAGGACCAGAGACAGAGAGACAGGCGCAGGACGGACCCCCCCGACAGGTGCCCCCCGCCCTTAGGACCAGAGGCAGGAGCAGTCGGTGGGCTCCTGGATGTCGTAGTTGACCCAGGTGGAGTTGTTGCTGCAGTAGAGCTGGACGGTGCGTCTCTGGAGGCCGGTTTCTCTGCAGCACTTGCAGAAGCGAGCGTACGTGTTGATGTTGTAGTTGTAGATGCTGGCGGAGGGACACTTCCCGTCGCACGAGACCACGTTCACCTGGAGACACAAACACGAGGCACAAGACGTCACCGCGGGGAAGCACATCCGATCCAGTCCGACTTTATTTGTATAGCACATTTTACAAACAAAACAGTTTCACATGGCAACGCAATATTTTACTTTAAAAAGAAAAAAAAATATGTTTAATAAAGACACTAATAGAAAAATAAATTAAATAATAATAATAAAATCAATGAACAAAAACAATCAAATCAATACATAAAAGCAGTACTAAAAATAAAATTGATAAAAACAATAAATAAATAAATAAAATAAAAGACACAGAGGACCACACAACTCACGCGGTATTAAACACCAGAGAATAAAAGTGAGTCTTAAGACGAGACTTAAAAACACTCCTCTGTGGGGCTGTTGGGACGTGGGGGGGCAGAGTGTTCCAGAGTTTGGGGCCGACCACAGAGAAGGTCCTGTCCTCATGGTTTTAAGTTTTGTTTAGGGGACCACGAGCTGGAGCTGGACCTCGGACCTCAGAGCGCGCGGGGGTGTAAATTTGGATGAGGTCCGAGACGTACTGTGGGGACAGTCCATTCAAAGCTTTAAAAAGAAATAATAAAATCTTAAAATCATTTCTAAAATGAACAGGAAGCCAGTGCAAAGATGAAAGAATTGGGTTGATGTGATCGGGCTTTTTACTCCCTGTTAAAAGACGCGCGGCAGAATTCTGGACTAACTGCCAGTGATGAAGTGAGTTTTGGTTAATATTCATTTATTTATTATAAATTCATTCAAATTCATCTGATTTAAACAAACCTGAGCTCAAGTGTTTTTAACGGTGAGGTGTAAAGTGAATCCTCTGTGAGTAAAAGCAGCTGGTTAAAATATCACACGTCACAAAACTCAAACCAGTTGAATCACTTTGTTAAAAAGCTGTAAAAATATTGAACAGAAACATTCTCATTTCACCACTGCACTATTTTAGACAACTTGTCTAAATTTGCTTAATTTTAAAAATTGTGTTGATTTTAAATATGAATGTTTTATATATAAAGTTTTGTATGGACTTGCCGCCCTCTGTTACAGGATTTTAATAATGCATCAGTTTTACAGAACATTATTCATTCACTTTATGCCCAGTGGCAGTAAAATACTGCTGTAGCCACAGCTGTCCTGGGGCAGACTGATGGAAGCGAGGCTGCCAGTCTGCGCCATCGGCCCCTCCGACCACCACCAACACTCACACACACACCACTTTCATACGAGGCAATGTGGGTGAAGCATCTTGCCTAAGGACACAACGGCAGGTTTTGCCACTGGCGCCTCCTGTGGAACCTGGAATTCCCAGTGTCTCCATCCAAGTCCTGACCAGACTCGGACCTGCTGAGCTTCTGAGATCTGACGGGATCAGACTTTGGCAAACCAGTATGATTTTATTAAAACAAAGACAGTCAGTTGGCACTAGAGCCACAGGCTGGAGGAACTGTGAGCTCCACACAGACGCTCCACATCTGGACAAAGTGTGTCTCAGTCTGAGGCTCTAAGTTCTGGAACATTCTCCCATTATCAATAAGACAAACTCCAACACTGGACACTTTCAAATCCCACTTGAAACAACAACTAAAGGAAAAACAGACTTGTGGACGCTTTTAGTTTAGAACTGTCACTTGTTTTTGTTGTTTTCTCTGTTAAGTTTGTGGTGTCGCCTGTCAAGGTACGACAGATGGAAATGAGCATTTTTGCAATAATCTGTCATATTTACAGTGCAGTGTTGTAGATTTTCATTAATATACACTGTCCCTATTAAATAAATAAATAATAAATAAATAAATAAACACTTATGACAATAAAATATAACCGTATCTTTCAGACTATAAGTTGCAGCGGAAGGCCCAATATCAATAATGTTGAATTCTCTCATCTATTTTCATACATAAATTGCACTGGATTAAAGCAACACATTAACGAGAAAACAACACTTAATACTGATCCTGAGCCCAGGCGTCCATGATCCATTGGCAGATCGTGGTGTAATTGCCCGGCGTCGCCTCCCTGTCTTGGTAAATGAGTTTTATGAATGTGAATGTGTTTTGGATCATTTAAGTTCTTACTCCTCGAGACTCCTGACAACAGCAGCCGTAATCCTCCGACAATCCATCCAGCGGTGTGGCTTCTTATTTTACCAAAAATTGTACTAAAACATTTTGGCAGATTTTTGAGCTCAGTGTACCACATAAAATCGGTTTGAAGTCAGTAAACACAACCAGGATTAATACATAAGACGCACCGTTGAATTTTGAGAAAATGTAAGGATTTTAAGTTTTACATTAGACATGAAGTTAAATGTGTTGTTTTATACACGTGCAGTACCACAATACCCTGAGTAGTAGCAGTGGAGTTGGTGTAAATGAGGCATTAAGGAGGTATTACAATGATTTAAGGTGGTATGGGGTTATTTAACGTGATATTACAGTTATTTAAGATGATTAACGTGATTTAAGGTGGTAGTGCAGCGATTTAAGGTGGTATGAGGGTTATTTAACGTGATATTACAGTTATTTAAGATGATGTTACAGTGATTTAAGGTGGTATTACAGTGATTTAAGGTGTATGAGGGTTATTTAACATGGTATTGTGGTGTTTTAAGGTGGTGTAACAGTGATTTAAGGTGGTATAACAGTGATATAAGGTGGTATTACAATGATTTAAGGTGGTGTTAAGTGTTATTTAAGGTAGTATTGGTCCCACTCACCGGTCGGTTGCTGCGGCAGTTGTTTTTCCTGATGGTCATTCTCACAGTGACTTTTTGACACGATTTTCCGTCTTCTTTACCTGTTCACGAAAAACCAAAACATCAAATATCAAACTCACTTCAGCTCTGCAGCTCCGAGGTAATCAAGTGTTTTTAAAGAGGGGAGTTGTGCTTTTCACAGACTTTCTGAACCAAAGCGGGTCATCTCCAAGATTATTATTATTAATAATCATTTATAATAACTGATCTTTGCTCTATGTAACTTCACAAAATTGTTCCACCATATGGCATTACACTCATCTATCGCCACGGTGACTAGAGCAAGTTACTGGTGGATCTGTGGAGAGGCGAGCCCCGTTCACAGTAAGAATGTATGTTTTTCAGTGTATTTTTAGCAATAAAAACACCTAAACACCATAGTGCACCTTTAAGGCTTGATGCAATATCACTAAAACTATTTAAAAATATGGATAAATAATAAATAAATGCAGACTGAATGTTTGTAGCGAGTGCTCTGATTGGTCAGTTCTTCCTGGAGTGGGAGGAGACAGGAGCAGTGGGCGGAGATAAGAGCAACAAAGTGTTTTCAGCTCAGAGACAGAAACAGAAATGAGAGAATAATTTAAACATGCAGGAAACACAAAACTCCAGGTCTGTTTTTGATAAATACCTTTATAACATGAAAGTTTGTTTTGCATAAATCCCCTCTTTAAACGAGTCTGAAGTGAAACTCACAGCAGTTCAGCATCACAACAGCATGCATTTATATTTTCAGATTCAGCGTTGAATATAATAGTGAAACTTCTGTTAAATGTTCTTCTGGGCTCACACAGACTGAGCTGAACTACGAACTAAATGAGTCAGTCGTGGAAAAAAGAGGAGCTGTATTGTTTATCTGTATTTCTGTGAGCCGTGTGCACCGACACGTCTGTGTTTAGATTTAATCTCATGTTACAGTGGTGTGGGCGGGGACAGGGGAAAATGTAAAAACAAAACTGTTCTGTGTAACTTTTCTGGTGAAGGTCTGTCTCATGTTATTGCTTTGTTCCACAATTTTTATTCAAGTTAATGCCATACTGTGGAAAATTCTAGACAAAACAAAAACATTAATAAAATGGGGAAAAGCAGGTGTCAGACCCTCCAGAAAAATTACACAGTGCACCTCTAACTTAATAAATAAACGCTAAATAAAAACACAACAAAAACACAATAACACAAGTTTTATTATTAAAAAAGAAGTAAGTTTCAAAGCTGCAGCTTTAGAGCCAAAATGAGTGATATTCACTGATATCAGTCAATATGGAAAAAATATTTTTTTTCATATTTTTTGCCATATCACCCAGAACATCTCCCCCTACAGGCGGAGCAGCAGAAGTGCACCAAACCCACTACATCAAACACATGCAGAGTCTAGGCCCAAACTAAACAGTACATTGTTGACGATCAACAATGCACTGCCCACAGTGCTACAGCCGCGTCACGTCATCAGGGGGCGGGGTCTGGACCAGGGGGCGGGGTCTGGATCAAGAGGCGGGGTCTGGACCAAGGGGTGGGGTTTAGACCAGGGGGCGGGGTCTGGACCAGGGGTGGGGTTTAGAGGGGAATAGGCGGGGTTTGGATCAGGGAGCGGGTTTAAAGGGACATGGGCAGGGTTTGGACCAGGGGCGGGATCTGGACCAGGGGGTGGGGTTTAAAGGGCCAGGGGCGGGGCTTGGGCCAGAGGGCGTGGTTTAGAGGGGCAGGGGCGTGGCTACAGTTTAAATGAGCATTAAGGTTTTTATGGCTCAGTGTGGGCTCAGTTGTAAAGGCTCTTCAATTTTCTACAGTGGATCGGAAAGACATGTATTTTGTTTAGCGACTTTTAAAGACAAATAAATTTTATTTAACTCATTTACCCAAATTTGGAAACTTGTATTAAACCCAACTGTTAGGTTGTGCAGTTAATCATGTTCCTAAAGTTTGTATTTTTAACAATTTGACAATTTTGTTTCTGACGACAAGGATTGTGTTTTACGATGTATTCACACTTTTCACACATAGACCACATCAAAACTAACCTGGTGATCAAAACAGGACCAAACCATAGCACACCTTTATTCTAGGATATTTTACTTTCCCTTTCTGGTCTGACATGTGAGTTTTGGGGACTACATTATTTAAATTGTACTAGTTTATATAAATGGTGTATATTTAAGAGTTTAGGGGAGTTCATTGTTTACATTTACATATATAAATGGTGTATTTTTAATAAGCCTTAATAAGATGGTGTTTTGGGGAGTACATTGTCGACGATCAACAATGGCCTGAGCCTTGTTGTACCTCGTTCACAGTTGGAGCTGACTGTGGGAGACACGGGGCTAACGGGGAAAGGCAACAGAGCCAAGAGGTTACCTGTGACACGGACAAACAGCAACACAACTCAGCAGCCAATAGGAGCACAGAGAGAGGGACACGCCCACACACACACACGGACCAATCAGAGCCACAGTGAGGAGGAGGAGTACGACTGAACAGGTGATCAAATGTGCACTTTACACTGAACACATCATCATCAGAGTTTTACAGTGACGTCCTGATCCAGATGGACCCTGTTGAGGTTTATAACGGAGATACTGAAACATTTGCAGGATCGGATATCGGCTTCCAAATATGGGATCCCGACTTTTTATCTTCGTGTGTGATTTTGAAGCCGCTGCGCTCTTCGTGTGTGTGTATGTGTGTTTGTGTGACTCTGAGCTGCTCTCTCAGATCGTGACCATCGTGAAACATGAGCAACACTGTGATTACAGCCAATAAAACAGAGCGTCACACACAGAGACGCAAGATACAAACTCAGGATACAGTGAAAATAATGACAAGACTTTATTCCTTTCCTCTCGTAAAGTGGTAAATTTAAACTACAGCATCTCATCCACATTATCCATAGAAATTGTCCTCCACAAATAATGACTCCAGAATCCAGTTTGAGGCGTTCTTTGAAAGTAAAAAAAATGAGAGTAGTTTCCTCATGTCTTTATATCCTGTGGTCCGCAGACAGATCCCGCTGTAGTCTTTGCGATCAGAGATTTTAAATCTCATCAAATTCTCTTCGTGTCTGTGGTGTGTGCTTTTTGTCGCACGTTTAAACATCGTTTAAGACAGAAAAATCCTGTAGTGTGTGGCGGCCTTTAAGCTGTATTTTAACCTTGGAACTTTTCTAGTGAAGCGTCCGTCAAAAATACTTTTTTTTTTCCCATGCAGACGATATCGCTTTGCATCAAAGTCCATCTGTGACATGTTAGTGCCACATGAACCATCTAACACTCTAAGGAGCTGTAGTCCTGGTTTAGTCCTGTTTTTTTTTACCTGGTTTAGTCCTGGTTTAGACCTGGTTTAGACCTGGTTTAGACCTGGTTTAGACCTGGTTTAGACCTGGCCTCCCGCTGGTGCCCAGAGTCAGGACTAAACACGAGGAGTTTCAGATTCATGCTAAATCTTGGAACAGTCTGAACATGTGAGACAGACTCAAAACGGTTCTGTTTAGCTGCTTTGACTAAAAGGTTTTTATTTTTCATTACGCTGTCTTCTCTCTCATTTAATCTCTCTCTCTCTCTTTTAATTTTATGATTATTTAAGTTTTGATTTGTTTTTCTTGTGATTTTTTATGTATTTCTTATTCTGTAAAGCACTTTGAATTACTTTGTGTACGATTTGTGCTCTAGAAATAAACTTGCCTTGCCTTGCTTTGTCTGGAATGTTCCACAGTGTGGCTTTAAACCGTTCTATCTTCACGGAGAACAAACCAGACCAAGTCACAGTCAGAATGTCTGGTTTTTTTAGTTTGTTTTTTTTAGGTGTTTTAGGTATTTTTGAGCTATAAAACCACCTGCAATTGAATAAATGTAAAGTAGAGCTGTTTAATGTCACACTGTGGAACATTCCAGACAGAGCAATGATGTATCCATAGAAACAACCAGTGATGGATCCCTAACCAAAACGCTACATAGTGCACTTTTATTGTCTTCCTGTTCCTCTCATAAATAAAACGTGTTTTATGTGGTGGCTCTGATTGGTCCGTTGAAGTGGGCGTGTCCTGGTGATATAAATGCTGTTTTTCTATTGGCTCGCTACATTCTGCTGTGAGACAGGAGACATGTTAGCTAGACACATGTCGACGCTACAGTGCTAATGCTAACAACGCTAATGGAGCTAACAGTGCTAACAATGCTAACAGCGCTAACAGAGATACTCACAGGTTTTGCAGCAGCCGTCCATGTAACTCACCACATGACCTCCGTTCTGAAACAAGACACGAAACGTTACGATAAAAATGTTAAAGAATTCAAAACCACCGTCTGTTTAACCGTGGATGTAATAAACCTTTTTCTACAACGGCTGGAAGTGTCGTCCTGTAGAGTTACAGTTGAAAATGACATTCTACTGTCTAAAGAGAGTTTGTTATTATCATTTTGGTATTAGAGGTGTATTCCTTGTATCAAAATCGAGGGGCCAGTATTTAGGAAGAAATGCGGAAGAAAAACATTTTTGGCCACAGGCACCGATGAACCTGGGCAACAGAAACAAACTGACGTAAGGTGAGCAGACGTCCCTGTTGACCCGGGACAGTCCCAGGTTTGAGCCTGTGTCCCCTGTCCCAGCAGATTTAGACAAAACCAGTGATGTGTCCCAGTTTTATACACGAAATGTCCCAGGTGTCTCTATTTTTGACCAATTTGTTACAAACAGTAAAGAGAGGCATACACGGTCATTTGTTTCGGTAAAATACATAAAAGCTGCTTAAAAATAACCAAAACACAAATGGGCCGGTCCAAATTTGGGCGAGTGTGGGCCGGCCCCCCCACCACCGGTCTTTAATTTCATCTGGACCGAAACGCACGCCGTCTCGAGCCCCAAAGAACACCTTCCCATAAATCACTGCGACCAAGTTTACAGGTCGATACAGTATTTTAATTTTGTCAAGTATTATTAAAAATCAGAAAATATTTGTGCTAAAGCAGTTGAAATATATATATTTTTTCTTTAAGATGTCGATGTTCCTGCGCATGTTCAGCAGACTGTGGACAGACGGATGGAGCCGCAGCTCTTCCTGCTCTCAGTTTGCGGCGCATCCGCTGTGTTGACAGACAAATAATCCATCTTTATTTTATACAGAGAGTCAATGATTCACTGGCAAATATACCGGGAGTAATATTTGTAAAGGTGCGTCTTACACACCTCTCCTCTAGAGCCCCTCACGACTTGTACACGCTCTGTTCACCAGGCGCGTTTGCCCGCCGCATTTGGTACATTTAGACCTGCGGTCAGAAGAAGCAGGGGAGGTAGTTTAGCTCACTGTTGTTAAATCGCTTTCTAATGCGGTCGATCTGAGATGAAGACCACAACATGTCGTTTTCATTTTTATTTTGTTCTTTTTTCTGTTTTGTGTGTGAACAACATAATTTATTAAAACTCAGTGTTTTTATTAGTTAATGTGATTTTTGTTTGTTTCTAAAGAAAATCAACTTAAAACGCACATTTCTGAGCCTTTGCCCCTCCCCAGCCCGCGATGCTGCACTACACACTGAGCAGAGTGTGTGTAATGTACTAAATGGTGGGTCGGCCCAGAGGAAAAATGCCAGGGCCAAATATTGTTCCCAGTCCGACCCTGCTTCACTGACTCACTTTAGTGCAAGTTTCCTTAAATACGCACTTGTTTCACAATTTTATTATTACAAAGTAACTCAAACCAGGGACGTCCCTAGTTTTTATTTTGTAAATCTGGTCACCTTAAACTGACGCCATCTTTGGTTCACCTTCCACATCTTAGGTCAGGTTCTCAATCACAGTTCACACTCAAGACACTAACCACAACCTCCACCCGTTGTCCTGTGTCGTCTCACATACCCCGGGGGACCAGGCGGGTGGAGGCTCTGCCCTGTTCGACCAGTAGGGGACACACGTGTGGGTTTTACCTGGAGGCACTCGAAGGCGTTGAAGGGCGGGCAGCTGATGGGCAGTGAGATCAGAGTGGTGCCGGACTCCGTGTCTGCGCAGTCGTACTTTGTGCAGTTGGACATCCACGAGCGGCCGGGCTGAAGACAAAACAAAACACAAACACGAGTCCTTCAGAATAAAAACACAAACTCCTCCTGCCGACGTTTCTAATGGACTCCAGTCATCCAATCAGAGCAGAGAGATGTCACAGGACTCTTACAGTGTAGTGGCCACTGGAGGCAGCACACACTCAGTTTTTGCAATAGTTATCGATCTAGAGAGTGTAGGTGAGGAGGCAGTTCATTCCAGACTTCAGGGGAAAAGGCTTGGAAGGATCTGTCTCCCCGTGTTTTAAAACTTGTCTGCGGTTTTGGCAGGTTTTGGCTGGTGGACCTCAGGCTACAGGCAGAGCTGTGATATCTGGATCTGAGATAAATACAGGAGTGTGGTCATGTCGGGCCCTAAAAGTCAGCACCAGGATCTTAAAGTGGACACGAAAAAGAACAAGGAGCCAGTGTATGGATTTTAAGATCGGAGTGCAAAGATCAATGCAAAGAAGCACACAGGTCCCCTCTCAAGTAAAAAAATATTTTAGACACAGCGAAATCCAGGCACTCCAAAGAAGTAAAAATCACACAAGAAAAAGCATAGTTAAAAGTCGGGCCCGACTGATATGGATTTTTTGCAGCCGATATGAGACCGATAAAACAGGAGTTGGAGCTGCTGATGTAAAATATATTAAGTGATGTAAAAATTCACTATAAATCTTCAACTGATTATAAAACTTAGGTTTGGTTCTAGTGGATTTTAAATTGGGTTTATTTAGGCAACATTTATTGTTATTCTGTTATTCATATTTAAAGACAGTAGGTCTTATGTCTCCAAGTGCCCATGTCGGCTGATAATATTGGCCCTAGTTTAAAGGTCTTTATTTAGACGGCCAAAGCGACATGTTTCGACCATGGAGTTTTACTTCTTTGGAGTGTCTGGATTTCATTATGTCTAAAGTTTTGATCCTTTTTTCCAAGAGCGCCCTCTACCTGTTCTGACTGACAGTCACACCTGCAGCAAACAGACACGTTGTTTTTTATGTAAAAGAATATGTTATGTTTTCTGATTAGATTTTATATGTTAATAATATACAGTAATAAAATCAAATATCTTACGTAAAGGTCAGAATTTTGTAGTATTAAACAGGTGAGTACCTTGTAGAAGGCGACGGTGCCGTTCTCGTGCTCGTAGGAACAGGAGATGTTTTTGCAGAAGCCGCAGCAGCTCGACTGGTCTTTGGGAGGAACATAAATCTGATTCTGAGACACAGACAGAACACAGGTTTAACTCTCTGCACACGGGCTCACAGTGCGTTTGTGTTTACAGGTGACATATTTGCCCGTCAGTATTATTGTTATAAACTACGGCTGTTAAAAGTAATGAAAAAGTACTGAAGATGTTTGACACACACGGTGGAGATACTGACCGGGAGGCAGGAGGTGGAGCAGTTGTGGGTGGTGGTTCTCATGATGTTGAGGCCGGAGCTGGAGTCGACGGAGCGGCTGCACTGACGACTGAAACAAACGCCTCCGTCGCTGTGCTCCACCAACATCTGACCGGGAAGGAGCAGGAGACCACGCTCAGGGAAGATACAGCCGGGCTCAGGAACTGCAGAGAGGGAGAGAGCGAGGGAAAGGAGGAAGGGAAAGAAGGAGGAAGTGTAAAAGAGAGAGCAGGGAAAATGAATGAACTGTGTCCTTTTACTGTTGATCTTTTTTGTTTTGTTGTCTGTTGTTTCTGCTGTTTTCACATTAGTTTGTGGAATACCATGCAGAAGAAAAAGTTTTGTGCATTTGCTCGAACAGACAACATTTCTGGTTCACTGCGGGTGGATAATTTAAGTTTGGATTTTTATTTCCTACAACGAGGACTCAAACAGACATTGAGTGTTTCATTTGAAAGTAAGCGTCAACCAAGTGTCTTTTTTCAGAGTTTAAAATGTTTTTTTTGTTACATACAAAAATAAAATTCTGTGTTCTCTGTGGCATTTCATTGATTTCATAAATACAACACACTATAGCATACAGGTAAATAAATGAAATGCAGTGTTTTATGCAGTGTCATTTTAGAGTCAAAAGGATTTTGTGGCTCTGGGTGTTTTCTGTTCTGTGGGAGACGCTCCACATGGCTCTTTGTATTTAAGACTGCCGACCCCTGGAGAAGAGGAATACAGACGTCTACTCACCACATTTGTATCTTTTACAGTCACACTGGTTTTGAGGGTCGGACATGAAGGCTCGGTCCAGCTGAGTCGTCTCTCCCTGAAAACAAAAACACATAAATATTGTCACTGGTGGTGCAGTGGTTTAAGGCACTGCACATCTGTGGTTGTTGCTTCCTGGCCCTGACCATGTCTCTGCTTATTTATCTGTTAGCTGTTTGATAAAGGCTTTTGATAAAGGCTTTTGATAAAGGCTTTTGATAAAGGCTTTAGGGTAAAAAAAAATAAAAATAAAAAAATCTACCTCCATCCTGGGCCATAGGTCTTCTTTACTATTAGGTCTGTGCACAATTCACAGTATTGCCATATGTAAGAGAATTGGAGTAATTGACAGACCATTGGCACCATTATCTAAACCAGGAGTGTCAAACTCATTTTGGTCTAGGGGCCGTATCCAACCTACTTTGATCCCAAAGGGGCCAGATCAGAAAACTCATGTCATATAAACCCCAAAAATAATAATAAGTTTAAATATTTGTGCAGAGAAACGCTAATCTATTACAGAAATCTTTTTTAATTGATGAACTCTTTCTTATTATAATATTATAATATTATGAACAACCTGAAACTTTAAGAAAAATGCAGTTTCAACACAATGTTTTAAAATGAACTTGTATGTAAACAGGAATAAGTCATTTTTTCTTGGAAAATCCTGCACTCGGCTCCACTTTTCTCATGTTGGACATTTTTCTGATGAGGGTGTCACGGTCAACAGTCAAAACGGTTGCACTTTAAGAGCGTTTGGAAAGAGACAAGTCTTCATTTGTGCTGCTCTGGTGGGAGGGGCCACGTACAGAGACGCTGGAGACGCTGCTATGCTAAGCACTGCAGAAAATTACCAATATTTTTAATAGAAAATATAAATAAAATATTTTAGTAGAAAATCACCCAAGGGCCACATTAAAGGTCTTGGAGGGCCGGATCTGGCCCCCGGGCCTTATGTTTGACACCTGTGATCTAAACTGTTTCATGTTGCTGTCTGACCGCTGGTCTCACCACACTTGCTTTACAAACCTCTAGGGCTGGGTATCGTTATGAAGCTGCCGTTACGATACACACCTCGATATACAGGCCACGATACGATACACACCTCGATATACAGGCCACGATACGATACACACCTCGATATACAGGCCACGATACGATACACACCTCGATATACAGGCCACGATACGATACACACCTCGATATAGTGCTTTTTTGGTTCAATACAATATATTTCAAATCAGTTCAGTACAGTTCAATAAAAAATAATGGCTAATTCATGGCTGTGACACTAAAAGTCTTTGTGAAACCACTTTTTGTGCAAAGTTCATATGAAACACAAACATTTTGATCCTGAAAACAGTGAAAATGTCAAATGTGTTGCATAAAAGAGTTTTTTCCTCTAAACGAGCAACAAAACTGTAGCTGTAACAAAATAATTTAGTAAAATAAACCAAAAAATAGACTTGGCGATATATCGATACAGCAGCCCACGATATCGATACTGTATCATTACATTAAACGATACGATATATCGATATTTTGATATTTTTGCACACCTCTACAAACCTCCTCCTTTGGAAGCAGAGTCAGGGGCTCGGACACGCAAAGACCAAACTATGTTCACTTTTGAAATCCCCCCAGGCTCGTACTATTGATGGTAAATAAACTTCTCCTGCTTAAGACGTCCAGTGGTCTTAAGCCTTTTACTTCCATCCTTTCTTGTACAAACTGAAACCTTCTACAACACCATATATATTTTCAGTTAGAATTTTGCAATATCCAAACTGCAAAGGCGGGAGTTCTGTGAATTAGAATGTCCTTTGCAAACAACCAAATGTCTGTCTAATATTTAAGCCTGATAACCCTGCAGTTTAGACTTCTACAAACATGTTCTGAAACGCATAGGATTCTTCTGTTAGTTTAGTACTTCAAATTTCATGTTAATGCTCCTTGGGTGTACAGTACAATCATTCAGCAAATATAACATTTAAAATAATTACCAGGCCACACTTTGGAGAGATGATCTTCTCACAGGCGCATTCTACAAACACAAAGCACCATGTTACACTCTGGAGGTTTTGTAGAGACGTTGTTGATAGAGAAATCATTAGAGGTTGTTTATTTACCGCATGTTTGTTTTGGGCAGCAGCGTCCTGGGACAGAGCTGGAGACTGGGGACATCCCGACAGAGCAGCTGATCTCAGGACAGCGCTCGGGCTCACACACTGAAGAGCAGACACGAGCGGTTAGTTTTACCTGAAGTGTAAAGAGGCAGGATTATCAGGTCGAGTCTGTACTGACCACAGACGTACGGCGGGCAGCAGCGGTCAGTCGTGTTGAAGTCCACAGTGAGCACCTCTCCCTCCTGACAGACAGGGGGCGCCTCGGAGCACGACGCACACACTGGAGACACACAAAGGAGATTACACAGGCGAATAAAATCACCTTATTCCAAATCTTATCATACAAAAACCATACATTTTTTATTAGTTTTGTGTTACTGACTATAGATGTGTGTTGTGTGTGTTGTGTGTTACTGACTGCAGATGTGTGTTGTGTGTGTTGTGTGTTACTGACTGCAGATGTGTGTATTGTATTGTAGGTGTGTGTGTTGTGTGTTACTGACTGCAGATGTGTGTATTGTATTGTAGGTGTGTGTGTTGTGTGTTACTGACTGCAGATGTGTGTTGTGTGTGTTGTGTGTTACTGACTGCAGATGTGTGTATTGTATTGTAGGTGTGTGTGTTGTGTGTTACTGACTGCAGATGTGTGTATTGTATTGTAGGTGTGTGTGTTGTGTGTTACTGACTGCAGATGTGAGCGAGGCAGCAGCTCCCGTCGGTTCTGGTGGAGATCAGAGTTTGATCGTCTCGACACGAAGGAACCACAGACTCACACAACTCCGGGTCACACTCTGGAAACACAGAGACACACACTGAGACACAGAGACACACACTGAGACACAGAGACACACACTGAGAACACACACTGAGACACACACTGAGACACACACTGAGACACAGAGACAACACTGAGACACAGACACACACACTGAGACACACACTGAGACACAGAGACACACACTGAGACACAGAGACACACACTGAGAACACAGAGACACACACTGAGAACACAGAGACACACACTGAGACACAGACACACACACTGAGACACACACTGAGACACAGACACACACTGAGACACAGACACACACTGAGAACACAGAGACACACACTGAGACACACACTGAGACACAGAGACACACACTGAGACACACACTGAGACACAGAGACACACACTGAGACACACTGAGACACACTGAGACACAGAGACACACACTGAGACACAGAACACACTGAGACACACACTGAGACACTGAGACACACACTGAGACACACACTGAGACACACACTGAGACACAGAGACACACTGAGACACAGACACACACTGAGAACACAGAGACACACACTGAGACACAGACACACACTGAGACACAGAGACACACACTGAGACACACAGACACACACTGAGACACAGACACACACAGAGACACACTGAGACACACACTGAGACACACTGAGACACACACTGAGACACACACTGAGACACACTGAGACACACAGAGACACACACAGAGACACACACTGAGACACAGACACACACACACAGACACAGACACACACTGAGACACACTGAGACACACAGAGACACACACTGAGACACAGAGACACACACTGAGACACACACTGAGACACACACTGAGACACACACTGAGACACACTGAGACACACTGAGACACACACTGAGACACACAGAGACACACACTGAGACACACTGAGACACAGACACACACTGAGACACAGAGACACACACTGAGACACAGAGACACACACTGAGACACAGAGACACACTGAGACACAGAGACACACTGAGACACAGACTGAGACACAGACACACACTGAGACACAGACACACACTGAGACACACACTGAGACACAGAGACACACTGAGACACATAGAGACACACACTGAGACACAGAGACACACTGAGACACACTGAGACACAGACACACACTGAGACACACACTGAGACACAGAGACACACACTGAGACACAGACACACTGAGACACAGAGACACACACTGAGACACAGAGACACACTGAGACACAGAGACACACACTGAGACACAGAGACACACACTGAGACACAGAGACACACACTGAGACACAGACACACACTGAGACACACTGAGACACACACACACACTGAGACACACACACTGAGACACAGACACACACTGAGACACAGAGACACACACTGAGACACTGAGACACACACTGAGACACTGCACTAAACTAAACTACTGAATACCTATGAGTCTGGTAAAGGCGTATGGTGCGTGTTTAAACAGACTCACCGCACGAGTACTGAGGGCAGCACGAGTCCTGTCTGTAATAAGACACCAACTTCTCTCCATAGTTACACAGAGGAGGAGGCAGCTCACACAGACTCTGATTACACACTGAGGAAACCACAAAGATCACACTTTAATGTGGGTAAATCAAATAATCAGGGGTCAGAGAGGGTCAGAGGAGAAGAGGAGAGGGTCAGAGGAGAAGAGGAGAGGGTCAGAGGAGAAGAGAGAGAGGGTCAGAGGAGAAGAGGAGAGGGTCAGAGGAACAGAGGAGGAGAGAGGGTCAGAGGAGAAAAGGAGAGGGTCAGAGGGTCAGAGAGGAGAGAGAGGGTCAGAGGAGAAGAGGAGAGGGTCAGAGGAGAAGAGGAGAGGGTCAGAGGAGGAGAGGAGAGGGGTCAGAGAGGAGGAGAGGAGAGGGTCAGGGGAAGAGGGTCAGAGGAGAAGAGGAGGAGAGAGGGTCAGAGGAGAAGAAGAGGAGAGGGTCAGAGGAACAGAGGAGAAGGAGAGGGTCAGAGGGTCAGAGGAGAGGGACTGACTGACCGCAGAGTTTGTGAGGGCAGCAGGTGTCCTGGTCGGCCAGGCTGATCACTACCTCCCCCTGTCTGTGACACTGTGGTGCTGCGGTGGAGCAGTTGAACTCCACTGGGACGATGGTGTCGTTCTCGCAGCGGTACATGCAGCAGGCGTCATGAGAGGATTTCCACACCTCCCCGTGAGCGCGAGGAAGCCCGGCGCTGTCTGTGCACGCTGCAGGATTAACAAAGAGACGATAACACAAGAAGGACCGAGTGTAGAGGCACAAATAATCATAGACAGGATAAAGAAGTGGACTGAGGGAGTGTAAAGTCGCCCACAGTGTTCAGCTCGAATCAGATGAATCTGAAAATACTGACTTCTAAAATTAATATACAAGTATTTAGTGTCTAGTTTAGTTTAGTGTTTAGTCTTGTTGGCTCCATCGAACCAGGACCTGCAATGTGCACTGGGGCGGTTTGTAGCCGAGTGTGAAGCGGCTGGGATGAAGATCAGCTCTTCCAAGTCCGAGGTCGTGGTTCTCGACCGGAAAAAGGTGTCTTGTGCCCTCTCCGGGCGGGTGGAGACTCTCTGCCTCAAGTGGAGGAGTTCAAGTATCTCCGGGTCTTGTTCAGGAGTGAGGGAAGAACGGAGCGTGAGATTGACAGGTGGACAGGTGCAGCGTCTGCAGTGATGCGGCCGCTGTATCGGACCGTTGTGGTGAAGATTTACCTCTCAGTCTTCGTTCCTACTCTCACCTCTGGTCATGAGCTCTGGGTAAGTGACCGAAAGGAACAAGATCGCGGATACAAGCGCTTGAAATGAGTTTCCTCCGCAGGGTGGCTGGGCGCTCCCTTAGAGACAGGGTGAGGAGCTCAGTCACATGGGAGGAGCTCGGAGTAGAGCCACTGCTCCTCCACGTTGAGAGGAACAGTTGAGGCTCAGGCATCTGTTCTGGATGCCTCCTGGGCGTCACCCTCGGGACTGGACTGGGAACACCTTGGGGATCCCCCCGGAGGAGCTGGAGGAAGTGTCTGGGGTGAAGGAAGTCTGTGAGTCCCTGCTTAGACTGATGCGCCCGCGACCAGGATAAGAGGAAGAAAATGGATGGATGGATGGACGTATTTAGTGTTGACGACACATTTTTCTCTGTTGGTTTAGGGTTTGATTTTTATATCCAATAATCCAGCAAAACAAAGACTGGAGAAATCTTCCATAAAAATATATACCTGCGCCACTGTCACTTGGCTCTACTGTGCATGTCTCCTGCAGAAAGAGCCTCTGTCCTGTCTGTGTCATGTCAGTCAATCACACCGTTACTTCTGCAACACTGAACAATTTAACATTGAAACCATCCTGTCGGGATTCACAAAGGTCCGAATAATTCTAACTGGAACTGACGCAGAGTCTGACGACAGCGACACAGAAGAGTTTGCGTCGCTCTGTTTACCTCCGGACGTCGAGGCAGAATTGTTCAGAAGTGACACCGAGGATGAAGAATTGAATGGATTTAGTGATTTGGAGTGAGATGGAGAGTTTGTTAAACTTGTTCTGTTCTGTTGTTTATGTTATAGTTTATCTGAAGAACTGTTCATATGTGACGTTAACAGTCTGTTGTTCTCTCTTCTATAGGCGAGTTTCAGCTGATGTCATTGTTATTAAAAGCCCGTGTTGCTGCTGGGAAATATTTTGGTCGGAGGCAAGAAACACGGTAGCGGTCAAACACAGTGCGTAACCTCGCGTATTTCTCCCAGATAATGGTAAATTCCTGCTGCATTATCGGATGCACAAATAGAAGCACGGAAGAAGGAAAATGTCTTTTTCGTATTCTGAGTGAAAAGAACCGCTAACGGTGAATTAAACGACTTTCAAACATCCGCAGAGCAAACGTAGAAGATCCTAACAAACCGTGGACTCCAACAAGTTCAACAACACATCCAGACTCTTGGAGGTTTTCATCTTTTCTGCTGTGAATGGCCCAGGAGTTTCCACCAAGTCATTGTGGATGTCGCCCAAGTGAATATTTGTCCAGGTAGTTGGAGATTCAGACCAGAAATTTGGTTTGGTCCAGGCTCTGTCGGGGTTGAAAAGGGTGATTTGTCGTCCGTCGATGCTTATGACCAATTTCTGGTCAAATGGTCTTGGGTCCTCTGCCGTTAGAGTGGAGAAATAACCGGGACTTTACGTGCTTTCTCACTCCGTCCGTCATGTTGAATTAGTGTTTCTTGCCGCCGACCAAAATAATTCCCACCATGCAACGCACGCTTTTGTCAACAATGAAACTCGCCTATTGTTTTTAATAGAACTTGACTTTACACAGGAAATGTCTGCTCCTGGTCCCTGATTTTATAAAATAAATTTCCCCCAAAAAGTGCCACTTACATATGTTTTTTTCTTCTTATTACACATTTTTGGCTGGTGTGACTTATACTCTGGAGCGACTTATAGTCCAAAAAATACAGTATACATTTTCCTGGGACATTAATTTTTTTTTCTTTTTTTAAGTTTATATGTCTGGGAAAAGTAATTCAAAAAGGGACAATTATTTTCTAGATTTCCCAGGATAAGTGGATAGAAAAGACGGTTAAAATAAAGTCTAGTTGTTACAGCCCTGCCAAGTATAAAATAACGAATCATGTTTTTCAAAGTGATTAATTTATGTTCTAGGTTCTAACCGTGGATCTTTTCAAGTGACATGAGTTGTGTTTTTCCTCACCGCACTTGTCCGGCTGCACGCAGAGTTTGGAGTAGGGTCGGTGCAGCAGCGTTCCCTCCGGACACACGCAGCCCTCCGTGAGACCCGAGCACTGGTCCGGGTCCGAGTCGAAGTCCTGGTTTGGGCAGGAGGAGGCGGAGCAGGCGGGCAGACACGACTGGTACTGGAGACCGTCGGGGCAGAGGAACGCTGCAGCACACGGACACGGAGAGAGCGTTCAGATTTTAATCAACCAATCAAGTTTTATTTCAGACTCCAGAGGGCCCATAGAACATATTTTAGTTTCTATTAAAATGCCCTGGCCAATTTACTCTTCTAAGTTGAACAATCTGATACCAAGGTCAGAAACAGAGCTTGGAAATGTGTTACTGATACTTGACATCAGACACATCACGCTGGGAGTGTTCTTCATGTATGTTTATGGTAGAATGTTCAGCAGTTACCATGGTGACAGAACGCACACATTAGCAAACACTGTCAAAAAGTTTATGATCGTCTGAAAATGACAACGTGATCAGTGGAAGTGCCGCGCTGTAGGTTTGTGGAACTTCCGGGTTTATGGTTTTCTGTGGCAAAATGTGTGTGTAAATGTGTGTGTAAATGTGTGTGTAAATGTGTGTGTAAATGTGTCGTATTCTCCAGCAGCTTCATAAATCTGCCCCATCACCGAATCTTCAACCAACAAACTCCACAAAGAATAAACATTCTAACATGAACAATTTATCCACAACTATAAAGGAAAGAAAGACGAAAACTTAAAGGAAACGACAACGACGCTTTAGTGACTCACTGAACAAAACTAATATTACGGTCATGAATAAAATATAAGGGTCCTGGTCAAGTGGTAACGGAGGGAAACAGGGGCAGATTTTTGACATTCAAATGTGTCTTATTCAGAAACTAGAGGAACTATTGAAATAAGTAAAGTATCAGAATGTAGGAAAGAGTTACACTCCAACAGGGTCAAGTTAAACCTGTGAGATTCTTTCAAGTTGTTGACAAAAAATGTAAAAACTCATGTCGGTAACAGAGGGAATGAAATATGCAGCACTTTTTGGGCAGTAAATCCAAACAGTGATAACTCTTGGTTCTCACTTACATATCCTTAACAAACTGGTTTGAATATTTGCTTCATATAGTTTTCTACCATATGGTACAAGATTAGGTTGAAAAACCTCTGACTTTTTGACTCATGAGATTTTTTATTAAGAAAGGTCATGGTAACGGAGGGAAAAGTAACGGAGGGAAAATTGTACAAACAAGTACAAGGTGCAGGATTTTACATCATTTATAACTTTTTTCTTCTGAAAACTTTAATATTACTTCAAAATGAAAGAAACTATTTCTATAAAATATGTCAGTCCTTCCAAGCAAATTTTTATCATTTTAAATACATTTTTTTTTAAAATCCTGTCCCTTCATCAACAGTTCAAAGATGGAATAACACAAGATATGATGAAATACAAACATTTATTTACATGATTTTCAGGTCTTTGAAATTTGGGAAATAATTTTTGTTCCATGTTTCATACATGGTCTGTTTAAAACAGATGGAACTTTAGAACCAAAAATGGTCCAGAAAAAAGGTCAACAGTTTCATAAACTAGAGTACATATGTATCTGTTCAATACACTTTTATATCAGATGAATTAACTTGAATTTTTGGCCTTGTTGTTTACTTCTGCTTGACCGGGACCATAAGTAAGTTGTTCACTCAGACTGATTCTAGAATTAAAATAAAAAATGGATTTCATGATGTTGATATTAGCATAGATGAGCTTGGATGTTACTCGTACAAGGAAAACAGTGAATAAAATCTGCTCCAAAACACACGACAAACCCGCGCTCACCTTCAGTAAGGACTGTGACAGGTGAGGTTTTTCTGCCTCTCGTCTCCGGCGTCATCACTGCTCCACACTGTTTTTATCTCCATAAACTCACAGAGTAAAAGGACGCACATCAGCCTCACTATTTAATAGATATTCCTGCTTAATCAATATTTCTCCTTGAGCACGGCACGGTTCTGAAGTCCTAGTGTGAGTGTGTAGTGTGAGTATGACATCATCAAATCGTTGAATCTGAAAACCACCAGTTGTTGGACAGTAAACCCCTCAGCCTCTACGCAGACATCGTACATGTAGTTTTAACCTGAAAGTGACACTTACGGCAGTGGTCCTGTTTCCTCCACTCAATGCAGATGTTGAACTTGTGGCAGGAGGCGGCGTAGGCGGACAGCGCCACACAGTGGTTGTTCACGTACTCTGTGTCTCTGACCCACAGTTCACAGAACGTAGAGGGAGGAACCTGAGACACAGAGGAAAGAGTTTAACACCGGAAAACAACAACACTTCATCTTCTTAACTTGGACAGTTTTGTGTTCATGACTTTGTAAAGTTGCAAGCAAATTTTTTGCCTTTTTTCTTTGTATTTTAAACAAATGTTGCTCGTCGTTACAAAGCACATTTTTAGCTTTTTGGCCGATTGCAGATTTATTGACACTGTTTATGGTTCACATCTCTGTAAACACTGGACCAGTCCACATGAAACAAAAAACAAGTTCAGCAACGTCTGTCAGTAAAACAGGGACGTCCCAACGTCTGTGAACATGTGGTGCAGTGTACTGACAGGTGCTGACAGGTGCAGTGTACGTACATGTGGGTGACAGGTGCTGACAGGTGCAGTGTACATACATGTGGGTGACAGGTGCTGACAGGTGCAGTGTACATACATGTGGGTGACAGGTGCTGACAGGTGCAGTGTACATACATGTGGGTGACAGGTGCTGACAGGTGCAGTGTACGTACATGTGGGTGACAGGTGCTGACAGGTGCAGTGTACATACATGTGGGTGACAGGTGGTGACAGGTGCGGTGTACGTACATGTGGGTGACAGGTGGTGACAGGTGCGGTGTACGTACATGTGGGTGGCAGGTGGTGACAGGTGCTGACAGGTGCAGTGTACATACATGTGGGTGACAGGTGGTGACAGGTGCGGTGTACGTACATGTGGGTGACAGGTGATGACAGGTGCGGTGTACGTACATGTGGGTGGCAGGTGCTGACAGGTGCGGTGTACGTACATGAGGGTGTGCTGACAGGTGGTGACAGGTGCGGTGTACGTACATGAGGGTGGCAGGTGGTGACAGGTGCGGTGTACGTACATGTGGGTGGCAGGTGGTGACAGGTGCTGACAGGTGCGGTGTACGTACATGTGGGTGGCAGGTGGTGACAGGTGCTGACAGGTGCGGTGTACGTACATGTGGGTGGCAGGTGGTGACAGGTGCGGTGTACGTACATGTGGGTGGCAGGTGGTGACAGGTGCGGTGTACGTACATGAGGGTGGCAGGTGGTGACAGGTGCTGACAGGTGCGGTGTACGTACATGAGGGTGGCAGGTGGTGACAGGTGCGGTGTACGTACATGTGGGTGACAGGTGGTGACAGGTGCGGTGTACATACATGTGGGTGGCAGGTGGTGACAGGTGCGGTGTACGTACATGTGGGTGGCAGGTGGTGACAGGTGCGGTGTACGTACATGAGGGTGGCAGGTGGTGACAGGTGCGGTGTACGTACATGAGGGTGGCAGGTGCTGACAGGTGCTGACAGGTGCGGTGTACGTACATGAGGGTGGCAGGTGCTGACAGGTGGTGACAGGTGCGGTGTACGTACATGAGGGTGGCAGGTGGTGACAGGTGCTGACAGGTGCGGTGTACGTACATGTGGGTGACAGGGTGACAGGTGCTGACAGGTGCGGTGTACGTACGTGAGGGTGGCAGGTGCTGACAGGTGCTGACAGGTGCGGTGTACGTACATGAGGGTGGCAGGGCCTGTAGTCGTGTCCCTGGATCATGCTCAGACACTGGGAGCAGTCGCTGGTGGTGCAGTTGGCGTTTCTTCGTCGCGTGGGGCTGATGGACGACGTGGTGTTGGGGACGGTCCAGCTCTCGATGAACTGTTCACTGTCGGACACGAAGGAGCCGCTGGGCAGAGTCAGGTCGTTACTCGGGTCTCCGTCACAGAAACCTGCACAAAAACACAAACGCGAGTCTCAAGACTGCGGCACAAATAAAACTACACATTCTAATGTTGTGACAAACATGGAAAGCTGAATCTACGGTGGAATTTCACCATCATGACAAAGGGTGGTGTAGTTTATTCTAGGGCTGGGGGTGTACTTCATGTATGTCTATGGAGGAATGTTCAGTGGTTCCAACGGAGACACAACGCACACATTCGCAAACGCTGCCTGATGCGTTTGAAAACTCAAGAAAATAATACAAAATGGATTTAAAGAGCACATTTTCAGGAGTGTGATCAGTCTGAGTGTCCGTGGTCCTGTTTACAAGTTTGATTTTCAACAAAAAGGTGAAAGTGACGACCTGAAAAACTGTTATGCTTGTTAATTGTATGTGTGAGAGACTTGTTTAACAACACAAACCAGCTCATCTGTTGTAGTTTGAACTAAGTCACATCTTCATGGGCAGATTGTGTTAAAATTGGGGGTGGGACATGAAAGCGTCAGGGATCAGCTCCATGTTCCCTCATTTCTAAGATTTTTCTCAAAATGAAACTCTAATTCAAGTCCTTTTTATTTTTACATTTAAAGGGATGATTCAGTCATTTTAACCTAGAATCCTTTTACCTCTACATTACATCTGTAGTCAACTGCTGCTGGAAAATAGTTTGGGTGTAATTGATGAACAAATTGGAAGAAACGGGGATAAAATCTGCAAATTGATGATAGAGGAAATGTGGGAATATAAGGCCTAATTTTGGAAAGCAAAAAAAAGAAATGAGAAATGAGGGGAACATAAGGCGAGTACGATTATTTAAACACAAAGAAAATAATGCATTAAATATACACGTTTTATTGTAGTTTGCCAAACAATGCAGAACGTTTGTCAGTGCACCGTGTCTTGGTACGACAATTATACTGACGCACACAGTTCTGACTACAACGTTGGAGCAGGAAAACCTCTCGTTCTGCTGGAGGGTAAATTTATATTTAACAAACTACTGATGGAAGTACTGACAAAGGCGTTGTTTATTGCAAAAAAGAGTTTGCGGATCACAGAAGCACGACGTTCAGAAGGGAACAACTTAAAGTAAAATGGCACTTTAACTTTAGTCGCTTCAGTTTTGGACAGCGACTTTACCTTTGTCTGCTATTTTGAAATGGAATTTATTTTTCCAGACATTTAAAAAGCTTGAGTTTAAAAGTGTTTGTATTATTTGATGAAGTCGTCCACTAAAATTCATTTACATTAAAAAAATGTTGCTTTTGGGGCAAATATTTTTATGTGGTTAATTGATTAATTGATAAAGTCCCAGTCCCAAGTTAAAATAAAGCTCAGGTTAAAGTCTAATTTGAGTAACAGAGCTAAAGACTTTCTGCTTGTTCAGGGAAAAATAAAGTCTTGGGCAATTATGGATGAACTAAGTTAAATGTAAACTGCCACTGACCGCAGAGCCCCCTGGTGGTCAGTCTGTTGTAGTGCGCCTCCGTGTCGACCACCATCATCCCGGTGGAGTGGAACCACTGTAGCCTGAGTCCGGCCGGAGTCTTGATCAGATACATGTTTCCTGTGTCGTAGATCTCAAACCCAAACTTCTTAAACCTGGGCTTGGCGTATCGAGAGTTCACGTACAGCTAGGAAAGAAAAACAGACGCTACAGTCACTGGGATCTCAAAACATGTCTAGTTTATTTAAATAATTGGAAATAGCTGCCCCTGGTGCTGTTTAAGTCTTTTAGATGACCTTATATTCCTCTGTATAAAATGTAAAACGTGTTGGAGCTCTCACCCGCCGCTGGAGTCGGTCGATGACGATGTGGTTGGATTTGTGAGTGATGTTCAGAGCCACGAGGCACAAGTGAGTGAAGTTCCACAGCAGCTTTGGGAGAGAAGAATGAAGAGATTTAACTTCAGGATTCAAAACGAAACAAAAATAAAACTGTTCTTCGAGTCCAGGGCAGAGAGAAGAAATGTTCTAAAGTCCTAGTGTGTGTGCGCCCTAAAAATATTTCCACACTGCCGACATTTTAACCCTTTCCCCCATGAAGACGACATTTGACGACCCCTGTTTCCTTAATGACGACTTTTGACTCCTCCGCTGTATCACTAAAGACGTGATTTGACGACCTTTAGAAACGGCTCGGTTTTTCACATTTAAACAGAGACTGTGATCGGTGGGGCCACTACAACCCACACTAGACTGACCAATAGGATTCAAGGATATGTTTTCGCCGATTTTTTCCGAAGTTAATTGAAATAGTGACGATTGTAGCTTCCGGAAAAAACACAACACGAAACACGTGCAATGGAAAGATCGCGGTGCTGCGGCGCACAGTTTTAGAAATAATGAGGAGCGGACGTGTTTTATGGATAAGTTTAGAGAAAGTGACTTTTATAGATTTCAAAGTGATGATGAAGTTGATTATAAAGTGGAAAACAGCGACAGCGACGGACTTTCGGGGAGAAGGTGAGATGTCGCTGATGCGTCTGTGTGGAGTCCTGCAGTATCCAAACAAACTATCTGAGCTTTATACTCGATTATGAACCAAAATTGCCCTGAAATCTGGATGTTGCCCAGGTTAGTCCTTTAAAATATTTCAGTCTTTTTTTCCAAAGATGCGATGTATAACAGAATCGCTACAGAAAAAACGCTTATGTGAAGCTCTGCACACGAAAATAACCAAGATGACAAATACTGGACACACACTGACGGGGAAGAGTTTTATTATTATATTATTATATTATAATAAGCTGAATTAGTTGAATAAATTAAATAAGTTGAATAAGCTAAATGGAAAAAATGAATTAGGTGCACACAGGTGAACAACAGGTAAAAACAGGTGAACACTTGGCTCTACTGTATCTGGTGATATGAAATCTGTTTAAATACTTTGACAAAGTATATTTTTTTAATTTTTTTATGAATATAGTACTCAGAACATGCAGATATCAGATGCTGAATGTAGTTTTTTTGTTTTCGAGTTTGCACCTGACCAGGTAAACTCTCATTTTCAGTGAGCTGTTAAACACCTATAAATGAGTTGAATCACATTTAAACATCCATAAATGAAGAGTTCAGAGTCTAAAGTTTCCAGAGATACAAATATGTCTGTGTTACAATTAAGTTCATGAGTGTAAAATTAATCATTATAATCACTCGTGGAAGTCTGTTTTCTTTTATGCTCCATGTGTAGCCCTAGTAACATATGTATGGGTTGTTCCTAGTCGGCGTCCAGGGGGAAAGAGTTAAAGCGTCACTGCACGTTGTTTGTTTGTGTCGTTGCGTCACGCGCCACTATTCGGCCTGACTTTTACTAACTCACTCCATCGAAAGCTGAATGTGGCTTTTTTCCAATATTCCCTGAAAATTTGGTGCATCCCTAATAATAATAATAATAATAATAATAATAATAATAATAATAATAATAATAGGTATAACAAAATAATAGTGTTTTTTATTTATATAGCCCTCGAAAACGCTTTACAAAACAAATATTAAAAAAGTGAAAAGAAGCATTTGTAGTTTCCAGTGGACTTCCACTAGCTCAATGACATGGAGAGAACATTGTTGGAAAAATATCATAAGATTCTTTACAAAGTAAATATAAAATGCAAATATCTGGAGGAAATGGAGGTGAACCATTTTCATGTATTTTGGGAATGTCCGGTTCTACGACATTACTGGTCTGGAATATATAAAGCTCTAAACGGTATTTTTGCCGTTCAGTTTCCTGATGACTTTTCATTTATGTATTTGGGTCTAAACACAGTCTTGGACCGAGGAGGGGATATTAAACAACTACAGGCATTTCTAGCGGCCAGTAAAAAATCAATAACTAGGAAATGGCTAAATCCAACCCCCCCAACACTTGAGGACTGGTTTGGTACAGTTTTAGAAATTGACATACATTCTAAGAGTAAAAAGGGACAGATTTTATAAGATTTGGGAAAAATGAATCCAGTTTGTTTCCCCCTTTCGGGCTGATTTTGATTGACTTTTTGTAAATGTACCAGGTCATGGGGTATGGATCCCCTGACTCCACCACGCTCACCCAATTTGTTTCTTGAAGGGTTGAAATGTCTGGTTAATGCTTTCAAGTTGGCCACCTCACATTGTTGTTAAGGGCCGTTCACACCAAGGCGTCAAAGCGTCCAGTTTCAATGTAAAGTCTATGTGGACGCGCGACTAGAGCGTCCTGCGTTTTTGTGGCGCGTCTTCAGCGTTTTGGCGTCAGCGGCCAAGACGCGCGTCCAAGGCGTCAGCGTCAAGGAGTTGAAAATGCTGAACTTTTCGCGTCAGACGCGCCGCGTCAACCAATCAGGGACGAGTATCCAGAGACGCAGCGACGTTATTATCAGGAAGCAAGACCCGAGAACCAGAACGAGAACCACAAACATGAGCGGAGAATAAATATATACACCACAATCACCGAGCCGATCGCGAGGACCAGGACTACACCAGGACCAGGACCAGGACTAAACCAGGACCGACCGGACTAAACAGGACTAGACCGGGACTAAACAAGGACTAGACCGAGACTAGACCGAGACTAAACAAGGACTAGACCGGACTAAACAAGGACTAGACCGAGACTAGACCGAGACTAAACAAGGACTAGACCGGGACTAGACCGAGACTAAACGAGGACTAGACCGTGATTAGACCAGGACCAGACCGGTATTAGACCAGGACTAGACCGGGACTGATCCAGTGTCATTAGTGGAGTATAAATATATATACGCCCCAGTCGTCGACCCGATCTCCTCCGCTGTTGTTTTATGTCATAAAAAAATTGTTTTGGGAAAAGACCGGGACCGGGCTCTTGTTTCCAGGGCAACGGACGCGCGTCAAGTATTTTTGTCCCGTTCGTCCACGGCGTCAAAGATGCGCATCGGGGGCGTCTAAACTCAAATGCAAAGGCTCCAAATAGAGACGTCAAGGCGTTTTTTGATGCTTTGGTGTGAACGGCCCTTTAGTTAGTTAGTTTGTTCCTTTTTAAAATTTGTATTTATTTATTTTTTTTTTTATTCACTTTTCGTTTTTGTTAAAAAAAAAAGTTTGAAAAGGAATCTGATCTTTCTGTAATACCACAGACTGTAAAGATGCGAACCTTTTCTAATAAAAACATAAATGAAAACAGAACCATGAATGACCAGGTGACGCAGCGGTGGTTCGTACCGGAGACCTGGAGTCTGCGGGACACTCCTGCACCGGACACGGACAGCGTCTCCGTCTCCAGCTGAGTGATGATGTAAGACGCGGCTTTAAACACGGCCACGCTGTTTCCATCGTACGTGATCACGCTCAGGTCTGGGAACAGAGAACAGCGACCTGCAAGAAGAAAAACAAACAAATCACCCGGAGAAAATACGACACAGAGGAACAGTGACTCACACCAATATTACACATAGACTCATGATGATTTAATGATTTGATTTAATTTCATTTGATTATTTATTTCGTTCATGAAGACATTAATGGCATCATAACGTTAAATATACACAGTGTCGGGGAGTAACAGATTACATGTACCAGAGTTAAGTAATCAGAGTACAAATGATGAGTAACTGTATTCAGTTACAGTTACAGTTTCAGTGAGTGGTAATTGGATTACAGTTACTTTGTTGAAATAAATGGATTATACAGCGGGATTTTCCTGTTTTCACATTTTGGGCTAAACCAGGACTAAAACCAGGACTAAAACCAGGACTAAAACAGGGCTAAACCAGGTCTAAAAGCAGGACTAAACCAGGACTAAAAGCAGGACTAAAACCAGGACTAAACCAGGGCTAAACCAGGACTAAACCAGGACTAAAACCAGGACTAAACCAGGACTAAACCCAGGACTAAACCAGGACTAAACTAGGACTAAACCAGGACTAAACCAAGTCTAAAACCAGGTCTAAAAGCAGGACTAAACCAGGACTAAACCAGAACTAAAACCAGGTCTAAAAGCAGGACTAAACCAGGACTAAACCAGGTCTAAAACCAGGACTAAACCAGAACTAAAACCAGGACTAAACCAGGTCTAAAAGCAGGACTAAACCAGGACTAAACCAGGTCTAAAACCAGGACTAAACCAGAACTAAAACCAGGACTAAACCAGGTCTAAAACCAGGACTAAACCAGAACTAAAACCAGGACTAAACCAGGTCTAAAAGCAGGACTAAACCAGGACTAAACCAGGTCTAAAACCAGGACTAAACCAGAACTAAAACCAGGACTAAACCAGGTCTAAACCAGGTCTAAACCAGGACTAAACCAGGACTAAAACCAGAACTAAAACCAGGACTAAACCAGGTCTAAAAGCAGGACTAAACCAGGACTAAACAGTATGACACTAACAGTAGGTGGACATACTTTAAAGCAGGAGTGTCTCATATAAAAATCATTTCTCGATCAATAATATTTTTAATCTGGTTCAGTAAAGTCTGGGCTTTTTATTGTCTTTTATCAGACAAAACTTCTTATGTTAAGATTTTCTAGTCAATTTGAAGAGAACGAACAAGAATTTTCAGGATGTGGTTGTTACATTCATGTAGTTTTAAAAAGCACGACAATATCAAGTAATCCAAAGTAATCAGATTACATTACTCACTTTAAGTAATTTAATGGATTATGTTACAAACTACATTTTGGGGTTTATAATCTGTAATCTGTAGGGGATTACATTTTAAAAGTAAACCTTCCCAACACTGAATATACAAGAAATGAATTAAATGGAACAGAAAGAAGCTCACTTTTCCAGACACATTAACATCGAGTTACTTTAAACCAGGAGAGTCAAACTCAAACTCACAGAGGCCAAGGCGTGTTTTCTCTTCTTTCAACATATGTAATGTTAAACCTTTTCTTATTAAAATAAATGTTTAATAAAAGTTTTGCTTAAACATTGAATCCAGAACAAGAAGAATATGAAATAATAACAACATTTTAAATAAATAATGTCTCTATAGTCGATCTGTAGCCGGCGAGCAGCTCTAGTACATATTTGATATTATCTCGCGGCCCAAATATAATTATATCGTGGCCCAAATTTTGCTCCCAGGCCTGAGTTTGACATGTCTGGTTAAAACATTTCTTTTTTCATTCATTTTAGATCAGCAGAGCGGTGGGTTGGTGTTTAGAGATGATTTCAACATATATGTTTAAATGTATGATCCTGTATTTAATGAATTATTTTATTTAATACAATATAATTAGGTTAAATTAGGTCCAATAACAAACAGAGGAGCAGAAGATGCAGAGGAAAGGGTCAGAGGGTCAGAGGAGCAGAGTCAGAGGGTCAGAGGAGCAGAGGGTCAGAGGGTCAGAGGAGCAGAGGGTCAGAGAGGAGTCAGAGGAGTCAGAGGAGCAGAGAGAGGAGCAGAGGGTCAGAGGAGCAGAGGGTCAGAGGAGCAGAGGGTCAGAGGGTCAGAGGAGCAGAGGGTCAGAGGGTCAGAGCAGAGGGTCAGAGGAGCAGAGGGTCAGCAGAGGTCAGAGGGTCAGAGGAGCAGAGGGTCAGAGGAGCAGAGGGTCAGAGGAGCAGAGGGTCAGAGGAGCAGAGGGTCAGAGGGTCAGAGGGGCAGAGGAGCAGAGGGTCAGAGGGTCAGAGGAGCAGAGGGTCAGAGGAGCAGAGGAGCAGAGGGTCAGAGGGTCAGAGGAGCAGAGGGTCAGAGGGTCAGAGGGTCAGAGGAGTCAGAGGAGCAGAGGGTCAGAGGAGCAGAGGGTCAGAGGAGCAGAGAGGAGCAGAGGGTCAGAGGGTCAGAGGTCAGAGGGTCAGAGAGCAGAGGGTCAGAGGGAGCAGAGGGTCAGAGGAGGTCAGAGGAGGGTCAGAGGAGCAGAGGGTCAGAGCAGAGGAGCAGAGGGTCAGAGGGTCAGAGGAGCAGAGGGTCAGAGGAGCAGAGGGTCAGAGGGTCAGAGGAGCAGAGGGTCAGAGGAGCAGAGGAGCAGAGGAGCAGAGGGTCAGAGGGTCAGAGGAGGGCAGAGGAGCAGAGGGTCAGAGGAGAGGGTCAGAGGAGCAGAGGGTCAGAGGGAGGAGCAGAGGGTCAGAGGAGCAGAGGGTCAGAGGAGCAGAGGAGCAGAGGGTCAGAGGAGCAGAGGGTCAGAGGAGCAGAGGGTCAGAGGGTCAGAGCAGAGGGCAGAGGGTCAGAGGGTCAGAGGAGCAGAGGGTCAGAGGAGCAGAGGGTCAGAGGAGCAGAGGGTCAGAGAGGGTCAGAGGGTCAGAGGGTCAGAGGAGCAGAGGGTCAGAGGAGCAGAGGGTCAGAGGAGCAGAGGGTCAGAGGAGCAGAGGGTCAGAGGGTCAGAGGGTCAGAGGGTCAGAGGGAGCAGAGAGTCAGAGGGCAGAGGGTCAGAGGGTCAGAGGGTCAGAGGAGCAGAGGGTCAGAGGGTCAGAGCAGAGGGTCAGAGGGTCAGAGGAGCAGAGGAGCAGAGGGCAGAGGGTCAGAGGAGTCAGCAGAGGGTCAGAGGGTCAGAGGAGCAGAGGGTCAGAGGGTCAGAGGAGCAGAGGGTCAGAGAGCAGAGGGTCAGAGAGGGTCAGAGCAGAGGGTCAGAGAGCAGAGGGTCAGAGGGTCAGAGGGTCAGAGCAGAGGGTCAGAGGAGTCAGAGGGTCAGAGGGTCAGAGGAGTCAGAGGGTCAGAGGAGCAGAGGGTCAGAGGAGTCAGAGGGTCAGAGCAGAGGGCAGAGGGTCAGAGGAGCAGAGGGTCAGAGGAGCAGAGGGTCAGAGGAGCAGAGGAGCAGAGGGTCAGAGGAGCAGAGGGTCAGAGGGTCAGAGGAGCAGAGGGTCAGAGGGTCAGAGGAGCAGAGGAGAGGAGCAGGGTCAGAGGGTCAGAGGAGCAGAGGGTCAGAGGGTCAGAGGAGCAGAGGGTCAGAGGAGCAGAGGGGTCAGAGGAGCAGAGGGTCAGAGGGTCAGAGGGTCAGAGGGTCAGAGGAGCAGAGGGTCAGAGGGTCAGAGAGCAGAGGGTCAGAGGAGCAGAGGGTCAGAGGGTCAGAGGAGCAGAGGGTCAGAGGAGCAGAGGGTCAGAGGAGCAGAGGTCAGAGGGTCAGAGGGTCAGAGGAGCAGAGGGTCAGAGGTCAGAGAGAGGGAGCAGAGGAGCAGAGGAGTCAGAGGGCAGAGGGTCAGAGGGCAGAGGTCAGAGAGGAGCAGAGGGTCAGAGGAGCAGAGGGTCAGAGGAGCAGAGGGTCAGAGGGTCAGAGGAGAGTCAGAGGAGCAGAGGGTCAGAGGGTCAGAGGGTCAGAGGGTCAGAGGAGCAGAGTAAAAGTGTGTGTCGTACATGGACACTCCCACTGGGGGCAGCACTTGTCTCCGTTCACCAGGACGGCGAATCCCAGCAGGCCGCAGTTCGGGGGCTCGGAGGTGAACGAGCAGCTCTGGGATTTGTTAAACAGGATGAGCTGATGGTTCACGCAGATGAACTTGGTGCATTCGTCGACGATCTCTGCGTACGGAGGCTGCGGGAGACGGACGAGAACGAGGAAAACGTCAGAGAGGAATTAAAATAGAACAAACGGACTTCAACGGACAAGAAATACCACCAGCTGACATGAAATAAACACACAGTGAACGCCAGAGCTGTTTGTAAACAACCTATAGTATAATTTGTCTTCGTTAAAACTTCTTGTGACATTTTAATTATTATTATTTTTATATTGCTCTCTGTTTTCTGTTGTTAACCATTCACTTGCGCAATTACGTTTAGTGCTTTTATTTTGAAGGGGGGTCAGTCCATATGACATCAGCCGCCCTCCCCTATGAACCATCTCAGATTTGGCTGAAAAAATAAAATAAAATTTCTAAAATCACCAAATGGAAGAATCTCAAATTTTAGCTCAATCCCTGGAGTCGTTCCTGAGTTATGGCCCGTTGAAATTTTGGGGTCGTGTGCACTTTTTCTGAAGCCTTAATTTATAATCATGTTTGAGAGACCATGACTTCATAAAAATAGAGCTGGGAAGATAAAATGAAGGAAGTTAATAGTAAATGTTTTTATTACTTTAAACTAATCAGAATTTACCAAAGTTTCTCTGGTAAAAATTTTATCAACATCTAAATGTGCCACATGAGGAACTGAGGCTCCAAAGAAGGAGCCAAAAAGGTCACATTTGGTCTGTGTCCATATTTGAGACTCTACACCGTCCACATGTAAGATCAGAAAAGTGTGAGATTGTTGTCGGAAATGGTCATTCTCTCAAATATTCAGGATTAACAGTTAGTTTGTAAATATCTGCTTGGAGTAAATAGATCTTGGACCTCAAAAAAAAAAAAAAAAAAAATTGAGCAGCAACCAAATGTGAGATTTTGGAGGCTCACAGCGCCCCCCTTAATGAAGATACACAATATTTGACAACAGATTCAGAATCTATGACCAAGAATCTAATAAAAACTTTCAGCTTCCTAGTTCTATTTTTCATGAAGTCATGGTCTCTCAAACATGATTATAAATTAAGGCTTCCAAAAAAGTGAGCGTGACCTCAAAATTTCAACGAGCCATAACTCAGGAAAAACTCACGGGATTGAGCTAAAATTTGAGATTCTTTCATTTGGTAATTTTAGAAATTTTTAGAATTATTTTCAGCCAAATCTGAGATGACTCATTGGAGAGATTCCTTGAAAACAGCTGATTTCATACAGACTAACCCAGGGTTTATTCCGGTGAGTGTAAAAACGTTTAATTAACAACAAGAAAAACGATATACGGAGCAAACGTATACATATATATTTTTAGATATTTTCTATGTCTTTGTTTAGCTTCCCCCATCTGAAGAGGCACAAAGTTATGTTATTGATTTAAATATTTCTTTTGAATAACTTTGTGTCTCTGGCTGTTATTGTTGTTGATTGATGTTGTCAAGATGAACGCGGGCGGGAGCAGGACTGAAAATTCTGTCCGGTGCAGACCTCTAATTGGCAATTCCAGGGCTGAAAATATCCAAATAATTTTAGTGAAGGTGTGTGGAGTTTAAAAAGGCAATAGAGCACTTCCTTTATCACTACATGACATCACAAGGTGGAGCAGAGTGTTCAGTTTGAGAGAAGAACTGTTTTTGTTATAACATTGTAGAAAACTAAAAAACAACAACATTAATCGGGTAAAACAATAAAAAGCCGCTCTCCACTCACCGTACACGCGCGGGCCGTTTGTAAACTCACTGCCGCCGTCGTCTCGGTGTATTTCGTCGTGTCTAAAACGGTGGAGGGCGTGGCTTTGGGCGTGGTTTTCGCCGTGGTCGTCGGCGCTTCCTCTTCGTCTTCTCCCCTCTCTTTCGTCGTCACTTTACTGGTCTCCGTCGTCACGGAAACGGTCGAGGCAGCAGTCGACGCACGGACGCTCCACGCCTCCGTCGCCTCGGTCGGCGGTTTGAACGAAGGCGTAGGCGTTTTCGCGATTTCCGCCTTTTTGGTCGTTGTTTTGTCATCAGATTTAACCGTAGACGTCGTAGTTGTGGCGTAGGACGTAGTTTCAAGTTTTTGTCCAGATGTGGGCGCTACAGGTCGACTTGTAGATTTAGTCGCTACAGTCAGATCCTCTTTAGAAGTAGTAGTAGTTGTAGTTGTAGTAGTAATAACTGGTCCTATAGGTCTAGTAGTAGTAGTAGCAGTAGTAGTAGTAGTAATTTTTGCAGTAGTGGGTCGGATACTTTCTGTACCGGTGACTCTGGTGGTGACTGGAGCTCTGAGCGTGGTTTTCGTGGTGGTCGTGGGGAGTTTGGCGGTTGGAGCGGACGTAGGTTTCGCTGTAGGGACTTTCTCTGGAGCGGAGGAGGAGGTGGAGGAGGTGGTGGAGGAGGAGGTGGAAGAGGAGGTGACGGGAGCCGCGGAGGACGGGTGGAGAGGAGGAAGAGGAGGAGGAAGAGGAGGAGATGTGGAGGTGGTGGTGGTTCGGGTGGTAGTTTGTGGAATCTGAAGATTAAAAAAACAAAACAAACTGGGATTAAAAAGAACAAGATATTAAAACCAAAACACCTCAACTTGCCACTGAGCACCATAGAAAACAGGGCTGGGCATCATTAAAGGTTGTATGGAGGATTTTTTTTTTACTTTCAAATTGTCAAGGAAAGTTTAAAATACCCTCACAGAGATGCAGCAGCCTTGTAATTATGTTGATTAAAGAAAAAATAATGAAAATTTGTCATCTGTGGCCATAGTGAGGGCAGATAAACATCAGCCAAAAGAAAACAAGGCTCCCTCATTTTCTATTGGCTGTTAGGTTGTCAATCAAACTCCCTATGTTTCTAGTGTAACTGACTCGTCGGCGCGCTGGGATTTATGCAGCGGTTCTTAGAGGCTTTTTAAAACTGTCGCTTCCTCGCAGTTCGCACAAAGTTTGTCGCGATGTCGGACAAGAATCCACGACCAGTTCGCCGCGAAAGAAAGTCCGTTTTTGAGGTCGCTGAAAGAAGAAGAGAAGAAGGAGAAAAGGAGTAAAGCCAAACACATGATTCTTGGAGATTCCTTCCAGTGATTGCGTGAACGAAGCAGATGAAGGGTCTAAAAACTGACGTGTCGGTCGCTAAATAATTTCTAGACAGGTCACTTCAGTAGTGATTCTGAACACGCACTGGATGTAAACAAACGTGATTTCTAGAGTAAAGAGGTGGGAGGAGGAGATGTTTCTACCGAGGAAGCTGTGGAGGAGGGAGGTGGTGTCACGCATGCACAACATTTGAAAAAAGAACTGTTGCTGTATTTCTTTTCCCTTTAAAAAATCCTCTATACAACCTTTAAGAATTTGCCGATACGATACAATACCTCAATACACAGACCACGATACGATACATTTTTCAATACAGTGCACTTTCAATTCAATACGATACGTTTAAGTCAAAAACAAAGGCTAAATCATGGCTGTGATAGCAAAAGTCTACTAAGTTAATATGAAAAACAGCCATTTTACTCATCCACGGTATCCCCAAGTTTGACTACTCCAAATTTAAGACTTTTAACTCTTTCCCCCATGAAGACGACATTTGACGACCCCCCCTGTTTCACTATAGACGTGATTTGATGACCTTTAGAAACGGCTCAATTTTTCACATTTAAACAGAGACTGTGATCGGTCGGGGCCACTACAACCCACACTAGACTGACCAATAGGATTCAAGGATATGTTTTCGCCGATTTTTTCCGAAGTTAATCGAAGTAGTGACGATGGTAGCTTCCGGAAAAAACACAACACGAAACACGTGTAATGGAAAGATCGCGCTGCGGCGCACAGTTTTAGAAATAATGAGGAGCGGACGTATTTTATGGATAAGTTTAGAGAAAGTGACTTTTATAGATTTCAAAGTGATGATGAGGGTGATTATAAAGTGGAAAACAGCGACAGTGACGGACTTACACAGAGTGAAACTTAAGAAGATGAGAATGCCACTGATGCGTCTGTATGGAGTCCTGCGATATCCGAACAAACTATCCGGGCTTTATACTTGCTTATGAACCAAAATTGCCCTGAAATCACTCGTGGAAGTCTGTTTTCTTTTATGCAATTATGCTCTATGGGTGTAGCCCCAGTAACATATGTATGGGTTGTTCCTAGTCGGCGTCCAGGGGGGAAAGAGTTAAAGACCTTTTTAAAACCACTGAAATGAAAATTAAGACCAACATTGCACCCATTATGCGGGCGAAAAACACCAGATCCAATTCTAATAATGACCAAACAACTACCAGTACTAAACCTACACTTCCCCATGATCCATCCAGTGTCTTACTCCGCTCTACCGCCCTGGCCAGAAACCAAAATATTGTTTGTATATACTCCAAAATTAGACGTTCATTCAAGTTACATGATTTCACGTTGTTGTTTTTTCCCCCCTCCCTCCAATTTAACATTGCACTGCAGCCCGATTGAGTTTACAAAAAAAACAGGCTAATGAAAATTAAGACCTTTGTGGAAAAAAATAAGACTTCAACATCATTTAAGATTTTTTAAGGCCTTAATTTAGGAACATGAAATTTAAGACTAATTTAAGGCTTTTAAGACCCTGCAGCTACCATGTCATCAAAACTGTAAAAATGTCAACACAATTGTAGCACTTACACAAAATAATTTTGTAAAATACACCTAAAAATATGACATATCGTCACAGCAGCCCACGATCTGATATATTGATATTTTAATATTTTTGCACAAACGGCACTGGGTATTTAAGGAAGCAATATTTACAGTAATTTACTTCCAGTGACTTGATTTAAAAAAAAGAAAAGGATCATTAGAGGGTAACTCATGAGCATAGAAAATATATATTTCTAAGTCTTAGTTTTTCTCATTTTTCTATCTGTCCTTTGAAAACACCTGATTTTGTGACTTATTTCCTGTTTTTTCCTTCAGATGATGTTAACTCTAAATTAACCGGGCACCAGTTTCTTTCTTATGACTTCTGTCTTGGTTTTGTTGTGCACTGTTCTTGTACAAATAAAAAGCACACCATACCAAACCAGTTAGATACAAAACAATATTTTGCTCAAAAATATAATAATAATGTCCATGAGTTTCCCCAAGTCGACTAACCCTCATCGATCGTTTGGTGACTTACGAAATCATAAAAATAATTCACAAATGCCCATTACCACAGTTCTAAAGGCTCACCTCCACTCTGCCTGTGTCCGGACGAGCTGCCGCTGTCGTTGCTGTTGTTGTTGTTGTTGTTGTCGCTGTGGGTCTTTGTGTCACCGGCGGCACTGCGCTCGTTCCCACAGCAGGGGGCGCCCTCTCTGCAGAAGTGGTCAGGCCCGTCTCCGTTCTCTCTATCGGAGGCTTCACGGACGTTTCGATCTTTGGAGGGAGAGTAGTTTCTTTTATGTGTGTCGTTTTGAGAGTAGATTCTGGCTCTGTAGTTATGGGAAGACTAGGTACTTTTACTGTAGTAGATGAGGGTTTGACTGAAGTACCAATAGTAGTAGTAGTAGTAGTAGTAGTAGTAGTAGCAGTAGTAGTAGTAGCTTTCGTCGCTGGTGAAACTTGTACAGTTGTTGTACCGTGAGGTGAGTGCCATGGATCTGATGTCCGTGTAGTAGTACTAGTAGTAGTAGCAGCAGTAGTAGTAGTAGTAGTAGTAGCAGTAGCAGACGTAGTAGTTACCGACAAAGTAGACATTTTTGAAGTACTTTCTACTCCTGGTGTAGTAGTTGTTCGTATTTCTGGCCTCACTGTATGCGCTGGGACTTGCACTCTTGTAGTTTTGGCCTCTTCTGGTGCTTCAGATTTTGCCGTCACTTTATACGTTTTTGGTGCAGTGGTGGACCGAGATGTTTTTGCAGTAGTAGTAGAAGTAGAAGCAGTAGTAGTAGAAGTAGTAGTAGTATTATCTATAACTTGAGACAGAGGCCTGATTTCTTTTGTTGGAGGATAAATCGCTGAGACTTTAGTAGTAGTTTTCCAGTCTGAAGGCGCCTCAGAAGTGGTTCGTTTAGTAGTTACAACTTCAATTGGGCTTGCAGTAGTAGTAGTAGTAGTAGTAGTAGTAGTAGTAGTAGTACCAGCAGAAGCAGTAGTAGTAGCAGTAGTAGCAGCATACTTCGTTGTTGCCACGTCAGGAATCAACGGTTGCTTCGTCGTTTTGCTCGTAGTTGCCAGTTTCTCGATTTCAACAGGAGCTGCAGTAGTAGTAGTAGTAGTAGTCGAAGTAGTACTAACAATATGGCCAGTTCTTGGTGGAGTAGTCATTGAAGTAGTCTTTGCAGTACCCGTAGTAGCAGTAGCAGTAGTAGTAGTAGGAAGAGTTGAAGTAGCAGAAGTGGTTTCCGTTGTTGGATGAACGGGCGATGGCGAAGTTGTTGTTGACGTCTTAATAATTTCGAGTTGTTTTGTAGTAGTTTTCGCAGTAGTACTTGGTTTTTCTGCCTCAGTAGTAGTAGTAGTAGTAGTAGAAGTTGTAGTAGTAGCTGCTGGTGTAGTGAAAGTAGCGCTAGGTGTAGATCTGAATGTGCTTGGTTGCGTTTTAGTGGTAACTTCGCTCGGTTTTATTGTTGTCGTTTTGTCTGGTTTCACAATATCATCGCTCATTTTAGTTGTAGTACCCGTAGTAGTAGTAGTAGTAGTAGTAGTAGTAGTAGTAGCAGCAGTAGTAGTAGCTGCAGTAGTAATTGGTTTCGTCGTTATTATTTGCGAAGCTTTGGTCGTTCGTTCCACTTGCTTCGTGCTGATTCCGCTCGCGTCCTTCGTGGTCGCGCTCGGCTGCATGCTCGTCTCCACCGCTTTCGTCGTCACTTTCGCCGCTTCTCGCGTGGTCGCCGTCGCCCCCATGGCAGATTTTGTGGGTTCGAGAGGTTCTATGCGGGACGCGGTCGAAGTCGTGGTCGATTTGGTGGTTGATTTCGTCGGTTTTGCCGTGGGTTTTGTCGGTTTTGTGCTCGTATCGCTCGATTTCGTCGTCGTTTTCGATGGTTTCGCGGTAACCTTGGACGGCTTGCTGGTCGACTTGGTTTCGTGATGTTGCTTAGCGGTAGTCGGACTTTCTGTGATTTTCGGTGGTCCAGTTTCAATTTCGGTCGTCGTCGTAGTTATTTTAGTCGGTTCTGTAACTAAATCAGCGGGTTTGGTGGTGATTGTGGTGGTTTTTGTGGTGATTTCTGCAGATTTCGTCGGCTCCGGTTTGGTGAGAGCCGTGGTGGACATGATGTCTGTGAACCAAAACAAGGCGGTGATGGCGTACGGAGCGCCGGTCGTGGTTCTGCTCGACGGAGAGTCAGTCACTCTGGAGGTGTAGTGCTCAGGTTGGACTTCGGGGGGCGATACACCGGAAAGTGTGGTGTTTAGAGAAGGGAAAGTGAGAAAAGAGGTGTCGGAGCCAACTGGAGGGTTAATACCTGAGGGGAAAAAAAACAAAAAACATTGAATAAAGGTTTCAAAAATGGTGAACTGTATAGTTTAGTCCTGGTTTAGTCCTGGTTTAGACCTAGATCACTCCCTGGACCACTGAGGGATTACACAGATATAAGACCACATGGGAATAGAAAAGAAAGTAAAAATCACAGTATATTGTCTAAAGAAAGAGTGTTTTTTTATTTTTTATTTTATTATGATTGTTTTGTGGAATCGGTATCAGAATCGGTATTGAGTATCGAGTCTATTCCTTAATATTGGAACTGAGTTTGAAATTTTGGTAATCTCTATGACAACAATATTTTTCATGGACAAATTTGTTTGAACATTATTTTAAATCAGGATGATCAATGTCAAACTCAAATTCACAGAAGCCAAAATTAAAAACTGTGCATAAGTCGTGGGTCAAACTAAATATTTATTGAAAAATTTCAACATCTGCGTGTTTTCTCTTCTTTCAAGATATGTAATGTTAAACCTTTCTTATTAAAATAAATGTTTAATAATAGTTTTGCTTAAACATTTAATCCAGAACAAACAGAATATAAAATAATAACTAAATTTTAAATAAATAATGTTTCTATAGTCGATCTGCAGCCGGCAGCAGCTCTAATACAGATTTGATATGATCTCACGGGCCAAATATAATTATATCGTGGGCCAAATTTGGCCCCTGAGCCTGAGTTTGACATGTCTGTTTTATGGCAGGGTTTCCTACAGCTGCTTATAACCATGGAGATATTATTGAGTCCGTAGAATATCCCACAGTATGGTAGGGCTGGGTATCATTAAGAAGTTGCCGATACGATACATATCTCGATACAGTGCACTTTCGATTCGATACGATATATTTCAAATCGATTCGATACAGTTCAATAAAAAATAAAGGCAAAATCATGGCTGTGATACTAAAAGTGTTTGTTAAACCACTTCTTGTGCAAAGTTCATATGAAACACAAACATTTTAAACATCAAAACAGTGAAAATGTCAAATGTGTCACATAAATGAGTTTCCTTTCACTCCACAAGCCACAAAACTGTAGCACTGTAACAAAATAATTTAGTAAAACACACGTAAAAATACTCTTGGTGATATATCGATACAGTAGCCCACGATATCGATACTGTATCATCACATTAAACGATACGATATATCGATATTCCGATATTTTTGCAAACCCCTACAGCATGGCATTAACTCTTTCTATCCAGCATTTACTAAATTACAGATTCTTACTGTGTCACATCTCTACAAACCCAATCTTTAACTTGACCTGGTTTAATGCCTGACTAGGGAACATTTTGGGGAAATCACCCTCCATCTTCATAGAGACCAGCAGACCCTCCAGCAGTAAATGTTACACAGTGCAGCTTTAAACTGCAGTTACTCACAGTCCTGGAGGTGGACGCAGCGGTGAGTGACCTCGTCCAGCACCATGTGAGAGGGACACACAGGCAGACAGGACTCCACTCTGAAACACAAACGGGTTGGATCAGGGGCGGACTGGGAATCTGAACAATCGTCTGGTCTATTGTCCATCAGCCGCACTAACAGCAGAGGGCGCTAAAACCATAACTGCCCATTTGTCAAGCATAAATTGCATGGCTTAAAAGGTAACAAAGAAGAGCAGGTCACTCGTTGGTCATAAACGTCGAACAGAAAACATGGTAACGCTTTATAATAACTACACATAATTTAGCCTTAATAAAGCATGAACAAAGACTTAATTAATAATGAACAAAGACTTGATTAATAATGATTCACGCTTAGTAAATGCTTAATAAAGGATCATTTGTCTTCACTTTAGAAAAGCTCTGAAAAACACTTAACTAACAGATAACAGCTGCTTGAATTATCATTGCATTGCATTATTAGTAAATCATTCTCTCATAGTTTACTAATGATTAATAAATGCTCAAATGGTTAGTTCATGAGTAATTAAGTATGAAATAATTATGAGTAACTATTTACAGCACAGGCAAATTAAGTGCAAGTGCTAATTAAAGTAGTAATTAAGTAGTTACTAAGCGTGAATCATTATTAATTAAGTATTTGTTAATTATTAATTAAGTCTTTGTTCATTATTAATTAAGTCTTTGTTCATGCTTTATTAAGGCTAAATAAGTTATTATAAAGTGTTACCGGAAACTTAAGGAGAAAGGAGGATGGGAAAATGTTAAAGACAAAAACGTGAAGTCACTTTGAAATTAAGTGATTTTGGTGTTTTTATTAATAAACAATCAGAATTAGTGAATCTTTATGTGTTTTCTTCATTTATTGTCCCCCATGGTTTCCTGTATTTGTGAGGGAAAAATTCAGGGCTGTTTTTTGGTCCGAGTCCATCACTGTTTAGGTTCATTCATTAAACTGTACGAACAAAAACAGCACAGTATACATTAAAGGACGCTGGTACATTTTACTTCTATTTGTTGCCCATTTTATATCAAGACATATTTTTCTTCTGCATTATTTCAGTAAAACATTACTTCACTAAAAGCTATCATTGTTTTAATTTCACTTTTCAGTTGTCAGTGTGATTGGACATGGTTTAAGGAGCCACTGGGACAAATGGGCAGCTACAAAATGACCTGCCAACACCCAGAGTAAACCACTGTAGTGGCCACAGCTGCCCTGGGGCAAAGTGGCAGAGATGAGGCTGCCAGTCTGTGCCTAATATGTAACGTAAGCTTAATACTTTACTATTTTGTATTTTTGTACTTTGTGGTATTTTCAGCGTCTTACTGTGGAATGGAGGTGCAGGAGTCGGCTCTGGGGTCGCTGCAGGTTTTGAAACAGGGCACAGAGCACGAGTCGTATCTCCACTGACACTGAGGACCCACTGGGGCGTCCGCGCTGGGGCCTGGACAAAATCAAATACAACACGTTAAAAATAACAGATGGATATATGACGTGTCACTACAGCAGAACAAACCAAAAAATCTACTTTTCCAGGTGAGACATCTTCCCATTTCTTCCCTCTGCACTATTTTCACAACCTAAATTCTCTGTATTTCTGATCAAAGAAACCAGTGCACATGTGTCTGCGTCGACACGTTTGTTTTGGTTCACTGGGTGTTTACACCTTTGGCGCCGCCCAAACCTCAATACTACTTGGTGCTGACGCTGATCGGCCTAAACCACTTGTAACCAGGGTAAAATTCAATCCCGTTATCCAGATCCAACCCAGGTTTTCCCCCACTCCACATGATTTGTCACCACCCATCACCCCGCCCATTTCACCAATTATCCAATCACACTTCATCAGTCAGAGTATATAAGGTCCCTGACTTCTCTCTCCTCAGTTGTGTGGGAGGAGCAGGGGACAGAGCTTTGAAGAACCAGACCTGTTGTGTGACATTGTCATGTGTGCTGGGCATTTCAATACATTGAAAACAATACTGAACTGGCCAGGTGCCCAAACCTGGGTTTAATTTGATGGCGAGCTAGGAACTGTCCTTTTGAAAGAACTTCGGTCTGGTAGGGACTAACGGCCTGTCCTCTATCACCCACCTCCTCCAGCTTCCTCAACTACTTAACTGTACAATCGAAGATCTTCTGATCATTCAACTCCGCTAATTACACATAGTAATCATAACACAGTTATTACACGGTTATTACAATTACATCTATTACACATTTGTTACACTTTTATTACCTAGTAATAAGCAAGAACTTGTTACATACAAGACTACAAATTTCTCTGATCTGGCCAAGATTTTAAAACTTATATCAGGTTATTCATCTTGTTTTCAGATTTATGACTTATGACTTACTGGTCCTGAGACTGCTTAATTCTAGTCTAGAGTTAATTTATTTTAAAATAACCTGTCAAGTAAAATGATCTTGTGGCATGGACAGATCATTTTCTGATAGATTTTAATGTTTATATCTAAAATTTTGGCCAAGATTCACAAGAATTCATCTTCACAAAGATTGGACAAACTAAATCCGATCTGAAGAAAAACAAATGTTCAAATCATTTCAGATTGTCGCATAAAGGTTTTGTCACTTTAGACTCACTCACAGTGGGAAGAGGAAGCACAACTTTTACTCAAGTAAGAGTACTGTTACTGCAATAGAGGCTTTGCACCGTCACGTGTCCCCATGGCAACTGTACCTACGCCGCCATGACACCGGACACACACTATGTCATTGACTTCAGCAGCATCGGAGAAACATGGGCAGGTTTTGTTGTGTATTTGGTTGTTCTAGACGCTCTTAAAGGGATAAAATGATTCGTTTCTTCACTGTTCCTCTGGAAATTGACTCATCATGGAGCTCAAACAAGGGAATTATCAAAAAAAGACGGGAATTATGACTAGAAACATAAACCACGAAGAGATTTCCAATGTCATCATCAAGACACACTCACGTCACTTTCATCAAGGTATTTTCTATTTAAATTGTTTCATAGTTTATTTAATGAAAGAAGCACATTTACTGAACAAAAATTTAATTAATTTATCCAGGAAAACCCGCACTAGTTTACGATTCAACGAACCCACACTGGGCTCCTGTGATCAACATGACGCACGAGTCGAAGAGTCTGTGAGCCGAACCTCCAAAGAATCGACCATGAAAAGATGCTCGTGAACGTTACAAAGATCCACTCACAAAAAGAGATTAATTCTAGAAGACATAGTTGTGGATAAACAAGACAATAAAGAAAACCTGGGTCCTACGACGAGTGACATGTTTATATGTGCTGGAAGATACAGTTTCTACTGCCACTCACACTGCAAATGTTTTCTTTTTACATTTTAGTTCAGTAAATGTGTTTCTCTCATTAAATAAACTATGAAACAATTTAAATAACAAATACCTTGTTGAAAGTGACGTGAGTGTGTCTTGATGGCACCATTGGAAATCTCTTCGCGGTTTATGTTCTCTAGACATAATTCCTGTCTTTTTTTTGATAATTCCCTTGTTTGATCCTGATGAGTCATGTCCAGAGGAACAGTGAAGAAACAAATCGTTTTATCCCTTTCAGAGCGTCTAGAAGCACAGGTGTCAAACATACGGCCCGGGGGCCAGATCCGGCCCTCCAAGACCTTTAATGTGGCCCTCGGCTGATTTTCTACTAAAATATTTAAATTATATTTTCTATTAAAATCTTGTTAATTTTCTGTGGTGTTTATCACAGCAGCGTCTCCAGCGTCTCTGTACGTGGCCCCTCCCACCAGAGCAGCACAAATGAAGACTTGTCTCTTTCCAAACGCTCTTAAAGGACGATCGTTTTGACTGTTGACCGTGACACCCTCATCAGAAAAATGTCCAACATGAGAAAAGTGGAGCTGAGTGCAGGATTTTACAACAAAAATGGACTTATTCCTGTTTACATACAAGTTCATGTTAAAATATTGTGTTGAAATTGAAGTTTTCTTAAAGTTTCAGGTTGTTCATAATATTATAATAAGAAAGAGTTCATCAATTAAAAAAGATTTCTGTAATAGATTTGCGTTTCTCTGCACAAATATTTGAAGTTATTGTTATTTTTGGGGTTTATATGACATGAGTTTTCTGATCCGGCCCCTTTGGGACCAAAGTCGGTTGGATACGGCCCCCGGACCAAAATGAGTTTCACACCCCTGGTCTAGAACAACTAAATACACAACAAAACCTGCCCATGTTTCTCCGATGCTGCTGAAGTCAATGACATAGTGTGCGCGGTGTCATGGCGGTGTAGTTACTGTTGCCATGGGGACACATGACGGTGCAAAGAATATTTCTCAAGTAGTACATGTATAAAGTATGGTGTTTGATCACTGTGACAGTACAATTTATTTAAAAAGTTTCTAGGTCACTACTACTAAAAAAAAAAAACTACAAGTATAAAACATTTGATGACTACATTTCCCACAATGCCGCGCCGCGCTCTGACCTGTGACCCTGAAGAGCGTGGCTTTGCGGTAGCTGTCCGTGTGTCTGTACTTGAGCAGGTGAATGAGTCTCGTCGCGTGGAGGAAAAATCCGGGTTTGGACTGAGACTCCAGCGAAACGAAGCCCGGGATCCACGTGTCTCTGTGCAGCACGAACGTGGCGCCTTCCCAGAATGCATCACTGTCGCGCCACTTGGACAGCTTCACCTCGCCGCTCGGGCTCGCGAACAGGAAGTAGTTCGGACGGTCGGCGGCTTCGAAGGAGACGCGAGAAGTGTCTGAGGAAGAAAGAGAGAGAAGGAAATGTCAAAAACTAGTGGAGTTATAAGGACTAAACCAGAACTAAACCAGAACTAAAACCAGACTGAACCAGGACTGAACCAGGACTGAACCAGGACTGAACAGGACTAAAACAGGACTGAACCAGGACTAAACCGGGACTGAATCAGGACTAAATAGGGACTAAACTGGGACTAAACCGGGGCTGAACCGGGACTAAACCGGGACTGAACCAGGACTGAACTAGGACTGAACCAGGACTAAAACAGGACTGAACCGGGACTAAACCGGGACTGAACCAGGACTGAACCAGGACTAAAACAGGACTGAACCGGGACTAAACCGGGACTGAACCAGGACTGAACCAGGACTGAATCAGGACTGAACCAGGCCTGAACCAGGACTAAACCTGGACTGAATCAGGACTAAATAGGGACTAAACTGGGACTAAACCGGGGCTGAACCGGGACTAAACCGGGGCTGAACCGGGACTAAACCGGGGCTGAATCGGGACTGAACCAGGACCCAACCAGGACCAAACCAGGGCTGAACCAGGACTGAACTAGGACTAAATCAGTACTGAACCAGGAAAAAATCTAGACGAAACCAAGACCAAACAAGGACTATGTCAGTACTAAACCAAGACTAAACCCGGACTAAAAGAGAACTAAACCAGGACTGAGCCAGGAACCAACCCATAGTTGCCTGGATCAAACCAGGAGAAGAAAAGGATTAAATGCAGACTAAAGTGAGGACTTACTCAAGACTAAACCAGGACTAAACCAGGACTTAATCGGTCCATGGCAGCTTTTTCCTCATCTATAAAAACGCCTTTTAAACATATATTCAAAACAACATCATTCAGTCTAGTTTAATTGAAAACATCATCTTTTCACATCATACTTTTGGGAGTGAAGGGTGTTTTCTTGAATTACCATAAATAAAAGTGAGGCACGGGCCCTTTAAGGTGAGATCTTTCCCAAACTCACAGTGAGGCTCAGTTTCAGTCTCTGTGTAAGTTAAACCTAAACCCTCTGTTCCCACATCGAACAACAGACGAGGGCAGAGAAGGACCAGAGCTTTACCACAGACACAGACACAGACACAGACACAGACACAGACACAGACACAGACACAGACACAGACACAGACACAGACACAGACACAGACACAGACACAGACACAGACGCTCTGGGACGTACAGGCTCAAAAACATTCAGATGTGTGTTTGTCCAGGTTTGTACGACGTGTTGGGAGTAACGCTTTATAAAAGTAACTAACTACTGTAATGTGCAGTGTTGGGGAGTAACAGATTACATGTACTGGAGTTATGGTAAAATGGTAAATGGTCACATTTTTCTATAGCACTTTTCCACCTTCAAGACACTCAAAGTGCTTTACAACAAGGAACCACTCACACATTCACACACACATTCACACACCAGTGTACGCAGACACTGTGGGCAAGGTGGGTTAAGTGTCTTGCCCAAGGACACAACGACAGCATTCATCTGTGGGAGCTGGAATCACACCAGCCAAACCTGTGGGTTAGTGGATCTGACGCTCAACCTGTGATGTTTATATTGAGAGCTGGATTCGAACCACCAACCTTCAGATCAGTGGGCAAATGCTCTACCAACTGAGCTACTGCCGCCCCCCATGATGTAATCAGAGTACAAATTATGAGTAACTGTATTCAGTTACAGTTACTGTTTCAGTGAGTGGTAATTGGATTACAGTTACTTGGTTGAAATAAATGGATTACACAGAGGGATTTTCCTGTTTTCACATTTTGGGCTATTCCCTTTTTTTGTTTTGTTTGGTAATTCCACTTATTGCTGGACACTAAACCAAGTCTAAACCAGATCTAAAACCAGGTCTAAACCCAGGTCCAAACCAGTTCTAAACCTGGTCTAAACCAGGTCTAAAACCAGGTTTAAACTAGGTCTAAACCAGGACTAAACCAGGTCTAAACCAGGACTAAACCAGGACTAAAGCAGGACTAAAACCTGGTCTAAACCAGGTCTAAACCAGGTCTAAACCAGGACTAAACCAGGATTTAACAGGACTAAATCATGCTGTGTGGACGTGTCTCTTTGTCTTCTACCAATAATATTTTTTTATTTGGTTGAGTAAAGTCTGGGCTTTTTATTTTCTTTTATCAGACAAAACATCTTAAGTGAAGATTTCCTCGTCTTTGCTTCTCTACAACAAATCAAGTAATCCAAAGTATTCAGATTACATTACTCACCTTAAATAATTTAATGGATTACGTTACAAACTACATTTTGGTGTATGTAATCTGTAATCTGTAGGGGAATTATATTATTAAAAGTCACCAGTCCCAACACTGGTAATGAGTTACTTTTTGCTGTAACGTCGTATTGTGACATTACAGGGAAAAAAAGTTTATATTTTACTGTGTACAAATGTGAGTAACACGCGTCACATTTGCATTTTTAATCTGGATTGGGTTTGTTGTTTTTCTTTATACAAATTCGCTAAAACCACGGCGATGTCAGCAGCGGTGAAACGTCGTCGTTACGGTTCTCCACGTAGACCGTCGGGTGACCGCGGGCGAAAGGACCGACGCAGAACTCCACGCTCCACGAGGCGAAGAGCAGCCGACGCCCGATCGAGCTTTGAGGAAACACTGCTCCATGGGCTCAGGGTTCTCTCGGGGGCAGAACTAGATTCCAAGTCCTAGTCCAAGATTAGTCCTGGTTTGGTCCTGGTTTAGACCTGGTTTAGATCTGGTTCAGTCCTGTTTCAGTTCTGGTTCAGCTCTGGTTCAGTCCTCGGTTCAGTCCTGGTTTAGACCTGGTTTAGTCCTACTTAAGTCTTGCTTTAGGCCTGGTTCAGTCCTGGCTGAGGCCTGGTTTAGTCCTGGTTGAGTCCTCAGTTCAGTCCTGGTTTAGACCTGGTTTAGTTCTGGTTTAGACCTGGTTTAGTCCTACTTTATTCTTGGTTTAGACCTGGTTTAGTCCTACTTTAGTCTTGGTTTAGACCTGGTTTAGTCCTGGTTTAGTCCTGGTTTAGTCCTGGTTTAGTCTTGGTTTAGACCTGGTTTAGTCCTGGTTTAGTCTTGGTTTAGACCTGGTTTAGTCCTATTTTAGTCTTGGTTTAGACCTGGTTTAGTCCTACTTTAGTCCTGGTTTAGTCTTGGTTTAGACCTGGTTTAGTCCTGGTTTAGTCTTGGTTTAGACCTGGTTTAGTCCTGGTTTAGTCCTGGTTTAGTCTTGGTTTAGACCTGGTTTAGTCCTGGTTTAGTCTTGGTTTAGACCTGGTTTAGTCCTGGTTCCTGGTTTAGTCCTGGTTTAGTCTTGGTTTAGACCTGGTTTAGTCCTATTTTAGTCTTGGTTCAGCTCTGGTTTAGACCTGGTTTAGTCCTGGTTTTAGTCTTGGTTCAGCTCTGGTTTAGACCTGGTTTAGTCCTGGTTTAGTCTTGGTTTAGACCTGGTTCAGCTCTGGTTTAGTCCTACTTTAGTCCTGGTTTAGTCCTAGTTTAGTCTTGGTTTAGACCTGGTTCAGCTCTGGTTAGTCCTACTTTAGTCCTGGTTTAGTCTTGGTTTAGACCTGGTTTAGTCCTGGTTTAGTCTTGGTTTAGACCTGGTTCAGCTCTGGTTTTAGTCCTACTTTAGTCCTGGTTTAGTCCTAGTTTAGTGTTGGTTTAGACCTGGTTCAGCTCTGGTTCAGCTCTGGTTCAGTCCTGGTTCAGTCCTGGTTTAGTCCTACTTTAGTCTTGGTTTAGTCCTGGTTTAGTCCTGGTTTAGTCTTGGTTTAGTCCTGGTTCAGCTCTGGTTCAGTCCTGGTTTAGTCCTGGTTTAGTCCTACTTTAGTCTTGGTTCAGTCCTGGTTTAGTCCTGGTTTAGTCTTGGTTTAGTCCTGGTTTAGTCTTGGTTTAGTCCTGGTTCAGTCTATATGCGGCGCAAAAGTCCTTCATCTTGGCACAGTTATTTTGTTGAGAGTTAAAGTGCTGTAATAGTCGTGTCATGTTTGACATTTTAAACACAGTCATATTGAAATGAAACAAATGACTCTGAAATGACACTAACAAGTCATAAATAAATAACACATTACAGTTTTAAATAACTTGCAACTGTTTTTTAGCTGAAGCTGCACCACGGCAAAGCAAAGCGAGGTTATTTGTACAACACAATTCATACACAAAGATATTCAAAGAGCTTTTACAGAATAAGAAATACATTAAAATCACAAACAAGACTGAAAAAAATCAAAATAACTATTAATTTAAGCAAAGAGACTTGTGATTCGATATTATTGTGAGACTTTTGACGATACGATTTCACAATATTTCGGTTTTTGTTACATTCCTAACAACAACAGCAAACATATAAATGAAAAAATGTGAACCGAGATGGGTTTTTATTTATTATATTCTATTCTATGATTCTATTCTTCTATTCTGATTCTATTTCATGCGTTGTGCTGAACTCACCGTGAGGCCTGGAGCGGCTCAGTCCTGGAGTCATCATGAACTTGGAGAGGAAGCCCTGACTCTCGCTGCTGTTGGCCCGGACCAGGAACACGGAGCCCGGAGAACCAGGAGAACCGGGAGAACCAGGAGAACCAGGAGAACCAGGGGAGGCCACGGCACCAGCGGGCCCAGAGAGAGACAGGAGCAGGTGCTGAGGGAAGGAGAGCGGGGGGAGGCTGGAGGCCAGAACCGAGGTCCGGTCTCTGAAAGGGATGAGTCTGTACGGACCTTTACCCAGGACTGAACAACAGATAAAGAGGGAAAAAGGTGAAGAGGTGTGGTTATAAACTGTACGAGACGACACAGAAAACGTTATTGCTGTGAAATTAAAATGACGAAAAAGCGAGTTTACCTTTGTTGTAGTATTCACAGTCATAGGCTGCAAGGAAAAGAAGAGAAAAAGTTAAGTCCAGAGTGAGATGGAGCAGAGGAGAGGAGCAGAGGAGAAGGTCAGAGGGTCAGAGGAGAAGGTCAGAGGGTCAGAGGAGAAGGTCAGAGGTCAGAGGGGTCAGAAGGTCAGAGGAGAAGGTCAGAGGAGCAGAAGAGCAGAAGAGACGGTCAGAAGGAGCAGAGCAGAGGGTCAGAGGAGCAGAGAGAGGGTCAGAGGTCAGGAGAGGTCAGAGGGTCAGAGGAGCAGAGGAGAAGGTCAGAGGGTCAGAGGAGCAGAGGAGAAGGTCAGAGGAGCAGAGGAGCAGAGGAGAAGGTCAGAGGGTCAGAGGAGCAGAGGAGAAGGTCAGAGGTCAGAGGAGCAGAGGAGAAGGTCAGCAGAGGGTCAGAGGAGCAGAGGTCAGAGAGGTAGAGCAGAGGAGAGAGTCAGAGGAGCAGAGAGGTCAGAGAGAGTCAGAGGAGCAGAGGAGAGCAGAGGAGCAGAGAGAGAAGTCAGAGGGTCAGAGGAGCAGAGGAGAAGGTCAGAGGAGCAGAGGAGAGAGGAGAGTCAGAGGGCAGAGGAGCAGAGGAGAAGTCAGAGAGGAGCAGAGGAGCAGAGGAGAAGGTCAGAGGGTCAGAGGAAGCAGAGGAGCAGAGGAGCAGAGGAGAGAGAGGTCAGAGAGGGAGTCAGAGGAGCAGAGAGAGTCAGAGGAGCAGAGGTGAAGGTCAGAGGAGCAGAGGAGCAGAGGAGCAGAGGAGAAGGTCAGAGGTCAGAGGGAGCAGAGGAGCAGAGGAGCAGAGGAGCAGAGGAGGAAGTCAGAGGAGCAGAGGAGAAGTCAGAGGAGTCAGAGGTGAAGGTCAGAGGAGCAGAGGAGCAGAGGAGCAGAGGAGCAGAGAGAGAAGGTCAGAGGAGCCAAGGAGAAGGTTAGAGGGTCAGAGGAGAGAGTCAAAGGAGCAGAGGATGTAGTGGAGAGGATCGGAGGAGCAGAGGAGGAGGTCAGAGAAGTAGAGGAGAGGGTCAGAGGAGAAGGTCAGAAGGTCAGATGGAGCAGATGAGACGGAGCAGAGGATGAGAGTCTCTGGTGTGTGTGTCTCACGGCAGAGCGAGGGGCTCCTCCAGTCCACAGAGACGCCCTGGAGGCAGCAGCGTTGGGCGTAGGCGGCGACGCTGGAGCAGAAACACTCACAGTCTCCTCCCCGACTGCACGAGCACGTGTCCGCCACACAGTTCATGTAAAACCACGTCACGTCCACCTGCACACAAACAAACAACGTCACAAACATCAATGTACAGAAAATGTGCAATAAGAATAGTTATATATTTTCTTTCATTTTGTGGTACCCAAGTAATTCAGACTTTAAACTGCTCTAACGCTGTGCACACGTGTGTCTAATCCAGAGGTGTTCACACTTTTTCATCATGTGAGCTACTTACAAAATGACCAAGTCAAAATGATCGACCTAATACAAAGTCAAACAAACTGCACTGAAACACTCTGTGTCCCTTTTTTGGACCCTCGCCCACAGTTTGAGAACCTCTTCTTTAAGAGAACTTCCTCTGGCACTTTACACAAAACTGTGAAAAAAGTGAAGGAAGATTTTTAAACCTGTTTTTTAAAGTTCCAAACTGGAGTTTCATTCTTTTCTGGTTTTGCAGTGATATTTACCAGCCTCTGCACGTTTACCAAACCAAACGCACATCGTGACAAACACAGATGCATTTGTCACTTTTGTTAGACAAACTTCAGCCAAATGTGGCAGTAGGTCTGTTCTGTAGATCCGCTCTATGCTGTAGACCTGCTTTGTGCCAACACTGGAACACAAATTTAGACTGGTTTTTGCTTCACGTTTGGTCTTGTTCTTCTAATCAGCCGCACTGTGGGAGGGGCTTGTGTTGGCTGTACGCAGGAAGGAGCGAGAGCGTGAAAAGGCGAGGGGCGGCGTGCTGACGTGAGGCAGGTGGACAGGTAGGATGTTTAGGAAGTTGAACCTGCCCTGTGATGCACGCTGGTACACGAGGGCACACGCTGTCGCAGACGAGCCGTGCATAGGGAGCGTGTGTGTTTGTGATGCGCCGTAGAGTCTCCGCGGGTTTCAAATGAGCGCACAGGCTGCACTGAGACGCCCCACACGCTCCTGCACCCGCTACAAGTTTATTACCAACAGCAGCGGCCGGAATGAAATATGATCACACTTGTTGAGTGTCAGACCTCGAGTGAGAGACAAGACCGAGTCCAAACGCGAGTCCGAGACAAGACACGGCGATCTACCCACACGACCTTGGCGATCAACTGGTAGATCCTGATCGACGTATTGAGCACCTCTGGTCTAATCGGTTAAAATGTGTAACAATACTGCAAACATAACGCTGTATTTATCCATTGTCCCTTTTTTTTCACTATAATATTATACAATTTAATGAAAGTATTCAGAATATTAATCAGTTTGGACGATGTAACAGAATGTTACAAAATACATTTAATTCAGAATTCTAACTAAAAATGTTTTCAAAGTTTTCCGGCAAGTTTCATTGTTGACAAAAGCGCGCGTTGCATGCTGGGAATTATTTTGGTCGGCGGCAAGAAACACTAATTCAACATGACGGACGGAGCGAGAAAGCACGTAAAGGGTATTGATCCCGGTTATTTCTCCACTCTAACGGCAGACGACCCAAGACCATTTGACCAGAAATTGGTCATAAACATCGACGGACGACAAATCACCCTTTTCAACCCCGACAGAGTCTGGACCAAACCAAATTTCTGGTCAGAATCTCCAACTACCTGGACAAATATTCACTTGGGCGACATCCACAATGACTTGGTGGAAACTCCTGGGCCATTCACAGCAGAAAAGATGAAAACCTCCAAGAGTCTCGATGTGTTGTTGAACTTGTTGAGTCCACGGTTTGTTAGGATCTTCTACGTTTGCTCTGCGGATGTTTGAAAGTCGTTTAATTCACCGTTAGTGGTTCTTTTCACTCAGAATACGAAAAAGACATTTTCCTTCTTCCGTGCTTCTATTTGTGCGTCCGATAATGCAGCAGGAATTTACCATTATCGGGGATAAATACGCGAGGTTACGCACTGTGTTTGACGCTACCGTGTTTCTTGCCTCCGACCAAATTATTTCCCAGCAGCAACGCGGCTTTTAATAACAATGACGTCAGCTGAAACTTGCCTATAAACACTGTAAAGTCAGAGCAGTGTCAGTGATTTCCTCTTGGACTGGAGAATATAACACACAGAGTTCCCACTCTTTTTCACTAACAACATTTTCAAAACTTTTCCATGACCTTTTCCTGAGCTAAAGTGAATTTTCCATGACTTTACGGCTCCTACATGTGAAGAACTGATCAGACTTTTAGGTTTAAATATAAAATGTTTACTCTTTCCACTCACTTTATGGTTTGGGATTATAGTTTTTGAACGTTCTAAATCCTGTCCGTGCATTTATCGTCGTCTCTTTTAAACAAAAGGTGCAGATGTTTGAAAATAATCAGAAAAGTCTCATGAGAATTTTACAGAACGACGGAGTTGCGTGAAAGAGATTCTAAAATTCCATGACTTTTCCAAAACTTTCATTTGATTTACAAAATTCCCCTGACTTTTCCAGGCCTAGAAAATGACATTTCCATGACTTTTCCAGGATTTCCATGACTGTGGGAACTCTGAACACAACACAATCGAAATCAGAGTTGTTGCAAATATCATCGTCAGTGTAACCAACTCAACTTTTCCCTATTTTAATTTAGGGAAGAACAGTTTGAATCAGCTTGTAGAGTTAAAACCTGGAACCGTCTTCCTGAAGATGTGAGACAGGCCTCTACTTTGACTCTGTTTAAATCTCTCTTTTTAATTTTATGATGATTATTTATGTTCTGATTTGTTTTTATTGTGATTTTAATGTATTTCTGATTCTGTAAAGCACTTTGAATTACTTTGTGTACAGACTGTGCTGTACAAATAAACTTGCCTTGCCATTTAGAGGGAAAAAAAACATAACTTAACTTTCATAACTTCCTAAAACTTCCTAACCTGAGTGACTTAACCTTGGAGTTCAGCTAAACTCAAAGTGAATAAAGTGTTAAGTGTTGCGTGCGTTAAACTGGAGCTGGTGCCGGGTCCTCACCACCGGGTGGCAGCTCTGGAACACTTCGCTGAGGAGGACGGAGCACTGTCGCTTTGCAAAAGGTTCTCTGAGAGGAAACACGGAGCAGGGAGGCCTCACGTCGGGACTGCTCAGGCACTGGAGGGAAAACAGACAGACTCAGTGAAATCTGCAGAGGAACATGAGACATTTTACATAAAGTTAAACACTGCAAGGACACAGGAGGAGGGAGGGAGGGCATCTGACACACAGGGACACAGGAGGAGGGAGGGGGGGCATCTGACACACAGGGACACAGGAGGAGGGAGGGGGGGCATCTGACACACAGGGACACAGGAGGAGGGAGGGAGGGCATCTGACACACCTCGGTGGCCGTCCAGCTGTTGCCAAACTCCTGGGGCGTCGGGGACTCGATGTTCTCTGGAGTTCTCATCTCGTTCACAGTTTTCAGGTCGAAGTTTCCGCACAAACCGCTGAGTTTCCCCTGAACACAAACATCAGTGAGTGAGTTTACGTGCGCTCATGTCCCGGTTATGATCGGGTTTTTTTGAGTATCCTGGTTTTGTGAGTGTCTGTGCCTGATTTCAGTCTCCTGGATATGATGAGAAACCAGGAGACTCTCACTGGGTTTTTCTGAGAGGATTTGTGATACTGTGGCCTGTAGATGCAGGTCCCTTCATGTCTCAAAACTGGAGCTGTACTGAGCATGTGCGATGTATTAATTATGTATTAATATTAATGTATTAATTCTGGTTGTGTTTACTGACCTCAAACTGTTTTTTTGTGGTACACGGCGCTCAAAGATCTGTCAAAATGTTTCAGTACGACTTAAAATTATGAAGCAGAGGTCTGTGTGGGAAAGAATTTTCATTAAGTTTAGACCACATCCGCAAGTTTAGGCTGCTTAAAATGTTTTTATTAAGGCCAAATAAAATATCCAGCACAGATTATGTATGATAGGCAAACATGAATCATATAATCATATCATATATTTTACTTTACACTCATATTTAGTTTGAGGGACTGCAATTTATCATCCCACCCGCACACTCCCACATTGTGCAATCCCACTCCATGGCTCCAGTGAGGTTTAAAAATGTGTCCCGCGCCGCACTTTTTTGCGTCGGGTCCCGCAGTGCAGGGCTCTACTAGGAAGCCACTACGCTTGATATACTGTAGGAGCATTACGCCCGCTGTGGTTATGAGCCTCACGGAGTAATGCACATTCATCGAGACAGGGAGGCAACGCTGGGCGAGTTTCGCCATGATCTGCTGATGGATCTTGGATGCCTGGGCTAAGGATCAGTCTCAAATGTTGTCTGTTTGTTTCACTTAATGCTCCTTATAATCCGGTGCACCTCATGTATGAAAATAGACGAGAGAATTCAACATTACTGATATTGTGCCTTATAATCCTGTGAGCATTACAGTTCAAAAAACACCACAGTCACCTTTTAACACCAGGGATAAGACTCATAACCTGGATACTCGTGTCCTTGTAAACAAACTCAGTGATACAGTATTTGGCACAAAGGGAGACAGAACACTACTGTGAGTACATGTGTGTGTGACGGTGGTACCTGCCAGCGTGGTCCCGCCTGGATGTGGACCGTGGTCTTTCGGTCCCAGAGCACAGTCAGGTCCTCCTCGTGGAAATGAACCACAGAGAAAATCCCAGCGGAGAACAGGAAAACCCTCTGTCTGCGGTCGATCACACTGGACGGGTTCTGAACGAGAGATTTGGATTTAAGGCCAGGAAACCAGGGACACAAGTGTGATGTTTTTTCAGACTTGGACAGATATCTTAATGCCTATCGAGCTTGGACAGAAAAATTCGGCCCTATCCACACTCTAGTGTCCATGTCTATGGGCTAATCCCGATAAAGTTTCTGGGTCTTACTGGTTTCCCGGAGGCGTCGTCGAAGGCGATGAGCGTCTGTCCCACACTGATGAGCAGAGACTTCCTGCAGATCACTCCACTGTTAAAACAGTCCACGTTTTCCACCAGCACACTGACAGGAGTGTCCACTCTGCTCTGTGAACGAGAGGCTCTGATCAGGCTCTGGACCAGCACTGAATCCTGTATAAACCCAGTCTAAATCCGGTCTAAACCTGGTCTCTCTGGTCTTACCTTGAGCAGGTGGACTCTGCAGACTCCCACGTAGTCGTAGAGGAGTCCGTCAAAGGTCCTGTAGTGTCGGTCTCCGTAGGCCGAGCACATGGAGGCACAGGGTCTGAACACACACTGGAACGTCCCGTGCTGACAGACGCTGACAGGGACACAAACACTGGGGTTAAATACTAAGTACTTATTATTTTTGTTCAAAGAGCCGACATTGTGTAAGTGAGTTTTTACCATGTTGTAATGTTGTTTCACATCAAAAAGATGAATTGAGTTTTGTTTTATTTAGACTGAAGACCTCCACACAGGATTTTTCATTCTTAAACGATTTTTAAACGTGCGACAAAAAGTGCACAACACAGACACGAGGAGAATCCATTCATTCATTTTCTTCCGCTTATCCGGGGCCGGGTCGCAGGGGCAGCAGTCTAAGCAGGAACTCCCAGACTTCCTTCACCCCGGACCCTTCCTCCAGCTCCTCCGAGGACACCACAAGGCATTACCAGGCCAGCCAAGAGACACAGTCCCTCCAGCGTGTCGTGGGTCTTCCCCGGGTCCTCCTCTCAGTGGGACATAACACCTCCCGAGGGAGACGTCCAGGAGGCATCCAAACAGATGCCCTCCCCTCAGCTGCTCCTCTCGGCTCTACTCCGAGCTCCTCCCGTGTGACTGAGCTCCTCACCCTGCCTCCTCATTTAGACCACTTTTATCTGCTGAGGAGAATCTGATAAGACTTAAAGTCTCTGATCACAAAGTCTGCAGTGGGATCTGTGTGTGAACCACAGGATATAAATCTGTGACGCTGTGATAGTGTCAGCTGTTTCCTGTCGACAGTAAAACCAGTCGCTCTGAGTCTCTTGAGTGTTCAAAGATCAGACTCTGCACTTCTAGTTTAGATACAAGTCAAAACTGTGTTATTTTTATTTGCAAAATGTGGTGCAAAACTTCAGATACAGGATTTTTAAAGCATAAAAGATTTGAGGTAAAGTCCTGGGGAAGTCGAGTCACTGTGGAGAATGTGCAGCTTCACCTCGACCTGTGTGGACGTAAACAGACACACGTGAGGAACTACTCCCACCTTTTTACTTCTAAAGAACGACTCAAACTAGATTAAGAGCGCTGTTTTGTGGACTGGGGTCATTATTTGTGGAGGACGATTTCTGTGGATAATGTGGATGAGACGCTGCACTTTAAATTTACCACTTTACGAGAAGCGAGGAAAAAACTCTTATTATTTTCACTATATCCTGAGTTTGTATCTTGTGTCTTTGTGTCTGTTTTCTCGGCTGTTACCGTGTTGTTGCTGATGTTTGGTGGTCACACTGACACACACACATGAGGAGCGCAGCGGTTTCACAATCACCACAGAGACACGAAGTCGGGTCACTGCGTCTCCCTGAACTCAAGAAGAAGCAAATCGCAGAAAAAAATTGGGCAAATTCTCCTGTCGTTTGTGGCCGCCTTTAGTCCTTCAGTCTTTAGTTCGGTTCGTTCGGCGCTGGTTTCCGTGCTGCTCTGCGATTGGTCAGTCTGGGCCCAGTCTCAAGAGTTTGTAAACTGATAAAAATCATAAAAATTCTTGCAGCAGAGTTATTATTGAGCTACACAACAGTTTAAAGAGTGAAAAGTGAAAAAAGGCTCTGTTCTTTGACGTTTTACTAGAGTCTAGACCTTTAACAAACATTATTCTTCACACAGATCTTTCTTTCATTTCTGCATAAAGGTAATTTTCGGTATGAGTCAAAGCTCCATCAGATTACGCTCTTTCACACCACTCAAACCACTTTGTTCGTCTTTATCTCCGTTTTATTCAGGGGCATTTTGCATTTGAGCCCGATCTGATTAGAGCGGGGCCGCTGGAGCCGTGGTGCGTTCGGGTCCCACGGGACGTTCGGACTCCGTTCTAAAAGACTTTTGTCAGGTTCATTTTTCTGTCAGCCCCAAAACCAGACGAACTGAAGTGGCGTTTCCCCGAAGACCGGAGTTCACAAAAGCGAAACGCGGAGATAAGGCTCGAATATGAAACCGAACACTTTACAAACGGCTGAGAGAAACCGGGGGATGTGACTGAGTTCACGAAATTTGATGAAGTTGTAAGAAAAGGTAAAGATATTTATTGTCTCAGTTGATAATACTGCAAATTTCTCTGGTCTGGCCAAGATTTTAAAACTTATATCAGGTTATTCATCTTGTTTTCTGATTTATTATCGACTTACTAGATCAAAATTTGTCGTATAATCTTAAAAATTGTCACATATATTTCTTTCTTTGATTCAACTAGTCAAAAAATCTTAAATCTAGACAATAAATGTTTTAAAGAAGCTACAATCCATTTACCAATACTTATGTCTAGAATTTGGCATCTGATAATTTATTATCAGGCCATTCAAACTCATCATAAACTTGTTTTAAATATGTTTATCTAGAATTTAGTGGAATTTAAAGCATTTTATCGAGAATTTGGCATCTGAGAACTTATTTCCAGCCCGTGAGACTGCTTCAATCTAGTTCAGAGGTTGTTTATTTTCTTATATTAAGAAAACTTGTAAAATTATCTTGGACAATACGGACAGATCATTTCACTACTTTTAATCATTTTCTGATAGATTTAAGTGTTTTTATATTAAATTTTGGCCAAGCTTTTTTGCAGTGTGTCAACAAAATTCCCTGGGGGTGTGAAGCTGTAGACACTGCTCTGTCTGAAGCTTTGTTACTCAATTTTAGACTTTAATCTGCACACTGTTTTAACACAATCTGACCATAAGGAACTGACTTAGTTGGAACTACAACAGATGAGCTGATTCGTGCTGTTAAAAAAGTCTTTCACACATAAAATTATAGTCACAAGTTTCTGCGTTATCCAACAGACACCTGAACTGGAGGCATTGATCACAGGCTCCTAAAAATGTGCCGTTTAAACTCATTTGGTGTTTTTTTTCTTGAGTTTTCAGATTATCTTGAAACTTTCTTGACAGTATTTGCTGTCTGTGTCATAGAGAAACCACCAAGTGACCAGAATTTCAAAATAAAAAACCAAGACATCCCCGTTTTTTTTTTTGGGTAGTTGATAATAATAAAATTGTGAAACGAGAGCGTAATTTTTAAAAAAACTGTTGTGCAGAGACCATTCATGACGAACATGAGTCAGTATAGTCACGTTTTCTTTGTGTTTTGGTCGTTTTTAAGCAGATTTTTTGTATTTTACCTAAACAAATGATAATTTATGTCTCTCTTTACTGTTGGCAGGAATCAGATTGGTCAAAAATGGGGACACCTGGGACATTTCTTGTATAAAACTGGAACAAATCTGTGGTTTTGAGTAAATCTGCAGGGACAGTGGACACAGGCTCAAAACTGGAACTGTCCTGGGTAAACAGGGACGTCTGGTCACTCTACACCAGCGAGACGTCACTGAAAAGTATCAATAGAACACCTGTAGTAATGCTTCCTGCCAAAACAAAAATCAATACATATACACCAGAAAAGTTCCATGGTGTCTCTTTAAAGGCAGCCTGTTGTTACTGTTGTTACTGTAGTGACGTGTGTCGGTTGTTACCAGTGGTGACACGGGGAGGAGACGCGGTCGCCGGGGAAATACTCTTTTCCCTTCCACAGGCAGGGGACAGGCCTGAGGCTCAAAGCACTCGTCTCCATGTTTCAGCAGCCTGCAACAGACAGGACAGGGACAGACAGGGGACAGACAGGACAGGTGAGACAGGTGAGACCAACAATTCAGTTTAAAGTTCCTATATTACGCAAAATTGACTTGACTTCACTTTAAATTGACTCTTCACTTTAAAGGCCTATTCATTTGTTGTTGCACTCAGGGCTGTAGCTCCTGTTATTGAGTTCTTGCAGTTTCTTCTCGACTCCTCAGCTGAGCAGAACTTTGTCTGTCCCCTGGTTCTTTGGGCCGTGGGCGGGACCCTCAGATCCGTGCTTGGAAATACAGTTCTATGAACATCTCACACTCTGAGGAGCTCAGGGACCGGCCTCCTGCTGGTGCCCAGAGTCACGACTAAACAAGGGGAGTCAGAGTTTCAGGTTCATGCAGCTAAAACCTGGAACAGTCTGAACATGTGAGACAGACTCTTCTGTGACGCTGTTTAAATCCAGACTCTAAACATTTCTGTTTAACTGTGCAAATAACTGAAAGGTTTTCATTCCGCACTCTTCTCTCCAATTTATGTCTCTCTTTTTTAATTTTTATCTTCATGATTATTTATGTTTTGATTAGTTTTTATTATGATTTTAATGTATTTCTTATTCTGTAAAGCACTTTGAATTACTTCTTGTACGAATTGTGCTGTACAAATAAACTTGCCTTGCCTTCAGCAGTTCAGCAGCGCTGTCCCACATCTTCGCTGATTTGTTATTTATATGGTCACACAGCACCAATAAAATAACAGCGTAGTGGAGTTTGTAGGTTCAGGTGCACAGATCCAGTTTCCAAATACTCATTTACAAGTTCTACTCTGCATGAGATTATAAATGAAAACCTTTAGCATAAATAAACTCAACTTTACAACATATAAACCATAAACACTAGAGCCACATCAGTCTGTTTGAGATTATAATGTGTTTAATTCAGCTTTGACACATTTATTTATGTTTTACATAAACTAAACTTAAACCACATGACTCATTTGCATAAACTATAAGCGCTGATAAAAAATAAAATAAAAAGCTCTGTCCTTGTGTCACTGATGTGGTTCAGCTTCTGTTGGACTAAAGGACATGACTCAGTGGAATATGAGAGTCTCTGTGACAGAGGGATGTGCTGCTGAAGACCTGCAGCTGTGTTTTGTTTCATTCACACATGTTTGAATAACTCTTTATTATTACTCTGGCTACACGTCCAAAGCTCCAAATGCTCTGTTTCACCTTGTGATGTCATGAAGCTGTTGTTTTTTTTTTCAATTTAACAGCTCCTTTTACCTTTAGTTTAAAGTTTAGTCGAGATTAGCAATACCAGGGCTGAAATCATCCAAATGACTCCACTAAAGGTGTATGCGGTGGAGCACTTCCTGTATTACCTCATGACATCACAAGGTGGAACAGGCTTTTCACTCTGAGAGAAGAACTCAACCTAAATCTGCAGAGTTTGTGTGTTAAACGCGTGAAGAAACGACATTAGAACATACAGTAGATCAGGAAAAAGCCTAATATGAGCCCTTTAATTAAACTCTGACATCAAACTGGCCCAAGAACAAACAAAAGTCAAGTTTTACTACAGACAGATCTCATAAAAGGAGCGAGAGGTTTGTGTGTAATAAAACAGTTTTAATCAGAGGTGAAGAGGTGTGGGCTTGACTCAGACGAGAAAGTGTCAGGTTTGATTTGAGGATTTCAACAAGATTTAACGTTTGTACCGAACAACGACGAGAGCAGCTGCTGGATGTGGTTTGATTTAGACGAGTTAAAAGAGGAACAGAGCCAGAAGAAGATGCAGAGGAGAAGGTCAGAGGAGCAGATGAGGAGCAGAGGAGGTTCTTTTGTGCGTTGTTGTTACACAAGTGCAGTAATTACGCGCTCAGATTGTGTTCAGATCCTTTTGTGTTTTGGAGATAACCTCGTGTCAGATAAACTCTCTTTGAGCCGCGGCCAAACCGTGGATCGCTTACAGCTCCGGACTCAAAAACACGGCCGCAGGAATGTGAGACAATGGGAATCAAACTGAACCACGGATTTGATTTCATTTTGGTTTAAATTGTGACTTTTCTTCTCAAGGGCCGTTCACACCAAAGCGTCAAAAAACGCCTTGACGCCTCTATTTGGAGCCTTTGCATTTGAGTTCAGACGCCCCCGACGCGCGTCTTTGACGCCGTGGACGAACGGGACAAAAATACTTGACGCGCGTCCGTTGCCCTGGAAACAAGAGCCCGGTCCTGGTCTTTTCCCGAAACAATGTCAGACCAGACTGAGAGACTTTAGTGTTTTTATGACATAAAACATCAGCGGAGGAGATCGGGTCGACGACTGGGGCGTATATATATATTTATACTCCCTAACTAATGGATCAGTCCTGGTCTACGGTCTAATAGTCCTGGTCTAATCCGGTCTAGTCCCTGGTCTATATCCTGGTCTAATCACGGTCTAGTCCCGGTCTAGTCCTAGTCTGTTAGTCTCGGTCTAGTCCTTGTTTAGTCCCGGTCTAGTCCTGGTTTGGTCCTGGTCCGGTCCTGGTGTAGTCCTGTCCCTCCTGGTGTAGTCCTCGATCGGCTCGGTGATTGTGGTGTATATATTTATTCTCCGTTCATGTTTGTGGTTCTCGTTCTGGTTCTCGGGTCTTTCTTCCTGATAATAACGTCGCTGCGTCTCTGGATACTCGTCCCTGATTGGTTGACGCGGCGCGTCTGACGCGAAAAGTTCAGCATTTTCAACTTCTTGACGCTGACGCCTTGGACGCGCGTCTTGGCCGCTGACGCCAAAACGCTGAAGACGCGCCGCGCTGACGCCAGATTCGCGCCGCAAAAACGCAGGACGCTCTAGTCGCGCGTCCACATAGACTTTACATTGAAACTGGACGCTTTGACGCTTTGGTGTGAACGAACCTTCACATCGCAAAAGAGAATTTACTTCTGTCAACTGGATATGGAAATATCTTTGGACTGAAAATGTTTTGTCACTCATCCAAGAAACTTCTTCACTTCTAACAGGGTTCTGTACATCATTGTCCCGGGAATACTAGATTGTCTAAACCAGGACCACGTTAAGTCAAAGTAGGGATTAAATCAGGTCTAAGCTGGATCTAAAACAAGTCTAACCTAGTTCTAAACCAGGTCTAAAGCAGGTCTCAACCAGGGCTACATAAAGTCAAAGTCAAGACTAAACCAGAAGTAAATCAGGACTATCAGGTCTAAACCAGGTCTAAACCAGTCTAAACCAGGTCTAAACCAGACTAAACCAGGACTAAACCAGGACTAAACCAGGACTGAACCAGGATTGAACCTGGACAAAACCAAGTCTAAACCAGGTGTCTTTCAAGTTTCAACCAGGACTACATAAAGTCAGACACAAGACTAAACCAAGATTAAACCAGGACTAAATAAGGACAAAATCAGGAATAAACTAGGTCTAAACCAGGTCTAAACCAGGTCTAAACCAGGACTAAACCAAGGTTTAACCAAGTGTCTTTCAAGTCTCAACTTATAAATATCAAAATAAAATCAAAGTCAAGACTAAACCAGGAGTAAATCTGGAGTAAATCAGGACTAAACCAGGTCTAAAACAGCTCTAAACCAGGTTGGAAACAGGACTGAATCAGGACTAAACCAGGTCTTAACCAGGTGTCTTTCATGTTTCAACCAGGACTACATAAAGTCAAAGTCAAGACTAAACCAGAAGTAAATCAGGACAAAATTAGGACTCAGTCAGGACTAACCCAAGTCTAAACCAGGTCTAAAACAGGACTGAACCCAGACTAAACCAAGTCTTAAGTGGCTGTCTTTCAGGTCTCAACCAGGACTACATAAAGCCAAAGTCAAGACTAAACCAGGAGTAAATCAGGATTAAACCAGGTCTAAACCAGGTCTAAATGAGGACTGAACCAGGAATGAACCCAGATTAAACCAAGTTTTAACCAAGTGTCTTTCAAGTTTCAAGCAGGACTACATAAAGTCAAAGTCAAGACTAAACCAGGAGTAAATCAGGATTAAACCAGGTCTAAGCCAGGTCTCAATCAAGTCTAAAACAGGTCTAAACCTGGACTGAACCAAGTCTTAACCAGGTGTCTTTCAGGTCTCAACCAGGACTACATAAAGTCAAAGTCAAGACTAAACCAGCTCTAAACCAGGTCTAAACCAGACCTAAATCCGGACTCTGAAGGGAGGAGCCAACTACACTGAAACTAACTCACTCGTTTGTTTACAGTGAGACGTGTTTGTTATTAGTTTAGTCCGTGACCTTCCCCACAGTCCCTGAGTCATGTGACCAGTTTCCTGTCAGACATGAAGACGTCTCTCGGATCAGCGGCGAGACTTTTGTCCAGTCAGTCAGACGTGATTCTCTTTTGCAGTGGCCTCTACCTGGACGACGGAGCGACTCCACAGACTCTCACAATAATAAAGTGCAGAGTAACGGCGGCACAGAACATCTGCTGGAGCTTTATGAGGCAGAGATGGTTTTTCAGATAAAACGCTCACACACAGAGTAATGAGCCCGGCGCTGACAGAAGAATCCACCGGGTCACACACACACACACATTCTGAAAAACAGATTCTGTTCTGATAAATGACAACAATGTTCCACTGTGCCGAGCTGAAAAACTGAAAGACTTGAGACCAGAGGACTGACTTTACCGGACTCCGAGCTTTCGAACCGAACTAAGAGCTTTTGGTTCAGATGACCAGGTCCGGGACCAGACCGGGACCAGAGCGCTACTGAGACTCATCCCGGTCTGGTCTCAGGTCTCACGGTCTGGTCTCCTGATTCAGTCCGTACGGTGCAAAAGTTCCAGCATCGCAGTCACTGAAGTCACATAAACGGGAAAGCCGTTATCCGTTTTTTCCATTCTTCATTTAAACACAAAATCGAAAACTGAAAAAAACGTTATCCGTTTTTTTTCAAAACAAAAAAATGAAAATGATACATGGATTTTTGATGATCATTAGAAACGGTTATGGTGTTTCACATGTAAACAGAGGCTGCGATAGGCGGGGGCCACTATAACTCACACTAGACTGACCAATGGGATTCAAGGATGTGTTTTCGGCAATTTTTTACGAAGTTAATCGAAGTAGTGACGATTGTAGCTTCCGGAAATGAGGAGCGGATATGGATAACTTTGATTTTTAAACTGTTTCTGGTGATATGAAATCTGTTTAAACTAGGGATGGGCATGATTAATCGATTAATCGATAATTGATCATTAAGAATTTCATCGATTACGTTAATTTTAATCGACAAACTGAATGTATGTTGTTGTGTGTATCGTGACCAAACAGGTGTGTACATGTGTCTCTGCATCAGAAGGAGCGAGACACAAACAGTGGGTCAGTCTGTAACGAACCGAAGCACAAATGTGGATTTAACCAGGATTTGTAGAAGAAATTCCACACTTTCCGTTGCGTTGGGACAAGTGTGAGTCCATGTGCACAGTGGATAAAGCAGCACATATGTTTCTGTGTCCAGTGGGAAAAAGTTTTTCCAGGTGAGAGTCGCTCAATGTGGATGACGAGGCCCCGCCCCCCTCCCCCCGTACGCTGTCCTGGTTTTGACAAACACAAATCTGGTCACACTGACCTGTATTCACCTGAGTCATGTCTTTTAATCCAACACAAGTTGAACCACATCAGCGACACAAGAGCTGGAGTTTTATCTTCACTTAGTTTATGTAAATTAGTGATGTGGTTTTAAGTTTTAGTTTCTGTGAGATTTGAACAAAACTGAATTAAACACATTATAATGTCAAACAGCTGATGTGGATCTAGAGTCGTTATGTTTATATGTCGTAAAGTTGAATTTATTTATGCAGATTAGTGCAGATAGTAATAATAATGATGATCATTTTAATATAAAAACGTTAATGATTAATCGATAATCGATCGTTAATTCTTCCCACGATCGATTAAGAAAATTTCATCGAATGCCCGTCCCTAGTTTAAACCCTTTGACAAATATATTTAAATTTTTTTTTTAAGAATACAGTGCTCAGAACATGCAAATATCAGATGCTGAATGTAGTTTTTTGTTTTTTGCACCTGAGCAGGTAAACTCTCATTTTCAGTGAGCTGTTATAAACCTGTAAATGAGTTGAATCACATTTAAACATCCAGAAATGAAGAGTTCAGAGTCTAAAGTTTCCAGAGATACAAATATGTCTGTTTCAGTAAAGTTCGTGAGTGTGAAAATCATTTATAATCACTCGTGGAAGTCTGTTTTCTTTTATGTCCTAGTAAAACATGTGTGGGTTGTTCCTAGTCGGTGACCAAAGGGGGAAAGAGTTAAAGGGTCAATATTAAACTATTTTCTGATCTATGTTCTAATGTTGTAATGTTTCCTCGTCACAAACAGACCTGGAGTTGTGTTTTGTTTCATTCACACGTTTTAACACACAAACCTGCAGATTTCTTCTCTTAAACGGAGAACACTTTATTCCAACTTGTGATGTCATATAGTCAGTGTTGGGGAGTAACAGATTACATGTACCGGAGTTAAGTAATCAGAGTACAAATTATGAGTAACTGTATTTAGTTACAGTTACTGTTTCAGTGAGTGGTAATTGGATTACAGTTACTTTGTAAAAATAAGTGGATTACACGGCGGGATTTTCCTGTTTGTACATTTTATTCTATAGCCCCCCCCCCCTTTTTTTTCCCCCCCGTAATTCCACTCATTGCCGGACACTAAACCAGGTCTAAACCAGGACTAAAACCAGGACTAAAACCAGGTCTAAAACCAGGTCTAAAACCAGGTCTAAAACCAGGACTAAAACCAGGTCTAAAACCAGGTCTAAACCAGGACTAAAACCAGGACTAAAACCAGGTCTAAACCAGGTCTAAACCAGGTCTAAACCAGGACTAAAACCAGGACTAAAACCAGGTCTAAACCAGGTCTAAAACCAGGACTAAACCAGGACTAAACCAGGTCTAAACCAGGTCTAAACCAGGACTAAAACCAGGACTAAAACCAGGACTAAAACCAGGTCTAAAACCAGGTCTAAACCAGGACTAAAACCAGGTCTAAAACCAGGTCTAAACCAGGTCTAAACCAGGACTAAAACCAGGACTAAAACCAGGTCTAAACCAGGTCTAAACCAGGACTAAACCAGGACTAAACCAGGTCTAAACCAGGACTAAAACCAGGACTAAACCAGGACTAAAACCAGGTCTAAACCAGGTCTAAAACCAGGACTAAAACCAGGTCTAAACCAGGTCTAAACCAGGACTAAACCAGGTCTAAAACCAGGTCTAAACCAGGTCTAAACCAGGACTAAACCAGGTCTAAACCAGGTCTAAACCAGGTCTAAAACCAGGTCTAAACCAGGACTAAACCAGGTCTAAAACCAGGTCTAAACCAGGTCTAAACCAGGTAAAACAGGTCAGGTCTAAACCAGGTCTAAATCAGGTCTAAACCAGGTCTAAACCAGGTCTAAACCAGGTCTAAACCAGGTCTAAAACAGGATTTAACAGGACTAAATGCTGCGTGGACGTGTTTCCTCTTCTTCTATCGATAATATTTTTAATCTGGTTCAGTAAAGTCTGGGCTTTTTTTTTTGTCTTTTATCAGACAAAACATTTCTTATGTGAAGATTTCCTCGTCTTTGTTTCTCTACAGCAAATCAAAGTAATCCAAAGTATTCAGATTACTATTACACCCCTTAAGTAATTTAATGGATTATGTTACAAACTACATCTGTAATCTGTAATCTGTAGGGGAATTACATTTTAAAAGTCACCTTCCCAACACTGCATGTAGTAACAAACAAAGCTCTCCACCGTGTTTTTTAGCTCCACACACCTTCATTTGGATCATTTCAGCCCAATTGTCATGATAATAATGCATCAGTTTAATAAAGCGCTTTTCTGGACACTCAAAGACGCTTTACAGATCATTATTCATTCACTCCACACTCAATGGTGGTAAACTATGATCATAGCCACAGCTGCCCTGGGACAGACCGACAGCAGAGTTCTACACTGGGTCAGGTGTCCGCAAATAGTCACTGAAACAGGCGGGTTTTAAAGTTCTGTAACGCACTACCATGTTACTTTTGTTTTATTTAAAGGTTGTATAGAGGATTTTCCAAGGAACGAGAAATCCAGCGACAGTTTGTCCTTTTTCAAATGTTGCGCATGTGTGAAACCACCCCCCCTCCCCTACAGCTCCTACGTAGAAACACCTCCTCCCTCCTCCTCCTTACGCCACAAACAGGTTTGTTTACAGCCGGTGAACTGCACATGACTTGTAAACAACTAACTACAGTGTTGGTTAGACAAGACGGAGAAGTGAGGAGGAGCGAGAGAGAGAGAGAGAGAGAGGAGAGAGGAGAGGAGAGGGAGGGGCGGTGCGCGGAGATTCAGTGCCCGGAGAAGTGAGGAGCAGGGGGAAGAGCGGATCGAGCAGCGAGGGGACAGGAGCAGGAAAGGGGTGCAGAGAAGGTGCGCGGAGATTCAGTGCGAATGAACTAACTACAACACGCAGCAGCAAGCGGACTCTTTCTTTGCCTTGAAAATTACGTTTTCAGACATAGGATATCGCTTTCGTGTCCTGAAAAACGTTTGTGTCGCTCTTGGAAATAAAGTACGTTTTCATAATAAGCAGAAGTTTCCTGTCCAGGAGTAATTTGTGGACCAGTGGTTCAGTCTTTAGACCCTTCGTCTGCTTCAGTCGCGCCATCGCTGGAATGAATCTTCAAGAATCACCTTAGTTTGGCTTCGCTGCTTTTCCCCTTGTCTTCTTCTTTCAGCGACCTCAAAAACGGACTTTCTTTTGCGGCGAACTGCTCCTGGATTCTTGTCGCCATTGCAACAAACTTTGTGCGAACTGCGAGGAAGATATAGGTCAAAAAAAGCCGCTAAGAACTGTTGCGTTGGTGGAGTAAACAGCGTCTGTGCGTCTTGCGTCTGTGGACTGCGTGACAGTCGTACGTAAACCACGTCACCGGCGGCGCAGGCAAGTCAGTTACACTAGAAACGTAGGGAGTTTGATTGACAGCCTGTCAGCTCACAGATAACGAGGCAGTGTCGTTATCTATTGGCAAATGTTTAGCCCCACCACGTCCAGAGTTGATGAGTTTTTATTCTCTTTTTTTTGGTCATCATAATTACAAGGCGACTGCATCTATAATCTATCATTGACAATTTGAAACAAAAAAAAAATCCTCCATACAACCTTTAACTAAATTTGTGTCGGTGTGTATGGTTGGGGGAGGGGGGGGGAGGACTGACCCGGGGGGGCAGATGCAGCCGGACACACAGGGCTCGTGGGAGGAGCAGGTGAGGTTCAGCAGGTACGACTCACAGGTGCGCTCACAGGCCACGCCCCTCTGTGACATCACTCCTGCGTCGGAACAGTTCAGGTAGATCTGACCCACGGGACACAAGCCGTCTGCGGAGGAAGAGGAGGAAGAAGAGAGAGGGTTTAAGGAGAAAGAGACATTTAACTTGGAGTGATTTTTATATAAATGATTAAATGGGTCAAAAATGTAACAGTCCAGTCTGGGTTAAACTCACCACTCGCTGGACTTTGAGAGACCAGTTTCCCGTCCACACACAACCTGCACAGATCAAACATATGTTCTATTTTCACGTTTTACAAATCCAATCTATAACACTGTTTTTAACACGAGTGCTGTACAAAAATAAACTGAAATTGTATATACACAGGGACTTAACAATAACTAAAATATCATGATCGGATCATCAAAAGCAGTGTTGGTGAAGCAAAAGATGTTCATTTTGTCTTATGTACTTTAACTTCTTGGGTTCTTTTTAAAGATCATATGCAGTGATGGAATGGCTCAGACTGACCACGCCTCCCGTCGCCGGTGTCTCTGGAGGAGGGTGTCCCAGGTGTGTGACCTGTTCCTCCTTGATCCAGCGTTTGAACTTGTTGTTTTTGATCCAATACCCGATTCCATAATGTGGTTGTTCTTTTTGTGTCGGATTAGGATGACGTTTCCTTCTCGCATTCCTTTTGGTGTTCCTTTTTTCGGATGTGAAATGCTCCGGCCTGTTTCCCCTATGTGTGATTTATTGCATGATTTGCATTGAATTTCGTAGATGGTGTTGCATTTTTGTTCTTGTGGGATTTTGTCCTTGGGGTGTACGAGCTGTTGGCGGAGTTTTGTATCACACATAGGGGAAACAGGCCGGGCATTTCACAGGAAACGTCAGGGAGACTCACCAGAACACAAAAAGACAAAGCAGAACAGGAAAACCTAAAATCCGCCATATCAGACACTGTAAAAGGAACAACCACATTATGGATCGGGTCGGGGCTCGGGTCATTGGATCAGAAAACAACAAGTTCAAACGCTGGATCAAGGAGGACGGTGAAATCAGGAAACGAGGCACGGACAGCATTAACCGTGATGACGGAGCGTTCCTCCTTTCACACACCTGGGACACCCTCCTCCAGAGACACCGGGCGACGGGAGGCGTGGTCAGTCTGAGCCACCTGCAGGTCCATCAGGTCTGACCACGCCCACAGGAAGCAACAACAGCTGATATACGACACGTCACCACCAACACCGGTGACAGTTCTGAAGATGCAGCAGCAGCCGAAACATGTCAACAAGGTAAACACACTTTACTGCATTGTCTTTAAAAAGAACCTAAGAAGTTACAGTGTTGGTGAAGTTACTTTTAAAAAGTAATGTTGGCTTGTCACTCTTACTTCTTTAAAGAGTAATCCCTTACTTTATTTAGTTACCCTCAATGTGGAAAGTAACTTTTTACTGTTGGGCCAAATTGAAAAAGGAACTATGTTTCGTAGGGCGTTACATTGTTTTTACCCAAAAACGTAGTTATGTTTCTCCCACTGGTCAAAAGTCTCACAATAATATTATGGATCATCACAATATATTGAATCACAAGTCTCTTTGTTTAAATGAAGAGTTATGGTGCAGCAACAGATAAAAAACAGGGAACTACACCTTTGCTCTCGTTCAGTGTAAACTACATGAAGAAATAACAGTTCTAAACTCTTTTAAATCTTTGTTATTTTGGATTAAGTCTTGTCAAGGCATTTTAAGAGGAAAAAGTATCATATTAACAGTTTTGTTTGCCTCCACAAAATATTGCACTAAATATCAAACCGTGAGACGTACATCATGAAAATATTCGTACAGAGAGATTTGGATATTTTTACATCCATAATTATCACACAGGCTTTAGAAATGATGCATTTTAAGAGATATAAAATGCAAGATAAACTTCTTAATCATTTAATTATGTTTTCTACTTTTCTTAATAAACAAAATGCAAAAGTCATGATTTGTTATGTTTGTAAATCCAAAGACCCACTAAATTTGTGCACTCAAATAAAAGTTCCTATTTGTTACAGCTGTTATTTGTTATGTAGTTTGAGTCTGTAGTTTGAGTCTGTAGTTTGAGTTTGTAGTTTGAGTCTGTAGTTTGACTCTGTAGTTTGACTCTGTAGTTTGAGTTTGTAGTTGTGAGTGTTTAGTCTGTAGTTTGAGTCTGTAGTTTGAGTTCTGTAGTTTGACTGTATTTGAGTCTGTAGTTTGAGTTGAGTCTGTAGTTGAGTGTTTAGTCTGTGAGTTTGACTCTGTAGTTTGAGTCTGTAGTTTGACTAGTTTGACTCTGTTTAGTTTGAGTCTGTAGTTTGACTCTGTAGTTTGAGTCTGTAGTTTGAGTCTGTAGTTTGACTCTGTAGTTTGAGTTTGTAGTTTGAGTCTGTAGTTGATAGTTTAGTTTGAGTTTGTAGTTGTGAAGTTTGAGTCTGTAGTGAGTTGTAGTTTGACTCTGTAGTTTGACTGTAGTTTGAGTCTGTAGTTGTAGTTTTGATTTGTGATTAGTTTGAGTCTGTAGTTTGAGTCTGTAGTTTGACTCTGTAGTTTGAGTTTGTAGTTGTGAGTTTGAGTCTGTAGTGAGTTTGTAGTTTGTAGTTGTGAGTGTTTGAGTCTGTAGTTTGAGTCTGTAAGTTTTGAGTTGTAGTTTTGTAGTTGTTTGAGTCTGTAGTTTGAGTCTGTAGTTTGACTCTGTAGTTTGAGTCTGTAGTTTGACTCTGTAGTTTGACTCTGTAGTTTGAGTTTGTAGATTGTAGTTGTGAGTGTTTGAGTCTGTAGTTTGAGTCTGTAGTTTGTAGTTGTGAGTGTTTGAGTCTGTAGTTTGAGTTTGTAGTTTGTAGTTGTGAGTGTTTGAGTCTGTAGTTTGAGTTTGTAGTTTGTAGTTGTGAGTGTTTGAGTCTGTAGTTTGTAGTTGTGGTGTTTGAGTCTGTAGTTTGAGTTTGTAGTGTAGTGTAGTTTGAGTCTGTAGTTTGAGTCTGTAGTTTGACTCTGTAGTTTGAGTTTGTAGTTTAGTCTGTGAGTTTGAGTCTGTAGTTTGTAGTTGTGAGTTTGAGTCTGTAGTTTGAGTTTGTAGTTTGTAGTTGTAGTTTGAGTCTGTAGTTTGAGTCTAGTTTGTAGTTTTGAGTGTGAGTGTGAGTCTGTAGTTTGACTCAGTTTGTATTGAGTTTAGTCTGTGAGTGTGTAGTTGTAGTGTTTGAGTCTGTAGTTTGAGTCTGTAGTTTGTCTGTATTTTGTAGTTTGTAGTTTGACTCTGTAGTTTGAGTTTGTAGTTTGTAGTGTAGTTTGAGTCTGTAGTTTGAGTTTGTAGTTTGAGTGTTTTTGAGTCTTAGTTTGTCTGTAGTTTGACTCTGTAGTTTAAGTTTGTAGTTGTGGGGTTGAGTGTAGTTTGAGTCTGTAGTTTGACTGTGAGTCTGTAGTTTGTAGTTGTAGTTTGAGTTGTAGTTTTTTGTATGTTGTGAGTGTTTGAGTCTGTAGTTTGTAGTTGTGAGTGTTTGAGTCTGTAGTTTGAGTTTGTAGTTTGTAGTTGTGAGTGTCTGAGTCTGTAGTTTGAGTCTGTAGTTTGACTCTGTAGTTTGAGTTTGTAGTTGTGGGTGTTTGAGTCTGTAGTTTGAGTCTGTAGTTTGAGTCTGTAGTTTGAGTTTGTAGTTTGTAGTTTGTGTTTGAGTCTGTACTTTGAGTCTGTAGTTTGACTCTGTAGTTTAAGTTTGTAGTTTGATTGAGTTTGACTCTGTAGTTTGAGTTTGTTTGTAGTTGTGAGTGTGAGTCTGTAGTTTGAGTCTGTAGTTTGTAGTTGTGAGTGTTTGAGTCTGTAGTTTGAGTTTGTAGTTTGTAGTTGTGAGTGTTTGAGTCTGTAGTTTGACTCTGTAGTTTGACTCTGTAGTTTTGATCTGTAGTTTGAGTCTGTAGTTTGACTCTGTAGTTTGAGTTTGTAGTTTGTAGTTGTGAGTGTTTGAGTCTGTAGTTTTTGAGTGAGTTCTGTAGTGTAGTTTGACTGTAGTTTGAGTCTGTGAGTTTGTAGTTTGAGTCTGTGTTTGAGTGTATTTGAGTTTGTAGTTTGTAGTTGTGAGTGTTTGAGTCTGTAGTTTGACTCTGTAGTTTGAGTCTGTAGTGTTTGAGTGAGTCTGTAGTTGTGAGTGTTTGAGTCTGTAGTGATCTGTAGTTTGACTGTAGTTTGACTCTGTAGTTTGTAGTTGTGAGTGTTTGAGTCTGTAGTTTTGACTCTGTTTGACTCCTGTAGTTTGTAGTTGTGAGTGTTTGAGTCTGTAGTAGTTTGAGTCTGTAGTTTGAGTCTGTAGTTTGAGTCTGTAGTTTGACTCTGTAGTTTGTAGTTGTGAGTGTTTGAGTCTGTAGTTTGAGTCTGTAGTTTGAGTTTGTAGTTTGTAGTTGTGAGTGTTTGAGTCTGTAGTTTGAGTCTGTAGTTTGAGTCTGTAGTTTGAGTCTGTAGTTTGAGTCTGTAGTTTTGTAGTTGTGAGTGTTTGAGTCTGTAGTTTGACTCTGTAGTGTAGTTTGTAGTGTTGAGTCTGTAGTTTGACTGTAGTTTGAGTTTGTAGTTTTGTAGTTGTGAGTGTTTGAGTCTGTAGTTTGACTCTGTTAGTTTGAGTTTTTGTAGTTTGTAGTTGTGAGTGTTTGAGTCTGTAGTTTGAGTCTGTAGTTTGAGTCTGTAGTTTGAGTCTGTAGTTTGTAGTTGTGAGTGTTTGAGTCTGTAGTTTGACTCTGTAGTTTGAGTTTGTAGTTTGTAGTTGTGAGTGTTTGAGTCTGTAGTTTGAGTTTGTAGTTTGTAGTTGTGAGTGTTTGAGTCTGTAGTTTGTAGTTTGTAGTTGTGAGTGTTTGAGTCTGTAGTTTGAGTCTGTAGTTTGTAGTTGTGAGTGTTTGAGTCTGTAGTTTGACTCTGTAGTTTGACTCTGTAGTTTGAGTCTGTAGTTTGAGTCTGTAGTTTGACTCTGTAGTTTGAGTCTGTAGTTTGAGTTTGTAGTTTGTAGTTGTGAGTGTTTGAGTCTGTTTGAGTCTGTAGTTTGAGTCTGTAGTTGAGTCTGTAGTTTGAGTTTTGTAGTTTGTAGTTGTGAGTGTGAGTCTGTAGTTTGAGTCTGTAGTTTGAGTCTGTAGTTTGAGTCTGTAGTTTGAGTCTGTAGTTTGTAGTTGTGAGTGTTTGAGTCTGTAGTTTGAGTCTGTAGTTTGAGTTTGTAGTTTGTAGTTGTGAGTGTTTGAGTCTGTAGTTTGAGTCTGTAGTTTGACTCTGTAGTTTGTAGTTGTGGGTGTTTGAGTGGACTGGGCACAGTGAAGTCTTACTGAACACCTGCTGAAGTCATGATCATGTCTCCAGGTTCATAATCTGCGCCCAGAAAACTGCACGGACACTCGCTCCTGAAAACAACAAAAACACACACACACGGTTATTAGAGAACAAGGCAAAGGGTGGAATGTTCATGGACCCGGGCGGGTGCGGGTCTCCAAAAATGGACCCGTGCGGGACTCTAGGTTCTGGGTTGGGTGAGGTTGGTCACGTGCGGTGATCGCGGTGGCCTCTTAGTACCCCGATGATTAATTTTTGCGGTTATTGCGACAGCCCTAGTTTCCTCTTTAAGTTTCTATCTTCATAACACAAGCAAAACAGGTCAAATGCTCCAGTCCTGACCAAGACCAGCTCAAGATCTGGAGCTGGTCCCACTGCTCCTGACAGGTTTAACCCAGAGACACTTAAAGGTTGTATGGAAGATTTTTTTTTGTTTCAAATTGTCAATAAAACTTTAAAATACCATTACATAGACGCAGCAGCCTTGTAATTATGATGACCAAAAAAAAAAAGAGAATGAAAATCTATCAACTGTGAAATGTAGTGAGGCCAGATAAACATCAGCCAATAGATAACCAGGCTACCTCATTTTCTATTGGCTGTTAGGTTGTCAATCAAACTCCCTATGTTTCTAGAGTAACTGACTCACCAGCGCGTGGGGATTACGCGGTTTATGCGGCGGTTCTTAGAGGCTTTTTCAAACTGTAGCGTCTTCTCAGTTCGCACAAAGTTTGTCGCGATGACGGACAAGAATCCACGACCAGTTCGACGCTAAAGAAAGTCCGTTTTTGAGGTCGCGGAAAGAAGAAGAGAAGGGGAAAAGGAGCGGAGACAAACTGAGGTGGTTCTTGGAGATCTCTTACAGCGATGGCGCGACTGAAGCAGACGAAGGATCTAAAAACTGTCGCGTCGGTCGCTAAATTATTTTTAGACAGGTCACTTCAACAGTAATTCTGAACACGCACCGGCTGTAAACAAACATGATTTCTAGCGTAAGGAGGCGGGAGGAAGTGTTTCTACTGAGGGAGCTGTGGTGTCATGCATGAACAACATCTGAAAAAGGACTGTCGCTGTATTTCTCTTTCCTTAGAAAATCCTCTATGCAACCTTTAAAGACGAGTCAAGCGCAGAGAGCTCACCACACGAGTGATTAACAGAACATAACTTAATGAAATTTTAAATGATTTTTAAATAGATTATACTCAATTCTGATTTTGCATATCTCCAAAAACAATTGCGTTACTTATTTTTCGATACGGCTCTCACCTGAACTCTCCAGACGGGAACATCGTAACAGGGTCAGATCAAGATTCCAAATAGTATAACTCTGACTCACTCACCGCTCACTAAGTTAATGCATTATTTCTAAGAGGTTTAATCCATTATCTTAACCGTCATCTTTTATTTGAGACAGCTCGGTGACACTCAGACTCAGAGGTGTCGGGACTGCGCTCCGTTTTGGCCACACATTCTGCAGCCCGCCGCTCGAGTTTCTCTGGCGCAGAATAAAAAGGCCGTGATGGTGGATTCCTGCAGGTAACCGGAGCACGCCGTGAGAGAGGGGGACATTTAGGACGCTCCACGGGGCAGAAAATACGCTTTAAAAGCCTGATCCTCCCGTTTACTCAGAGCACGATCACTCAGAGAGGAGCTGAACTGGAGCTGAGCCCACAGACGGAGCCAACACACCTGCTCACCCTGCTGCACCACCTCTGACGGCCTGCAGGGGGAGAACGGACGACGAAAGTATCGAAAATCAGATCATACAACAAGTATCGAAACTAGAGCGGGTATCGATACTAAAAAAGTCCCATTGACAGGACACAAATGAACTTGAGCTGCATCAGAACAAGTGTACGAGTGTAACCCAGGACTAAACCAGGTCTAACCCAGGACTAAAGCAGGTCTAACCCAGGACTAAAGCAGGTCTAACCCAGGACTAAAGCAGGTCTAACCCAGGACTAAAGCAGGTCTAACCCAGGACTAAAGCAGGTCTAACCCAGGACTAAAGCAGGTCTAACCCAGGACTAAAGCAGGTCTAACCCAGGACTAAAGCAGGTCTAACCCAGGACTAAAGCAGGTCTAAACCAGGACTAAAGCAGGTCTAACCCAGGACTAAAGCAGGTCTAAACCAGGACTAAAGCAGGTCTAAACCAGGACTAAAGCAGGTCTAACCCAGGACTAAAGCAGGTCTAACCCAGGACTAAAGCAGGTCTAACCCAGGACTAAAGCAGGTCTAACCCAGGACTAAAGCAGGTCTAACCCAGGACTAAAGCAGGTCTAACCCAGGACTAAAGCAGGTCTAACCCAGGACTAAAGCAGGTCTAAACCAGGACTAAAGCAGGTCTAACCCAGGACTAAAGCAGGTCTAAAACCAGGACTAAAAGCAGGTCTAACCCAGGACTAAAAGCAGGTCTAAACCAGGACTAAACTAAAGCAGGTCTAACCCAGGACTAAACCAGGTCTAACCCAGGACTAAAGCAGGTCTAACCAGGACTAAAGCAGGTCTAACCAGGACTAAAGCAGGTCTAACCCAGGACTAAAGCAGGTCTAAACCAGGACTAAAGCAGGTCTAACCCAGGACTAAAGCAGGTCTAACCAGGACTAAAGCAGGTCTAACCCAGGACTAAAGCAGGTCTAACCCAGGACTAAAGCAGGTCTAAACCAGGACTAAAGCAGGTCTAACCCAGGACTAAAGCAGGTCTAACCCAGGACTAAAGCAGGTCTAACCCAGGACTAAAGCAGGTCTAACCCAGGACTAAAGCAGGTCTAACCCAGGACTAAAGCAGGTCTAACCCAGGACTAAAGCAGGTCTAACCCAGGACTAAAGCAGGTCTAACCCAGGACTAAAGCAGGTCTAACTAAGGCTGTCACGGTTAGAGAATTTCTCCTGTGGTGCAGTATAGCGGCTCAACAGCGCAGTATGAGGTGACACCGCCAGTGTTGGGGAGTAACAGATTACATGTACCGGGATTACGTAATCAGAGTACAAATTATGAGTAACTGTATTTAGTTACAGTTACTGTTTCAATGAGTGGTAATTGGATTACAGTTACTTTGTTGAAATAAATGGATTACAGGGCGGTATTTTCCTGTTTTCACATTTTGGGCTAAACCAGGACTAAACCAGGACTAAAAGCAGGACTAAACTAAGACTAAACTAGGACTAAAACTAGGACTAAAACCAGGTCTAAATCAGGACTAAAAAGGTCTAAACAATATGACACTAACAGTAGAGTGAACATAACTGAAGGCAGCAGTGATCTCATATAAAAATAATTTCTCTATCAATAATATTGTTTATATGCTTAAGTAAAGACTGGACTTTTTATTTTCTTTTAGCAAACAAAACAAAACATCTTATGTTAAGATTTCCTCGTCTTTGTTTCTCTACAACAAACAGTTGCTTATTCATGGAGACTTGGGCTCAACAGAGAATTTGAAGAGAACAAACATGAATTTTCAGGATGTGGTTGTTACATTCATGTTGTTTTAAAAAAGATGACAATATCAAGTAATCCAAAGTATTCAGATTACATTACTCACTTTAAGTAATTTAATGGATTACGTTACAAACTACATTTTGGGGTATGTAATCTGTAATGTGTAGGGGAAAACATTTTAAAAGTAAACTTCCCAACACTGGATACTGCACCCCTCCCCACCCTCCATCTCCTGGAGTTATAATATTTCCAGCGACACTGAAAACTCTCTGATGATGCGCTTGTTGCAGATGCACTTGTACCTCGGTTGTCGCGTGGGTATAGGGGAGTTTCATTGTTGACAAAAGCGCGCGTTTCATGCTGGGAGTTATTTTGGTCGGTGGCAATAAACACTAATTCAACATGACGGACGGAGCGAGAAAGCACGTAAAGGGTATTGATCCCGGTTATTTATCCACTCTAACGGCAGAGGACCCAAGACCATTTGACCAGAAATTGGTCATAAAGCATCGACGGACGACAAATCACCCTTTTCAACCCCGACAGAGCCTGGACCAAACCAAATTTCTGGTCAGAATCTCCAACTACCTGGACAAATATTCACTTGGGCGACATCCACAATGACTTGGTGGAAACTCCTGGGCCATTCACAGCAGAAAAGATGAAAACCTCCAAGAGTCTGGATGTGTTGTTGAACTTGTTGGAGTCCACGGTTTGTTAGGATCTTCTACGTTTGCTCTGCGAATGTTTGAAAGTCGTTTAATTCACCGTTAGCGGTTCTTTTCACTCGGAATACGAAAAAGACATTTTCCTTCTTCCGTGCTTTCTATTTGTGCGTCCGATAATGCAGCAGGAATTTACCATTATCGGGGAGAAATACGCGAGGTTACGCACTGTGTTTGACGCTACCGTGTTTCTTGCCTCCGACCAAAATATTTCCCAGCAGCAACGCGGACTTTTAATAACAATGACGTCAGCTGAAACTCGCCTATTGTGTGTGTAACGTGGGAGGAGAAACATTTGGCTTTAGAACAAGTGCAGCTGCGTCTCTAAAGCTCTCACTGTGGCAGCTCGGGTCAGAGTCCTGCTCCAGGTCGGGTCAGAGTCCTGCTCCAGGTCGGGTCAGAGTCCTGCTCCAGGTCGGGTCAGAGTCCTGCTCCGCGGACTTCAGAGAGAGAGAACCCCGAGCACGAGCACGCAGAGCAGGTGTCCGCAAAGCACGATCGGGGGACGTCCGCACTTCACTCTGTGCATGTGGAGCTCTGACTGCGGTCACCCGACTGTCTACACGAGCACACCTTAGTCCTGGGTTAGTCCTGGGTTAGTCCTGGGTTAGTCCTGGTTAGTTAGTCCTGGTTAGTCCTGGGTTTAGTCCTGGGTTAGTTATGGGTTAGTCTGGGTTAGTCCTGGGTTAGTCCTGGGTTAGTCCTGGGTTGTTAGTCCTGGGTTAGTTCTGGGTTAGTCCTGGGTTAGTTCTGGGTTAGTCCTTTAGTTAGTCCTGGTTAGTCCTGGGTTAGTCCTGGGTTAGTTCTGGGTTAGTTAGTCTGGGTCTGGTTAGTCCTGGGTTAGTTCTGGGTTAGTCCTTTGTTAGTCCTGGGTTAGTCCTTTGTTAGTCCTGGATTAGTCCTGGGTTAGTCCTGGGTTAGTCCTTCCTGGTTAGTTCCTGGGTTAGTCCTGGGTTAGTTCTGGGTTAGTTCTGGGTTAGTTCTGGGTTAGTCCTGGGTTAGTCCTGGGTTAGTCCTGGGTTAGTCCTGGGTTAGTTCTGGGTTAGTTAGTCTGGGTTAGTCCTGGGTTAGTTCTGGGTTAGTCCTGGGTTAGTCCTGGGTTAGTCCTGGGTTAGTCCTGGGTTAGTCCTGGGTTAGTCCTGGGTTAGTTCTGGGTTAGTCTGGGTTAGTCTGGGTTAGTTCTGGGTTAGTTCTGGGTTAGTCCTTTGTTAGTCCTTTGTTAGTCCTGGGTTAGTCCTGGGTTAGTCCTGGGTTAGT